AGTAAAAGTGCCAGGAAGCACTTCTTGCGTTGACACGCTACTGATTGTTGACTCTAGGCTGGCAAAGTTTGCAGTCCCAATGGCGCCTGGTGTGTGTTTGTAAGAAGTAGCTGAAGTAGTCGTCAATTCGGGGATTGCTGAAGGTGGAGGTAGCAGTTGACTTGATGCAAGAGAAGTCATCAGGCTTGCTGGTTGTTGAGCTGTCGCTGTCACAAAACTGGCAATCTCGTTCGTCACAGCCGATAGTTGTATACTCGTCAGCTGAGTAGAGTTCGAGGTCTGCAGAGACGCGATTGTGACACTAGACTCAAGAGGATTGAATGAAGGTGACAAAGTAAAGCTCGAGGGAAAAGGCTGGCTTGTAGCAAGCGAGAAGGACGCCTCCAAAGTGGACGACATTTGTCCTGTTGATATCGATATTTGGGAGGAGGATCCAGTGATTGATAGAATTTGGACAGTCCCTGAGGTGGTAGATTCAAGAGAATGCGGGACTGAGGCTTCGGTGTAGCTCCAACTTTGCATTCCGCTAGACTCCGATATGCTAGAGGAAGGTACCAATGCCAAGCTCGGAAGCAATGGTTGACTTGCGACAGCAGACATGGATGTCTCCAAGGAGGATTCCTGTGCGATTGACATCGAAGGCTGAGGTGGAGCTCCACTGACCTGTGTAATCTGGGTAGCTTGCGAGAAGGTGAACTCAGGAGATGGCATTTCGAAAGAGCTCGAAAGCGGCAGGGTTTCAGTTGACTCCAAGGTAGCAAGCGCAATGCTGGAGTGTGTTGGTGTGAGAGCAAAGGCGTTTGTTTCAACGGAAACCAAAGAGACTGTTTGACTTCCGAGGCCTGCGGACACCATCGTGTGGATTGACTGTAAGGACTCTAAAGTAGGTGTAGGAAATCTGGAACTGATGGAAGCACCGAAACTTTCTATTCCAGTGGATGGAGAGGTGATAGGTGATCGACTCATTTCCAGTGAAATCAATTCCAGGCTTGAGGTAGTGGATACTATCTGAGTTGGAAGTACAACTTCGCTTAGTGAGCTTATCGCGCTTATACGAGGCAAAGAAGCGACAGAAGATACCACCGAAGGCTCTTGAGGGATTTCACTAGGTTGAGGTAGCACAAAAGTGGAGGACTCTAAGGGCGCTGAGATGGATTCGAGACTTTGCAGTGTGACAACCTCTACGGGCCGCGTAGTCGGTATCACACGAGATGGTTGGGCAAGAGATGTATTGCGATAGAAGACACCCTTGCTGAAAGAAACTGGTCCATGCTGACTCGAGACAGCTGGAACGGAAACAGTTTCGAAAGTGGTGGGCGCAGGCTCTAGAATGACTGTGGTTGCTGGGACATTCTCCGTAGTTTGGGGGAGAGCAGATGATTCCAGCTGATGAGAAGGTATTTGTGTCTGCTCCAGGCCGGTCGAGGACGATATTGGAATGGCTGTCAAGGAAAGTGCTATAGAGATCACAGAAGGAATTTGTGCTGTCTCGGTAGCTGCCATCGTTGTGCCCGCGGCACTAGTAAGTGAAGATTTTATAATGGAACCCTCCGATATTTGCGGAGAGATGTATTGTATCGGAGAGGTTCGTATCGAGGAAGAGGCCAGAGTGCTCGAAAGTGGCACAGGCATGCTCTGTGAGGTAACCGTCTCTAAAGACTCTGTGCCGATTGGAATGGTCTCACTGCTTTGAATTGGAAGCGAGACGATAGCTGTATGTGTGATTGACGTGTTGAAACGCTCCAAAGAGCTTCTCGACAATCTTTCAATGGAGACGTAAGAAGGCGCAGGGATCTCCGAGAGACTCGGAGAAGTAATCATTTCCATAGATGGGGCACTTGTGGAAATGAGAGACTGGGCTTCCGACGTTCCTGAGGGGAAGAAGGTTGTGAGAGGTTGGAGGCTCGCATTAGTTTCAGAAACAGGCATCTCGGAAACGATTAGAAAAGATGTAGAGGGAGTTTCTTGAGACGATTGTTGAGAGGATTCGGATGCAAGACTGGAGAGGTACGTCTCTGACTGTTCGGAGGCGGTAAGGACAGCAACTTCTGATGGCAAGGAGGAGGCTTGATGTTGTGAAATTGAGCCATACACGGAGGTGGAGACGTTACTAATAGCCAGAGAAAGCGTTGTCTCCGTGGGCTGGCCAATGATGGTCGTGAAAGATAGCGTGTAAGTTGCTGAAGGTTCTTGAAGTGTTATCACCGATGATTGAGTTGATAATAGTGAGAGCTGCATTGATGACTCGGTTGGCACAGGTGATGAGAATCGTGTGGACTCCAAAGTCATGAACGATTCTGAGACGATCGTTTCTGAGACAATCGTCTGAGTTTCTACGACAGTAATCGATGTAGGTATGAGGAGGCTACTTGTCAGTGGCATTGAAGATAGGATTGAGGATAGGATTGAAGATTCTCCAAGAGGGGATTCACTAAGTGTGAACAAGCTCAAAAGAGATAGCTGTGGGCTCGCTTCGATGCTTGATGTCACGGCCACTGTTGTCTGTTCTGCTATGGATGGAACGAGAACTGTCGAAAAGATAGAGGTCATGGACTCGGAGGTTTGGGTTGCCACTGAGAAGGTAGGAGTAGGTGTAGAGACGATAGAAGACTCTGACATTTGTGAAGTGACGCCACCAAGAACCGAGGAGAGGCTTGGAGATAGGAAGATAGAGGATGCTAGACTCCGCGTTTCGATCATAATCGGTATTGGCAGCGTGAATTCGAGGGAAGATTCAACTGTAGTGGACTGTGAAGCCAGCGAAGGGACTGCAGTTGTCGAGATGAGGAGAGTCGGGATAGCAGAGTCTGTCGAATATTCGGGAGTAATTGACTCCAGATTGTTTGTCGAGACAAGAAGAGTAGACAGAACAAGGCTTGTAAAGGATTCTAAAGTAGTTGACTCAATGGTCTTTGTCGCGCTCGGGCCGAGTGACTGCAAGCTCTCTGTCATCAATGGGGCCATAGTACTCATGGAGGACTTAGCTGTGGGAGATTCCGAAACTACCAATACGTTCGATGCTGTCGAGATTGCTTGACTTAGAGTACCAAAGGGGATGGAAAACTCTGTCTCGGAGGATTGCGAGCTCAGATTGATAGTGATTAGAACCTCGCTACTGGTGAAGAGAGACTTTGGCAGCGGCTCAGGTATTATCGATGCGGAGCTGATGATAATGTTCGAGGTTGAGAGAAGGACGCTTGGGCCAGCGAGGTTCAAGGAGTGCGAAGTTGGTGATTGGAGGGCCAAGCTCAGGACAGAGCTCAAGGGCGCCATTCCTACTGTTGAAAGAGCTACCGAGGAGTGAACGGAGGAAAGTTCTAAGGCTATGGAAGGACCCGTGAGAGGAATCCTTTCGGTGCTTAAGGCTAGACTCGTGGGCAATAGTTGAGATGTCGGAGAAGTGCCATAACTGGTCGCTACCATCGTACTCGGCTCAATGGGTGATGGAATCAACTGTGTTGACATTGCTTCGGAACTTGGAGCGAGACTCGTAGTCCGTGATAGAGGTGGTATAGAAATGCCGAGGCTGGTATCTAGCATGCTGCTTGACACGAGAGATGAAGGTAGTAGCTCTGTGACAATTGTGGGTAGAGTCTCACTAAATTGGTATGCGCTACTTCGAGATGCGAGTATGTTTTCAGATTGCTCCGTGGTAAATATCGACGACGAAAAGATCGATGCTGATAGCACTGTAGTACCGACAGGAGCAGACAAAGCGTTAGCATTCGAAGTGCTTGCATAGCTCAGCGAATATATCGATGTTGTGGTCGGCATCGACAGGGCTTCTGACGTTTGAATGGATGTTAGGACGTTCATGGTCGGAGAGGTGACAGATGAAGTCGCTGGAAGTTGCGAAGCTTGTTGGGACAAGGTAGGAATGACAGTGCTCTCGATGGACAAAGTTGAGAAAAGAGCTGATGAGGATAGTATAGTTTGTGTGGGAATGTTCGTCGTCGAGAGGTTTGCGACAGATGATATTGGAATCTGTTGTGAAGGTTGTTGAGATGAGGTAGAAGTGGGAGCGCTCTCGATTGGTATTATTGAGGCGAGAGTTGATATTGTCGACGGTATATTGAGTGTCGGAATGTCAATGGTTGAAGGATTCGTGACGATGGATGAAATAGGTGGAGGTTCTGGTGATGAAGTCGGTAGAGGAACACTCTCGATGGGAATAATTGAGGCGACAGATGATAGTGTCGGTGCTTTCGTTGTGGTATTCGTGTATCTTCGTGGTGTGATGCTGAGTTGGTGGCTGTTGACGTTTGTCGTCATGAAGGGGAATGGAGTTTGTATTGTGGCAGAGATGGGCGGTACTGGCGTTTCTATGTTGGTAGCACTGTGTATTTTCCCGATACTGCTTCGCTGTTGTGTAGCAAGTATCTCTGTCGTTGTAGATCCCATATTACTCTCCACCCCACCCGTTTTTGTTCCAGAACTGCCAGGTGGCAATGCAGACAAAGCCACTCCTGAAGTTCCACTCTCCACCAATGTTATCATAGCCAGAGTGGCCGGAATTGTCGTAGTTACTGTCGAAGTCTTAGAGAATGGTCCAGAAGGCGTGATAGGGTGAATCCAGAAGTTGCAGGCAAAGTCGATTGAGAATTCGGGGACGATCCAAAGTGGGCAGTACCAGACAGAACCATTTGACTCATAGGAAAAGACATTGAGAAATATTTAGACTTACTTGTGACAGAGGACAATTCCACCATGCTCGACGAGCTTTCGCTGAAGGCTGACGATACCAATTGAGTGCTTGAGATCACCGAGGTTGAGAGGGCGACAGATGTAGCATTTGCCGATTCGGATGATGAGAGCTGGATTGATAGGACAGTCGTAGAAGCAGGAGCAGTCGAAGAGGCGACAGTTTGTGGGACGCTTGCGATAACACTGACGGAAGATTCCAGAGACGAAACGATTGTAAGGACCAAGCTGCTGGATGCCGGAGTAGTCGAAGAGACCATAACAGAGCTGACTTCTGAGGACAGAACCGTGGAAGACAACTCGGAGATAGTCTCTGTAGCTGACAAGAAGCTGGACACACTTGAAGACACCATGCTTTCTGTGATAGAAGCGGATGGAATCAAGCTGGAGCTGACCATGCTGCTGGACACAAGGGTCGTGGTGGATGCCAGAGTGCTCTCGATCGATGATTCCACAGATGAAACCACCGAGGATTGCACAGATGAGAGGCTGACAGTCACAGTAGGTACAAGGCTTGTGAGAGCAGACGAGAGCATGGAAGACTCGATCGATGAGGCGGACAAGAGCATAGAAGCTGTTGAAGATGCCAACGAAGGAATGCTGAGTTGCGAAGACAAGACCGATGTCGAAGATACCAGTGATAGCGAAGATACCAAAGAGCTGGATTCGAGCATGGACGAAGTCTCGAGTGCAGATGTGCTGAGGCTCGAGATCTCTGATACCTGGGATGACACAGATGACACGACTGAGGAAATCAGGCTGCTGACAGTTGCCACAGTCGAAGATTCGACCGTGGAGCTGATGAGCGATGAAACTGATTCGGCAACAGAAGATGACACCAATGAGGAGGAAATCAGAGAAGTAGAGGCTGGCACAGACACGCTAGACTCAGTGACCAAGGAGGAAATGCTGGAGGACTCGACCATAGACGATGATACCATAGAAGTGGTAGGGAACACGCTGGAAGACTCGAATGGAGTAGACGAAACCAAGGAAGCTGTTGTCTGGACGCTCGTAGACTCGACAGAGGACACAAGTACAGATGTAGATTCGATCATCGTGCTGCTCAGGACTGAGGATGATATCAGAGACGAGACCGATGATAGAGAAACAAGCGATGAGACGCTTGATGACTCGACCAGGGATGTCTGGCTGGTAGAAACCACAGTTGATGTAGCAAGGAGCGACGATGATGGAAGAACACTTGATGACTCGATTGTCGAGGAAACGATAGTCTCGCTTGGCGACACAGTCTGGCTGGAAACCAAAGTCGAGGTGGCAGGTACGGACGAGGATTCGACCATAGTGCTGCTGAGAACCGACGTAGATTCCAGGACAGAGGTGCTTGGTGCGACTGTCGACGAGATAACAGACGAGCTTTCCACAAGAGACGAGACTAAGCTGACAACGCTGGTTGGGATCAGGACTGACGACATTGGTGAGACGCTTGAGACAACGCTGCTGCTTTCGACCATTGTAGACGAAACCATAACTGAGGAGCTTGGCACAATTGTGGATGAGACAACTGATGAAGATTCCAAAGTCTGGGATTCCGATACAGAGACGATTGTCGAAGACACGAGGACACTTGAGACGGAACTGCTCTCGATAGCCGTGGACGAGATCGCAGATGACGAGCTTGGTACGCTTGTGGATAAGACAAGTGACGAAGACTCCAAAGTCTGAGATACCGAGACGGAAACCGATGGGAGGACAGTCTGGCTGGATGCAAGTGTAGACGAGAGCAGAGTAGAGTTCGCCAGGTAGATCGTTGAAAGAACGCTGCTGATCTGAGAAGGTGCCAATGTACCCACGCTGCTTGGAGCATACGTAGATGATTGAACCAATTCAGTGCTTGAAGCCAGGAGTGATGAGACTGTCTGGCTTGAAACGAGCGATGACGAACTTTCAATGATTGTAACTGATGAAAGGAGCGATGTCGATACCAATGAAGAGCTTGGCAAGATGGTCTGATTTGGAACGCTGCTGGATAGTAGCGAGGAAGTTTCAACCATCGAGGAGCTAATCTCAGTGCTGGAAACCAAGGAGCTGATCTCGCTTTCGATCGATGATACCAAAGAGGAGCTGATCACAGTGCTGGATGCCAGTACCGATACGGAGACGGTCTCGGAAACAGCAGAAGACGAAACCATCATGGATGATGAGATAATCTCTGTGCTTGAGAGTGACGAAGTCTCGATAACCGACGAGCTGACAACAGAGCTTGAAACCAGGATCGAAGAAGACACCGGAGTGCTTTCAACAATGCTGACTGAGGCTGTGAGCGAGGAGCTGATCTCCGAGGATACCATTGAGGACGAAAGCATGACAGTCGAGCTGGCAAGGCTGCTCGAAACGATCGTGGAAGACACTGGCACTGAGCTGGACTCGAGAGTCTGACTGACCGATACGGTCAATGAAGACAGCAGGAAATTCTCGCTTGCGAGGGAGCTTGATGGCAGTACAGTGCTTGACACGACAGACGAGGAAACCAAGGAGCTGATCTCTGTGCTGGATACCATAGACGACATGACAGAAGTTGCAATCGAGGATGATTCGACCAATGAAATACTCTCAGTGACGGTTACTGATGAGGCAATCGATGAGGGCACGATACTGGTAGAAACGGCCAAGGAAGTACTTTCTGCGAATGTCGATGATGGCATAACTGACGATGATACCAAGCTGGTGCTGACAACAACGGAGGATGACGGAACAAGTGATGTCTCTGAGATGATCGAGGAAACCGAAGTTTCTGAAACCATTGAAGATACAGAAGACACAATGCTGCTTGCAATGATCGATGAGGACTCGATCATTGAAGTCTCCGAGATTGTAGATACCAGGGATGATACCACGCTGCTGCTTGGGACAACTGATGTCGACAAAAGTGATGAGGTCTCCACAACGCTGGTTGAGGCAATGGAAGACATCTGGCTTTCCACGCTGGTGCTTGGAAGGACAGATGTTTGAACACTTGAGCTGACACTGGACGAAATCAATGACGATGTCTGAGATTCTACCATGCTGCTGGAAACGAGTGAGGAAATAACAGACGATGATGATTCGATAACACTGCTTGAAACAAGAGCCGTGGTTGAGGCCACAGTCGTGCTGCTTACAATGCTCTCGGTCATGATGCTGCTTGACGAAATTCCTGATGACAGGCTTTCTGAAACAGAGGCCGATATCGAGCTGACCAGGCTGCTTTCCACAACCGAGGTTGAAACAACGCTCGATGATGGAAGTACAGTGACGGATGGTACAGACGATGATGAGACGGCGGAGCTGAATACAGAAGATGTCTCGCTTACGAGGCTGGTAGATGGTAGGATGGACGAAATCACACTGCTAGATACAACAGACGATGACAGAACCACAGATGATGTCTCTGATAGAACTGGCACGGTGCTGGAGATCAGAGACGTGGAGAGTGTCTCTGATGAAACAGATGATACGCTTGAAACCATTGTAGATGACAGCATAACTGATGAAGCCAAGGTGCTGCTTTCCAGAGAAACTGTCGAGGAGACAGAGACCAATGAAGAAACAGAGGATTGACTTGGCACCACAGTTGATGAGGCCACAGACGAGGATTCCATGATCGACGAGGATACAGTCTCGAATGGAGTAGCCGTGAGGCTTGAAACCACAGAAGATAGTACACTTGAAGATTCCATGACAGACGAGGACAGGGTCTCGGATGAAACAACTGACGATGATACCAGAGACGAGATGCTGCTGCTTGCGACCACGCTCGTTGCTGAGACGAACTCAGACTGAGTAGCGGAAGATGAGACAACAGAAACTTGGCTTGATAGAACGCTTGAGACAGTTGATACCAGAGAAGATGATTCCAAGACAGAAGTTGATACAACGGTTGTGGACGGCATGGTCGACGATTGCAAGACAGACGATGATACAACGCTTGTAGATAGAAGTGAGGATGACTCGAGAGTTGAGCTGGAGAGCACAACACTTGAGGATACCGAGGATGATTCTAGTACAGTTGTTGAGATGATGCTGACCGTTGGAGCAGTCGATGAAACCAGGAGAGACGACGAAAGCATGACACTTGTAATTGGAACAGAGCTTGACTCGAGAGTTGAGCTGGAAAGAACAACGCTTGAGGAAACTGAGGACGATTCCAGAACAGATGCGGACACAACGCTTGTGGATGGAAGTACGGTAGACTCGAGAGTTGAGCTCGAAAGCACAACACTGGAGGAAACCGATGACGATTCCAAAACAGATGTTGATGGCAGAATGCTGACGCTTGGCACAGTCGATGAAAGCAGAACAGATGAAGACAAAGCACTTGTTGATGGAAGTAGGGTAGACTCGAGAGTTGAGCTTGAGAGCAGAACGCTTGTGGATGGCGGAGTCGATGATTCCAGGATGGACGTCGATACGATGGTAGCGGTTGGCATAGTCGATGACATCAGAACAGAGCTTGACACAATGCTTGACACCAAAGACGTTGATTCGTAAGCGGAGCTTGAAACCAATGTCGATGATACAAGAATGGAGGATGACAAGATCTGGCTGGTGAATGGCACAGTCGAGGATTCTAGGGCGGATTTCGATGGTAGAACACTTGGCATACTCGAGGATTCGATTGTCGACGAAGACAGTAGAACACTTGTTAGCACTGTCGATGATTCGGTAGCTGAGCTGCTGACAGAAACCACATTTGAGGACATCAAAGTCGAAGATACCAAAAGGCTGGATGTTTCTGATACCAAGGAGCTGACACTTGACGAAACCACAACAGACGAGCTCGGGATTGCTTTCGAGGATGTTTGAGATGATACGAAAGATGTAGCCAACGAGGAGCTTGGCAGAATGCTGGAAACGAAGCTGGACATTGAGACCATGGAGGAGACCACGGACGATGTTGCAACCTCACTGCTAACAGACGAAACAGAAGACACAAAGCTTGATGGCATGATCGAAGTAACAACTGAAGAAACAACCGAGGAGCTCGGGAGAGAGCTGGTCAGTGATTCGATAGATGATACAGACGAAATTGGTGCAGTGGAACTGAAAGACGACATCGATGAGAAGATGCTTGAGACCAAGGTGCTTGATGGCACCGTCTGGCTTGAAACAAGGCTTGAGCTGACCATGGACGTTGATTCAAGGCTGGAGCTTGATACAAGACTGGAGCTGGGCACAAGAGTGGAGCTGACGAACGAGCTGGATTCCACAGATGAGCTTGAGACCAGTGAGCTTGATACAATGCTGGAACTTGAGACCATAGAGCTAGAGACCATGCTTGAGCTTGATTCAACGCTGGAGCTGACCAAGGAGCTTGATGGCATTGTGCTGGTAGCGAACGAGCTGGAAACCAACGAAGTGAATACCATGCTGGAGCTAGACACAAGGCTAGAGCTGACAAGGGAGCTTGATTCAACGCTGGAACTTGAGACGATGCTAGAAACCAAGAAGCTATAGACCATGCTTGAGCTTGAGACAAGGCTGGAGCTGATCAAGGAGCTTGATGGTACTGTGCTTGTGGCGAATGAGCTTGAAACCATGGAGCTGGAGAACACAGAGCTTGATACCAGGCTGGAGATCGAAACAAGGCTTGAGAGCGAACTTGATTCAATGCTAGAGCTGGACACAATGCTTGAGCTAACCAGTGAGCTAGATGGCATCGTACTTGTAAGGAACGAGCTTGACACCAAAGATCTGGAAACCATGCTTGAGCTGAAGACGGCAGAGCTGGATACCATGCTGGAGCTGGGAACAACGGTAGAGCTGACCAAAGAGCTTGATTCCACGCTGGAAGTTGAGACCAGGCTGGAGGATGGCACGATGGAAGAGCTGACCATTGAACTTGATTCCACGCTTGAGCTGACAACAGAGCTGATCTGGCTTGACACGCTTGAGACCATAGAGCTTGATGCAACCGAAGACACGAAAGAGCTTGAGACCGGTACAGATGTGGTCATAATCGAAGACGACATCATCATGGACGAACTTGGGAACGAAGATGATGAGTAAGAGGACAACGACGATGATGAGGCACATTCCCAAAGAGTCATTTGGAAACCAGTGGCAGACGACATTGGCGGGATGCTTGGCATTGCCTTTGTCGGAGCCAGGGTGGTAAACATCTGAGTGACTGAGGGGTATACCGTCGGAGGCGCAACCGAAGAAATCTGTGGGACGCTTGATGCGATAGGCAGAAGTACGCTCGAACTGTAGAAAGTGCTGGATGCCATGTAAGATGATGTAGCATTGATCTTACATGCCATGATTTCTTGTTCGTACTCGTAGACCATATCAAACTCTTGTACCGAGTATCCTGCAGGCGTAGGAATGTTCGTGTTGAAGATGACGAGGACATCACCCATTCCTGAGTCGGGGAAGGCAAAGATAGCTTGATTGTTGGGAGTGTCAAAGTACTTCGTGCTTGTCCACATCAAGATGTTATTCGGATACGAGAACTTCTGCATAAGGTTGGAAGTGTTGTATGGACCGAAAGTGAAATCCATGGAGCCGGCACTGATCTGTGGGTATGACGCCTGAGCATATAGAAGATCACCGTTCGAATCGGGGACCGTCATTTTACCGTCATCGTTGGCAGTGAACAGAGGCGCAATACCACAGTCATCAGTGACTCCAACAGTGTCGTCCGGATTGAGTATCAAGTAAACTGGAGCAGTAGAGCCATCTCTCTTGACGGTGCTTTGATGCCTGCTGGCGGGGAGAGTGACGTTCTGGAACTTGGCATAGAACCGCACCATTTGGCTGGTTTGAGGCAGGCTTGAACTGATCACGAACGGGATATTGGTCAAACTGGCGGCGATAGTGGTTTGCGGAGTAACCGATGGAGGGCCAACTGAAACGGAGGTGATGGCGACAGTGGCAGAAGCCCCAACGGCTGAGGCCTGCGCACTTACACTCAGGATTGTTGATACACTCGGGGCGGGTTCAGACGGCGAAATGGATGGTAAGAATCCAGTGCTGACTGAAGTAGGTGGTCCGGTTTGGGATGGTGCCACAGAGGACACTCCAATTTCGGTGGAGGCCTGTGTTGTAGAGGCGAAGCTCGAAGGTACCAAGAGGGACGAGACCTCGGTAACCGACGAAAAGAGGGTTGCTTCGGTGGCGAGGGAGGAAGAGACCTGAATTGTCAGTGACGGCACATTGGATGAGGCTGTCAGGGTTCCCATAAAGCTGGAGCTTAGGAACAGTGACGCCGATGCACTGCTGATAAAGGCCGTTTCAGATGAGGAGGCCAAGGCACTCGTGATGTTGACGACCACGCTTGGTGAAGCCGTGGAAGTCAACAACGCCGAAGACGAGGCGGGCAGAGAAGACTGGGTTACAGCGGAAGAAACTAAAATTGCGGTCAGCATCATGTCTATAGTAGACATGTTAGACGTCAAATGAGTCAAGCTTGAGCTCTCAGAACTACCGGCAGTCGACACTATCGAATCTGCTGGTTGAGAGTCAAGAAAGGTCATGGTTTGTCTGGTACTGGTCCACGTTGATGTCCTGGAGGGTCGAGTTGCCGTATCTGTCGATGATTTGAAGTCCTGGATCTCGATAGTTGGCGATGTAGCCGAAAGCACTGAAAGGGTGCTGGGTTGCTGGGGAGTACTGGGGGTGGTGAAGGGGTTTGTGGACAACGCACCCAAACTGATCTCTAGAGCATTGGTCGAACGTGAGACAAGTTCGTCGACAGTACTAGTCTCTATAATGCGTGATGACCTTGTTTGTGAGAGACTGTCGCTAGTCGAGGGAGTAGGCAGTATGATACTTCCTTCAAAGGAGCTAAGAGTCCCAATGCTTGGAGCAGTTGATGGATGAAGGGACAAGTTGCTAGAAGCTAGAGAAGGAGGATTCGAGTAGCTGATTGGCGAACTGTTTTGATGCAGTGACGACAATAAACTGAGCGAGGTTGTCATAGATGCCACATCACTGTTACTCGAACTTGGAAGTGTCGAGACGAGGATTAGTGATGAGATTGTAGCACCGCTGGCCGTTGACTGGCTACTCGAAAAACTAGACAACACACTGCTTTGTAGAGGTGATGATAGTAAGCTGGACGAGGCAGAAACCGTAGAGAGATCAGGAGATGCAGAGCTCGGTACTAATGATACCGAGATCGACAAGAAAGGAGTTTCGGTGACTTCAAGAGTTGAAATCAATGAAGATATGCTGCTGGAAGGCTGAGTACTTTGCGAAATGAAGCTGGATATGTCGTAAGGTGTTCTAGACACTATGTTGCTGCTGGATACTGGAGACGTTATGTATGGAGCGGTAAAGCTTATTTCACTTGTTGTGGAGACCGAAGTTTCCACTATGGATGTGAATGACAGGTGAGACGAGGTCGAGGATGTCGTTGGTGACACGGTCGAACTCGTGGGTCCGCAATCCCAGAACTCTGCCGCAGTGGCAGTATCGCCACCGGACAGAGTGAAGGTCGAGTATTGAGGATCGCCATTTACGAGAAGTCTGCAAGGTTCAGCGCCATTCATTCAAGAGGACTCTACTTACACATTTCCTAACAGGAAGACGAGGGACTGGAAGCGATGGGGCGATCGAAAGATCATGGTGTCCTGATAGGACGTTGGGGAGCGGAGAAGACACCAGCCACAGTTGGCGAGGCCTTCGCAGGCTGCGGTTGTGCAGAAAGGAGAGTGAGCCGGAGTGGGGGGTTCAAGGTTGATTCTTGCGTTGGATGTGATAGCAGTTTGCGGTATGACCAAAAATCGAACAAAACGGGGGGATCATGAGTAGATAAAAGATTTTTGAACACAGGGAGAATAAACCTTGGGCGCAGGGCGCGTCCACGTCGAGGAATTGGAAGCCTCCCTGCGCGCTCGCTTGAGTTAAGTGATGTGAGACATTTCAAGATCGCGAACATTCATATCAGAATGGGCACGGGAGAAGACATAAGTGGCGAGAACATAATATTATTATAGCGCTAAGCTGAGAGTTTTCTGTTCCAGTCAACTACTTTGAAATTGAGCGAGTATACATCGCAGAAGAAACCCATCAATTGTTCTTACAGCCAGTATCGTGATTTCAGCAAAGGGAGAATGATATCGGAGTGGCTCTAAGAAGCGAGACAAACATCCCGAATCGTCTCAAGTGAGGCTCAAGATTCAAAGGAAGACCCCCTTCGCCAGATAATGGCATGAGTATACGAAGGGAGAATGGAACAGAGAATTCAATCTGGAATCTAGACGTGCAGCTTGACGCGTCGAATGTCAACAAAGAGACTTATAAGTCCTTGCCACCTCATTTTGCTCTGCTTGTGAGAATGCTGGTTGAAGGCTGGATGATCTAAGGCTTCTGGAAAGGACCCACTCAGGATAGAATGGAAACATGCATTTAATTCACAGGAGATAAGAAGATGGTTCAATGGTTCATTGTCATTATGCAGTTGCAGTTCGTGATACTCCTATCAAGCCTCCAACGCCCGCTAAACACCATCGAGGGGTATCCTCGGAGGCCACTAAAAGTGTGCCATCATATAAAATCACTACGCAAGAACTTTTCATGGTTCATGAGAATCAAAGCCTTAAGCCTCGAGTCCTTCTGTTGGGGAGTTCGGGTCTTACTGCTCGTGATAAACAGGCCACAAACAACCGAGTATAAGTGCACCGTGTGCTTTTGGTATGCATGCAAAACTCAACACGACGCCAAGATCTGCTGCTTAGACTCAAGCTCCAACCATTCCAGGACCACCATAATTGTTGTGGCGGATGGCTGCTCCTTGATAGCTGTGGGCTGGAGTATTCTTTTCTGCGTCAGCAATGAGATATTTTTCGCATAGCAAAGTACAAACCTTCTTGGGTCGCTTTCTGCTAGCTCCCCTATCATCGCCATCGCCAGTAGAATATCCAACATCCTGAACATCATCATCGACATATCCCTCACCATAACCCTCGAAGCTGGAGTCTTGGTATGTACGCTTCTTCGTAGCACGCTTGGGGCGGGAGATCTCGGACTTTGCTGTGCGAAGAACACCTCCTGCTTGCGGTTGTGCCATCCTAGCAGCATTCTGAACGGCTTTTGCGGGCTCTGGAGCAGGCGTGGCTGCCAATTCCCCAAGCACCGAGGAGTCCCACATGGCCTTTGGTATTGAACCTCGGGACATTGTGAAAGCCTTGCTGAGTACATTGTCATCAAGCCCCAGACCCTTCTCGATATCTTTGCCTTGCGCATGTTGTGCATCCCATTCCTCGCCTGGTGTAATCATCATCATGAATAACGATTCCGGTGCATCAAACTCTCTCTTCTTTGAATCAAAGGCGCCGCTCACACCGTGATCCTTGATATGATTCTTGTAGGTCTTTCGAAGTTTGACTCCCTTTGACTGACCATCCGGACCTGTTCGCGCGACGGACTTTGCGAGATCGTTGAGACCATACATCGAGAACAAGTCGTCACTAAGTGCAGGTAGACGTGTGTGGTGTTCTGCGCAACATATCCATGTTAACCAAGTTCTGCAAAGGGCGTTGCAAGGGGCTTGAGTTAAGCAGGGCCCCGAATACAATACCAGGGACTTGCAGATCTAGAGTAAAGAAGGGAGTCTTACGATTCTTGCAGAGGAGATATTTCTTGCCAACATCCAAATGAAGGTCATCGATACTCAATCTGCTAATCTCGACATGTGCTTTCTTATGCTCTTGATCCCCATTGTCTTCAATGTCACGCTTGCGCTTGTTATGGGACTCGTTCAGGAGAGCGACATCGGCAATGAGCTCTGGGGCGAATGCCTCGGAATACGACTTGCTACCGTTGATGCTGTGTGCTGGCGTAGGAAGGGAATTCGTGGGTCTAGGTGATGTGCCAGGTTTCGAAGGAAGTTCGTGTGCGGGATGAGCTTGGGAAGGGCTCTGAGGTGTTCGTGGTTGCGTAGAAGACATGTTGATCGGTATTCGGGTCTCTCGAAATCTTGGAAAGGGTGGAAACAAAGGGTGTTCGGGTTCGTGGTGGAGTGTCAAAGGTGAGCGGACAAGAGATTGCGAAGGTCTGCCAAATGCGCCAGAAGCCGCCTCGAGCGACCGAGGAGAAAGGAATATGTACTGGAAGTCGAATCGTGTTCGTAGCTCGAGGTAGAATGTGCTCTCGATAGATTCGCTCGACTTGTAGATGGGCGTAGGTTGGGAAGGTAGATAATGGGGAGGTCGGTCGCAATCTGCGCGAGAGGCCCCTCGACAGCGCTGCGACTACGTCGAATATGCGTTCATTCAATATCCTTTCTCGATACCCGCGACTCGATGTGTTCCTAGGCCTGTGTGAGGGTGGTTCGTTACGTCGTAGGTGGTGGTTGAAGAGATGAAGATCAACAACCTGGAACTTCGGAGCGTGCAAGATGAGCCCAGAACACACGCTAGCTTGAGATCACGTGAGTATTCAGCCTCACACGAAACTCGTGAATGCACAAAGATCTTGTAGGAATTGGAGTGATTCGGTCAATACAGAACCAAAAACAAGATTAATACAGTGATCAATTGCGAGAATGATTACAGTACTGTATTGTCGCATGCCGGATTTGCTCGAGCTGGGCTGGCCTCGGCCACTTTTTGCTGAGGATTAGTTTACGTCAGAATACCGCTAGACCTACTTGGATTTAGTGCACTTTTGGATAAAGAAAGCTTAAAAAAGTTTCGAGATCAAAAATTAGATATCAAGACAATCAGAGCAAACATGGCAAAACGACCACACAATACCGAGGACAGTGATGCAGCTCCTGCTGCTGTAGTAGATGAGAATTCTGACCCCCCGTCCAAAAAAGCCCGAAAGGAAACCAATGCTTCAGCACAACGAACGCTCTTCGTTCGTTCTCTGCCCGCCATAGCCACCAGTGAAGCGTTGACCGAGTTATTCTCCCAAAATTACCCCCTCAAACATGCCACTGTTGTACTCGATACCGATACCAAACAATCGAAAGGATATGGCTTTGTCACTCTTGCAGATGCGGAAGATGCCCAGAAAGCTTTGGAGGAATTCAACGGGCAGGTGTTTCTTGGGCGGAGAATGAAAATCGAGATTGCGCAACCACGTTCGCGAGAATTGACCAAATCGCAAGGCTTAGATGGGAAGAGGAAGAGTCAAATCTCTGTTGAAGCTGCTGCTATCAAAAAGGCCAGAGAAGAGAAGATGGCAGAGGATAGAAAACCACCGAAGCTGATCATTCGAAATCTTCCTTGGAGTGTCAAGACACCAGAACAGTTGGCGGAATTATTCAAGAAGTTCGGCAAAGTCAAACACTCCACTCTACCCAAGATTAAAGACGATACGCAAGCCGGCTTTGGATTTGTCGTGCTACGGGGTAGGAAGAATGCTGAGAAGGCCTTGGCTTCTATGAACGGGACGTTGGTGGATGGCAGAATAGTGGCAGTAGATTGGGCTGTCGATAAGAATGTATGGGAGAGTCAGAATAAGTCTTCCGAAGACCAAGACGAGGCAACAGACGATGAAGACAATGGTGCGAATTTGGACAAGCCAGCCGAGCCGGAGAATGAGGATGACGACGTGGCCAACTTTTTCAAGAATTTTGGAGACAATCTAGAATCAGAAGACGATGAGGATGGAGAAAAGCTTGATTCAGACCAGGAGATGGACGACTGGGAAGATGAGAGCAATAGCAACTCTGATGCAGAAGGTGAAGAGATGGAGGACGACAAACCCAAGAAAGTTCTCATTACGGACAATTCTACGACACTGTTCGTTCGCAATCTTCCCTTTACAACACTGGATGCAGACCTGAAAGAACATTTCAATCAATTCGGCCCTGTTCGATACGCCCGAGTAGTGATGGATCGTGCTACAGATCGACCAAAGGGTACAGGCTTCGTATGTTTCTTCAACGTCGAGGATGCAGATGCATGCTATCGAGGCGCCCCCCGCCATCAATTGACAGGTGCAAACGCCATCGCCCCCAAGGTCAAACATTCCATTCTCGAAAACGAGAACGCTGATTCGACGGGTTCCTACACCATTGACGGACGAGTCATACAGATTGCCAAAGCGGTGGACCGAGATTCAGCAAGCAAGCTTACAGAAAATGGTACGAATTTCCGTACTGAACGAGACAAGGACAAGCGAAAACTCTATCTTCTGTCAGAAGGTACAGTCGCATCTGGAACTCCTCTATATGAAATGCTTGCCCCATCCGAGGTTAAGATGCGCGAGGATTCCGCGATGCAACGAAAAAAACTAATCCAGACAAATCCCACGCTTCATCTGTCGCTTACACGTCTCTCGATCCGCAATCTACCCCGCAATATCAATTCCACGGACCTAAAAGCCCTTGCTCGAGAAGCAGTTGTCGCTTTCGCCAAAGATGTCAAGGACGGAAAACGTGCACAGCTGTCCAAAGAGGAAGAAGTCCGTGGAGGTGAAGATATGAAACAAGCCGAGAAACAACGAAAGGCAAAAGGCAAAGGCATAGTTCGACAAGCCAAAATTGTCTTTGAAGGTCGTGAAGGTGCCAAGATTCCCGAAGAAAGTGGTGCTGGAAGAAGTCGTGGATATGGATTTGTGGAATACAGTTCTCATCGATGGGCTCTGATGGGATTGCGATGGTTGAACGGACATGCATTGGAGAATGCTAGCGGGAAGAAACAACGTCTAATTGTGGAGTTTGCAATTGAGAATGCACAGGTCGTGCAAAGAAGAAAGGAAAAGGAAGAGAAAGCGAGACTAAGGAGCAAAGAGGTCGTGGAGATGAGAGAACGAGGGGAAGCCCCACCCAAGGAGAAGAAAGAGCTGAGCAAGTCAATCGTCATGAAGAAAACCCGAGTAGGAATGAAGGGAAAGAAGGGAAGGCCATTGAAAGCCGAAAAGTCTTTCGACAAAGTTGAGATCAAATCTCCAGTTACTAAGAGGAAGAGAGACGGAGACGAGGACCAAGGTCCGAGAAAGAAATCCGCAAAGGGTGAAGGTGCCAAGCCAGAAGAATCTTCTGGCAAGGATGAAAAGTTGAGGATGAAGGCTCAGATTATCCAGAAGAAGCGAATGGCGAGGAAGAATCGTAAGGGTTGAGACATGGCTTCTGACTTGCTTGTATTGATTATGATACCAATTCTGTTATCATGAATGTCAAAATATTTCTCCGGAGGTGGTTGCATCAAAACTCTCTAGGCAACCTTGACATGAATAACTCTTTGTCCGTGGATGACTACCGTATTCACAGTGTGCAGCAACCCACTTTCCGAATCACATTCGGTGCAGTAACACTTAAGCCTCACTCAGCAACAGACTCCGATGCCTTCAGGCCGAACGCATCCTAAATTCGTGGACATATTCTCCTTGAATTGGGTGATGGCATATGGAAAGTGCGTTGTGCATGAGCATTCCGTGCAAGAAAAGAGGCATATCTGAATGACAGTCCGAAGACGATGATATCAGGTAGCACTGTACGGAATTCATGAGCACGGTTCTTACTCAAATTTGTCTCAATACATACCCATCAAGTGAGGTTTCTCTTCTAATAGTCTGCTTTGGATCATATATAATCTATCTATGACAAGTTTCCTCCTCACATTTCCCATATTGACCAAAACATAAAAATAAATCATGTCTACCCCACCACGAGAAGAACAAAGTCTCAACAACCCCGCAATCGATCATTGATGGGGAAACATGACACCACACCCAGAACAAGAGCCCATGTTTCCCATATCAATCTCGGCTTTGGATATCAAGAAAAGCAATTGCAAGAGGGTCCCGGCGGGCGGAGATTTGGATCTGGTTCTCGTCGATGACAGGGAGGATTGTGATGATAATGTGCGTTGGAGACCAAGTCCCGAGCCTGTTGAGAGTCATGGGGATTGATGATTAGGTTTAAATGGATATATTATACAAAGCTTGTATAGTTAGAACAATGAACATATAGTTGGTGATATCACAACCGTTTTCTCGCTGGCTCAGTGACATCTCACAACAAGCTTGTTGCTTGCTTGACCTCACAGGATTTCAACTCTCGTCATTCATCAGCCATGTTCCTCCCTCAAAGGCCAATACAGATCTTTCTCCCACTCCAGAAACCTTTCTGGATACCTGGGACGTAATCCGAATCCCAGAACCCTCGTAGTAACCGCTGGCCGTTTATCTAGTGCCCACCCGTCCTGCAACTCCGCTATCACCTCTCTCGCCCTCTCCTTACTCAAGTGCATCAGAATCATCAACCAGGATCAAACTTCAAGATTAGATTCTTCTGTCCCTTCCTCTTTTTTCGACGATCTTGAAGCCCCTCCAAATAACCCAAAGAATTATCAATTTCCTCAGAGATGGTCTCTAACTCATCTCCCTGACTCCACCCTCGCAGCTTGACGTTGGCCGTGCCGTTTTTCTTGTGAACGAGCCTTAGACGCTTACATTCGAAACTGAACTGCGTTCGTTGCTTGCTTAATTTTGGAAATAGCATCAAGTATTGGTTTTTGTGTTCGGAGGGCAGTCTGCGCACGAGTGTGATTTTGTTCGAGGGTTCCAGAATGGTTGGTGCCGCTTCGTTTGGAAAAGTGGCTTTTATTTTTGCAAGGAAGGGGAGAAGTGGCTTGGGGTCGATATGCATGAAGAAGCTAAGAAGGTGATCGTTATTTATAACGAGCGGCGTCTGTCCTTTGCCCATAGTGGTAGATGAGGTTGTTGACAATTGGAAGAGGACCACCCGGCAGTTGTTGGTTCACGTGATCGTCTTGGGGATTGACGAGGCAATAAAGACGTTGAGCAGGTTACGGACAACTACATCTGGGAAGCAGACTGAGGGCCAGACTTGAGTGTCCCAATGCTTGAGATTGAGATTTAGATTTGGGATGTTGGCAAAGGGGAAAGAGAGGTTGGCGAAGAAATTTAAATCTAAGGCTGAAGTATGAAGCGGCCGCCCCCACATTAAGCGAGCCTCTCTGGCAGAGGAGAGGAGCTCTTGACATTTCTCTCGCTCCTCCTATAGAGGCAAGTCTACGGAAAATGAATAATTTAATCAGCAGCATACTTCAGTGGAACCTTTGTATTGCCGATATCTATGAAATATTTCGATCTCCAGGTATCATATCACCATGCTTAATTTACCTTTGTACCAGGAGTTTTCTGGAGTTTGCGGAGTTTCCCGATCTCGACATCGCCTTCCTTCTCGATAAAAGGTTTTATACCAGTGGCCATCCTCCTCGCTACTAGAGTCAAATGCTCATGGCCAGAGGGAGCTGACAAATGAATCTCAAAGAACATATATCTGAAAAGGGTTTCACACTTTCCTTCGTCCCTGCCATTAATTTTCTCATACTCAATGATTTCATCTCTGAACTCTGCTTCCACAGCATCTAGGAATAACGAGTATCGTTTGTGCAAGGTGAAATGATCGAAGTTGAGCAGCAGTGCCTCGGACGTGAGACGGGAGGCCAAAGAAGACAGAAGATCTATGGGTGTCAGGGGTGTTTTTTTGTAGTTGCAAGCAACTTGTGAAGGCGTGGAAAAGAGTGAATTATGGCTGATTGTCTGAGATGGATCCAGGAAAGGGGGGGATTCCAAGGCCTCTCTTCCGCAGCCAACATCCGAACTAGCACGCAGAGGCTCTACACTTAGTTGACCAGGATCATCTTGAAGGAGGCTATGCAGCATTATTTCAGCAAGGTCAAAGCCACGGGTTGACGCGATGGCACTATTTGCATCTGCGTACATGCGGTCAACAAATAGCTGAGAGTAGTAACAGTTGGGCAGAAGCATCTCGGCTGTTGCATCATTTTTCCCTTTGAGGCCGTGCCGAATTTTGAAGCGAGAAGAAGAAGGACGTCTGTCAAAAAGAAACAAAGTCAATTAGCCAAACTTTTTCTTTGGCATAGGAGACGCAATGTTCTACAAAGCAGTCAACTTACATTTGGAGTCGAATGGGGTTTGTGTGTTTTGAGAAGAAGTCTCTTGTGCTTGTCTTTATGTGATCTCAATTATCTGTGTCGAAAGTTCGTGAATAGCGCAGATAGTATCGATATCTTGCCAAAGCAATGACTCGGGAACTCTTTGGCATACTATGCTGTAAAACTGGGCTGTGCACAATATTGCTCCCCATCGATTGGTTTCGTCGAGTCTGGTCTGTAACGACTTGTGCGAGGTTGGGCAACTCGATGTACGACACAGTGAAATTCGTTCGTCGTGGGAAGCATTGCTCGGCAGCGTGTATCAGCCAGGTGGTAACGAGCCTGTATCATAAGTCTGTGTTTTTTTAGGCCTTCTCGCTAACAAAAGAACGCTGAAGCAAAATCCTGATTTTTAAATCTATACTCAAATCAAATCAAATCAATTGAGTTGTATTCCTCAATCTCAACTTCCTTCAAGTACAAAATCAAAGTTCTAAACGATTCCTGTTTGTAGTTATTCTATAGTTTTAAGGTAAAGCGGTGGAATTTGATTTTCGTCGCTTAAAAAATGCCCTGTAGATGCCTTATAAAACACAGACTTATAACACCAGGCTCGTAAACTTTGCTTGCTTCGATTTGTATCCCGTGTAGGCAGACGACAGGTTGAGTTTCTCCATTTGTACGCTCGCAGAGTAGGTATCGAGGAAAGTAAATGCATTTTGAGAGAGCGGATGGGTAAGGAATTCGATATTTTACGTGTCGTCGCGATCCGACGTGTCGAAAAACGTTTGCAAGTAGTTCTCCATTAGGACTAGCGTTGCATACATCTTCCTTGGTGTATACCGTTACCTGTTTGTTCGACTCTCAATAGCTATTGTGGACCCGATTATTTGTGCTGGTACGATTGTACTCCAGAGTTTGTGATGCTGATGAGAGATGGTTGCTGTGAGGAGGACGCGGTGAGCACCAGACGCGTGAGAGTTCTTGGCATTCCTCGCTACTGGAAGCGAGCAACCCCTGAGCCCCTTAGCCCCGTGCTAGACAGTCCACTCCATCAGTCTCCTGCTTATTTAGAGCTTGTTTGTTCTCGAGACTCTCAACTTATATGCCTCAGAAGAAGTATGACGTAGTGATGCAAAAGATAGAGTCAACCACAATTTTGAGCATTAGGTACTTGGACTATTCGAGTCATGATAGGTGCTTTTGAATGCTAAATTTGAGTCATCTTACTCAACAGATAATTTTTTGTTTCTATATAATGAGTCTCTGCATGCTTCAATTGTGTCATCTAGCTCAAACCTTCTAATAGTAGTCAACTTTCATCAAAGTGAGCACTCATTACACAATGTCAAGTTTAGCTATAGCACTTCAAGGCTTCTTCACAAATACAACGCTCTGGAATCATAACACCATAGAGCGCAGTCACTATGAAGCAGCTCTTGACGCAGCGCGAATCTTAAGTCGTGCAGCATACCCTCCTTCAGGAAGCACATCACGTGCTATACTTTTGAAAGAGTGTACAGGAACCGTGGATCTCACGAATACAGAGCAAGCAGACGTCCTGAGAATCATACAACATCTTCAAAGTAATGTTTATGACGCAACCGATGAAGCAGTCAATGGTCTGGGAGGAAGGTCATTGCCAAAGGATTTACAGGACGAGGTTGACGCAGTTGTGAAACGACTCCAGAACAAGAAGCAAGCAATCGAGTATCGAGTACTAGTTGGATTCATGAGAGATGACGAAACATCTACACCGTCGATTTATACACAAGCACTGAATGTGAGGTTCTTTGCGGAATCCGTCTGTTCTAAGCTGACAATTCTAGTGCGAGAAGCAAGACTCCGAGGCCCAACTCGCAGTTCCAAACTCGGAGCCAGAGCCATTAGAGCTGGGAGTCGCAAGTCATAAGCACATACGCTCCATCAGCTTGTCTTCTATCAGCGGCATTGCAACCCTACAATGTTCATTGATGGCGCTTCAAGCATCAGCTTGCTTCTACAGGTCTCGCAATATGTTGAGGAGTTTAACTATCACATCTCTCGCGTATAAACTGCTTCCAGATACTTTCAATCTAAATATGGCACACGCATCTATCGTCATGTAGAACTGGTTACGTGCGTTCCATGCCATTCTATGTTTACGTGGCGTAGACTTTCAACAAAAGACCACGGGATGATATTGAGGAGGAGTGTTTCAGGGGTTGTTGTCTTGCTAGAGCCAGAATACTCAAAAAATAGCGTTGTACTTAGCAATGGACATTCCGGATGATTTGAGTTCTTTGATATCCGTGAATGTCGAATCCCACATGTGGCGGATGCGAATACCGAGTAGCAATGCAAAGATGTTATTCACAAATCGCCTCTTAATGTTTCGAACTCCGAGCAATATGCATATAATCATCTCAATGAAGGTACTACAATGTTCTCGCCGCATCTCGACAATCGAAGGCATCTCAATCCAGCAACCAAATCTTCAAACAAAAGAGTATTTCCAAAACGTCACGTCCCGTTACAGCTGCCATAGAAAATGTCTGCCCTTAGTTTCACATCTTACCTTTCACACCAAATTGCACACACGGATGACTTCACAGAATCAGCAGCTCTTCAAACTGTGCAAAGAGTCACACTTGGGATGCTGCACATGGTTGATAGCAAGAAACCATCTTCCACAGCCATTCAGCTTGCCAAAGATAGAGCAGCAACCCCTGCGGCTCCAACTCCAACCTTATCTCCTCCAACTATCTCCAGTCTGATCAACACAGAGAAACTCATTCTCCCCACCCGTCTAGCCAGCTTCCTGACATTCACATCTCGATTCTCCCATTCTTACGCAAGCAATTTCTACGCTGCATGCACCGATCTAGCTATCCTCGAAACCATCTCTCTGACTCCCCGTGGAGAAAGAGAAGATGAAATCCAAGATTGGATTGAAGAACAAATTCCTTTGGCGCAGCTTGGATATTTCAAAGCGAAGAAGAGGAATATGCTGGAGAAAGTTATGTTGGAAACAGTCATTGGTGGGGTGCAAATCGGGTTGGTGATGGGTATGGGGACTTTGAGAAATGCGCTGGAGGAGCTTGACGCGGAATGGGATGAGGTTGGAGGCGAGGCGAAGCGATCGAGTGCGAGTATGAAGTCGGGAGATAAGAAGAGGTTGGAGGAGTGGATCACGGAAGGGGTGGATTTCATTGCCGATTTAGAGGTTTTGAAGGAGGTTATTGGAGAAAGGTACGCAGGTCCTGTTGGAGATGGGTACAAGAAATTGGCGACGGACATGTGTACTGAGGGAATCGGGAGTCAATCCGAGGCTCGCGGTGAGAGTGGGAGCCCAGAAAGTTTTGTGAGTGTTGGAGATGAATCGAAGGTCTACGGTCCAGCCCCAGCCATCCCCGAGAGGTCAAGCAAGAGAATGGCTCAGTACCTAGGTAGATAGAGCAGAGTAGTTTGTACTGTGGAATGACTGAATAAAACATCCATAAAATGGAAAATACGTAGTTGGAAGCGACCGTGGTCTCTCTGCCAGCAGATCTCAAGAAGAAAAAATGAAACTCAATAGCAGGCAAGCAGCACGAACGACAGAAGAAAAGACACTGACTCAATCCCAGTCTCTGTCAGTGAGAGAATGAATGAGCAAGTCACGGAGCAGCCTACACCATATTCTCATGCTCCAACCTCATTTCCTCCTTTTCTCCGCAGGGCACTCGCTCACGTGCCAGGATAGCATCTCTCACAGTCCCATACAGTACAACACTTCGTTCTCTGGACCAGCTGTCACTAGCTTCATGCTCTTCAACGAGCTGCCAGCCTCCTCTTTGAAGCTTCCCAACCAGATTCTCTCTCAGTCCGGCAAAGCGTATCTCGATATCGCCTCCAGCATAGGCTTTCAGCTCAGTCTGCATGTCTTTCAGAGCCTGAATGCCGGACATATCGAGGTACATGACACCTTGTAGATCAAGAACGAGAACAGTGACTCGAGGCAGATATTCTGCTTCATTGACTGGAATTTCTGCCTTCCGTCTCAGAAGTGCAGTATGTTGAGCTCCTAGCTCGTTCCATAATCTGTCAGGATTTTTGGACTGCGAATCAAATCCTGAAGGCGCACCAGAATGATATGTTTGGACGGCATCCAGGATATTGCTCTTCGCACGAGATGCGTTGAGGAATATGATGGGGTGCGAAATCTTCACGAGGGCAGTGCCTGCAGGAAGCTCATCAACCCTGTCCCCGTTCGAGGAAGAAGGGTAATGCTGGGCGAAAGTATCTTTTTGTACTGTCTGTGCTTTTGAGAATATAGTGGAGAGGAGAGTATAAGCAACCATGAAAGCGGTTGCAGTCTCAATACCTTCCTCAGCAGAGACGAAAAGAGTGACCCAGAAAGCGATTTGAGAAGCTACAAAGTCCGCAAAGCTAACTTTCCAATACGATATGAAGACCGACACAGGGACGACAATTTGCCACACAGCGACGATGATGACGGCGGACAGAGTCGCCTTTGGGATCCAGAACAACGCACCTGTCAGGAAGTAGACAGAAAGCAAAACAGCTCCACTTGTGAAAAGTCCGCTCAATGGGGATTTAACACCAGACTCGGAGTTCACCGCCGTGCGTGATGCTGCTCCACCGACCGCCATTCCGCCGAAGAAGCTGTTCAGGACGTTGATCACACCAAGAAAGGTAAGTTCTTGACTTTGGTCGATGGTATAGTGATTCTTCCGACCAAATGACTTGGCAATCGCGATGTGTTCGAGAGCAGCAGCGATGAACACCGCAAGACTGGACTGGAAGACTTTGCCAACAAGAGCTAGGTCGGGACTTTTCGGAGGTATCAAGCCGGAAGGAATCTTCCCAGTGAGATCAAAGATTGGAGTCTTGATATCTTTGTTGACAAAGAAGCTGATGATCGTGAACAGCAATATCGTGATAGCATTTCTACTAATCGACATAATCCAGACTACCTTCGATTGCTTGCCCCACCTCTGCCCAGCGTACTGCATAATGCATAGTAGTAATATGCCGGAAATGCCGACGGCAAATGTGATCGGCTTTGTTGTCGGAAGTTTCGCGAAGATGTCGTGGATTTGATTGGCAACTCCAGTGCCAACAGTTTCTCCGAATATTGCGGGCACCTGACCGAGGATGATAGTGATAGCTGCCGCCGAAATGAATCCCGTGAGAACAGGAAGAGAAACGAATTCGAGAAAGAAGCCGAGTTTCAAAAGCCCCATCACCAAACAATAGATTCCCACGGAGAAGGCTATTGCCACCGCAATTGCTGTTGGCGTGTACCCATCTACTGAGACTTGTTTGATTATTTGTGCTGTGAGGAGACCAATGATCGAAGTTGGTCCAGTATTGATATCTCGAGCAAAATTAGCAGTGTCCACAAGTTTGAAGCAATCACTCACCTTTGGATGTGCCCATGATGAAGTACAAAGCTGAAGGCAGCCAGGAAGCGAGTAGACCATCTTGGAGAGGTATTCCTGCAATTTTTGCATATGCTAGAGCCTGGGGGACCAAGATCACGCCCACTGTCAACCCCGCAATAAGGTCATTGATGAGCCAGCGGGGCGAATATTTGGGAAGCCACTGAACAACTGGCACTTTCTGCAAGAGGTATCTTCCTGCTGCTGGAGGTAGTTCGCTTGCTCCATGGAAAACAGATTGTTTCACTCGGCGTAGGTTTTCGTCTTTCCCGAGTTCAGATAGAACGTTCTCTCTACTGAGAGTGTACTTCATCATCACTGAGGCAAACCGTGAGAGTCGAAGGCGGGTTGAGTACCTGAAGACTTGAAAGTAGAAGGTTGTTGACTCCGGATTTGCTATAGCATAGCAGTCATACTGTAATAGGCACAAGCTTCTTTTATGAGCAATGCTATATCAGACAATGCCGTTTCAATAGAACTGATAGTCGTTCCATTCCGTGCTTTTCGATCTGGAGGCTGCGCTGAAAATAGATGAAACCTCATCGAATATTGCAATAGAACATATCAGGACGTTTGCTAAATATAACGGGACGTGCACGCCTCTAGTCCTTGTCCTAGTAATCGACAGTTGATCCGGGGTAGCGATATTTAGCGGCTCGTCATGGAGAGGCGTTTCATACTATGATCACCTCCCGGTATGTTCAGTTACTTTGCGCTGCCAAAATTTGACTTGAGAAACGCTAGGAATCGGCCCTATTGACACTTTTGTGACAGAAATAGCTCATCATCGTGAACAGTATGCAATGGAATCAACGGAGCGAAAATAGAGATCTGGCAACGCATATCGCCAGAGGGTAGGGCTACTTGCTCACCCAAGACAATTTCGTCTGCTGTTCATGAGTTTGCTTCACTAGAACAGCAGTTCCAACGTCAGCAAACCTTGAAATCGCATGTGCGGTTTTGCATGCCAAAACATGAAGCCTGGTAGATGATCTCAAACTTTCTATACAATCATGTTTCCAGATCTGCAGAATTCAGCCTGGCAGAGTAGATACCGAGCTCAGTCCGGAATTTAGCGTCCTCGAAAATTGTCCGGGAAGTGGCTTTCCGGTTTGACTCAAAGTTGGGGTGGCAGAGCTTCTTCGTCTGAACTTCCCATCCAATAGCGGGGGTCTTGGCGCTGGATCTGCCGCTAGATTTGTTTCGCCACCGTTCTTCGTGATCTGATAGTGATAACCTTATTCAGTCAATACCAGAACTACCTCTGCAGTTTTGTCCGAAGTAGGGGTAAGATGACCCCAGGTGAGCTGAAAAGGATTCCTCCACCTGTGATCCGACCACTCCGTCCACTGTTGAACGCAAAAGCTTTGAGCTACGCGGCAGGGAGTGGAAGTCGGTACTTAACAAATACTCAACCATATCCTGGTAGGCACGGACGTTTCCCGTCATTTTCGTGCAGAATGTCCCACGCCGTATTTGAATCTTGCCGAGGTGGCTCAGCCCTCTGGTTCCCTTCTCAGCAACACCCACCGGAAGGAAATCCCTTTTCGATCACTGGAGTTTCATTCTCCGTTCTTCTGACGTCTTTACAGCTCTATAGTCGTGCTCTCGGTCCCGAGTCCTTGTATACGTGACCGACTCTCAGCTCGTTAGGATATTGTCTGTTGGCTTTCGTCAGGGCAATGCGTGATTGTATCGCGTAGTCTTCTGAGTCGTATACCGGTGTTCGGAGAATGCAAGGGTCTTGCTATGAAGGTGTAATCCATCGTTTTATAGAAGATGGATGCTGTTGAGAAGGATGGCAGGGAGAAAATGCGCGTTGGAATGAAAAGTCGCGTCGTTGTGTTTGGGTGAGGCTGGTTGGGTCTAATCTATTTATGGAAGTTTTACCGAGTCATTATCATTGGCCGAAATATGCTGTTGTGAAACTTTGAAAAAACGACTTGTCTTTTTTATTCTACTCCCAATTATCCGCGCAAAGTAGGACAATTAGACATGAATAACTTGGCACACGAAAATTCGTCCATCAAACCTTGCTTTGGAATAGCACAATTTGAACCCTTTCAAGATGCTTAGCTTTCTTGCAAATTACGCCAACAATTACCGGTATTGCCGGCCTATAACCGACATGCGGGGTCCCCACGTCAAGTACATCATGACTGCGCTGTCTGCAATTGATACTTTAACTCCTCTGTCATTGTATTTGGAAGAATGAAACGTTCTCAGCGAGTAATTGGGAACGCGCACCAGGCGCTCCACAGATCACCTCGTCATGGCGTCTCACCCTCTTTGAGGAGATCTTACGTTACGGAGACACAGAGGAGAAGGGCCACACCGGTAGCTGATAGAGGATTAAGTTATCCTCTTATTAATCACCACTATGAGTAAGCTATGCCTCTATTTTGTGTCGTATATATGACTGACAACTTAAGCGCAATTGTGGTTGGAGCGGGCGGTGCTGGCCTTCGAGCGGCGGTTGGCCTCGCAGAATCTGGTCTTGATACAGCATGTATCAGCAAGCTGGTAGTAACCCAGTCACAATTTGGCACTTCATACACATGAATTCAACGGCATTTTATACATCACGTTGCTGTCGCACGTATCGATAGAGTCGAGACACAACTAACATGACTTGCTTAGTTTCCTACCAGATCACATACCGTTGCCGCTCAAGGAGGTATAAATGCCGCTCTTGGTAACATGACTGAAGGTTTGGCTCTATCCTCCACTCGATGACTTCAACTCAACTCAATCAGACGATTGGAGATGGCACCACTACGACACAGTCAAAGGCAGTGATTGGCTCGGCGACCAGAATGCGATTCACTACATGACCCGAGAAGCCAATGCCGCCATCTACGAACTAGAGAATTATGGCATGCCATTTTCCAGAACAGAAGAAGGACGCATCTACCAACGGGCTCTTGGTGGTCAGTCCTTGAAGTATGGAACAGGAGGGCAAGCGTATCGGACCGCTTGTGCTGCTGACAGAACTGGCCATGCTCTACTTCATACTCTGTATGGGCAGAGCTTGAAGCACAATACCAACTTCTTCATTGAGTATTTTGCGTTGGATCTGTTGATGGTTGACGGTGCTTGTGTGGGAGTTTTATGTCTAAGCATGGAAGATGGCACACTTCATCGGATATTCGCAAAGAATACTGTTCTGGCAACTGGAGGCTATGGAAGAGCTTATTTCTCGTGCACTTCAGCGCACACTTCGACTGGAGACGGGAATGCGATGGTAGCAAGAGCCGGACTGCCAAATCAGGACATGGAGTTCGTCCAGTTTCATCCTTCCGGGATCTATGGAGCAGGAGTTTTGATTACGGAAGGTGCTCGAGGAGAAGGCGGATATCTACTGAATGCCAATGGAGAGCGTTTCATGGAGAGGTGAGTGGTATCTTTAAGTCGAAGAAAACCCAAGAGCTCAGATGCGACACAGATATGCTCCTACAGCAAAAGATCTAGCATCCCGAGACGTAGTGTCCAGATCAATGAACATGGAAATCAAGGAGGGTAGAGGATGCGGACCCGAGAAAGATCATGTTTACCTTCAATTGTCCCACCTGCCACCAGACATCATCAAAGAACGGCTGCCAGGAATTGCCGAAACAGCGAACATCTTCTCAGGTATTGACATCACCAAAGAACCCATCCCCGTTCTCCCAACAGTACATTACTGCATGGGTGGCATTCCGACGAATTATCAGGGCCAAGTCTTGTCGATTGCTGACGACGGGTCCGAGAAGACAGTTGATGGTCTCTATGCGGCAGGAGAATCGGCATGTGTCTCAGTTCATGGAGCGAACAGACTCGGTGCAAACTCACTCCTCGATATTGTGGTGTTTGGACGAGCATCCGCTCTCCATATCGCTGAGAACAACGAAAAAAGTTCACCTCACGTCGAAGCACCAGAAGACATTGGCAAAGAGTCCTTGGCAGATTTGGAAAGGATACGGATGGCATCGGGCGATATTCCTAGTGCAAAATTACGAATGGACATGCAGAAGGCAATGCAGACCGACGTCGCTGTTTTCAGGACCGAGGGCTCCCTCGCGACAGGTGATTCCGCAGTCCAACAAGTCGAAAAAGACTTTGCAGGGCGTCTCAGCGTCAGCGATCGGAGTCTAATCTGGAACAGCGATTTGATCGAGACATTGGAGATGAGAAACCTTTTGACCTGTGCAAGTCAGACTGCGAAGAGTGCTTTGCTGAGGAAGGAGAGTCGAGGAAGTCATGCGAGAGAAGACTTTCCTGACAGAGACGATCCGGGTTTCTTGAAACATACTTTGAGCTGGCAGAAAGAGGGTGAAGACGTCAGGATCGGGTACAGGGATGTGGTGATGAGGACCTTGGATGAGAAGGAATGTGCTAGTGTGCCGCCGAAGAAGAGATCATACTGAAACGATGGATCTAAAGTCTTGTGTCTGCAATTGTACATATACGGAAGGGAAAACAGTTCAATTGCACAGAATAGTATATTTGCTGATGTTGCACTGAGACTACCACTAAATGCAGCTTTTAATCATGGACCATCGCCCAACTAGTTACTCCTCCTCATCCGTGTAGGGCAAAAGATACTCGGAGACGGATGACGTCTCATCAAACTCCTCCCTCGCCATCTTTTCCGGATAAATCTTGGTATGATTTGTACCGTCGCGTCTAATGCTGTCAACGAACATTCAACCACTAGATTCTCCAGGCTGTTCTTACCTGGCTATGAGCCAGTCGTACAATTCAATGATTATTACCAACAGCACGAAACTGCCCAGCACGGACCGCATCTGAGAAAGAGAAAGAGTGAAGATATCGTCATCCTTTTGGGCTACAGCTGCGAAGATGACGGACCTCCACCACTCGTTCATGATGATTGATCTCAAAGCTTGTAATTTCCGTTGTGGTCGACGGCTGAAAGTTCTTCGATGTTGTATCTTCCGATCCAAAGTTCGTTGAGATGAGGAGAATGCAGAACAGTCGATGGAATAATTGAATTATAGGTTTGTGTGATTTCGGATGGGCTAATCTTTAGGGCCCAGCTTCTTAATCGTAAGCCATGTTCACAATGTTATCCGCATTTAGTTTATCTAGTAGGCAAATTTTGGTGACATATCTACACATTGAAGCCACATATCCAGACCACCGACTTGGAGAAAGAACGCTTGAGCTCCATAATAGTATACAGTTTGAACTTAGTCTACACATTCAATGCCGGTTCTCTGGAATTTAAACCATGAGCACAAGTTTCCCTTCTCGGTGCACATATCCACTTGTCCACCATCACTTTCCTCTGCAGCTAGGACCACCTCCATTTTCAAATCCAAGATGATACCTTTCTCGAAGCTTTCCTCACAACCCTCAACCTCTGTCGGCGTATTTTGACTAAAAGCCTTGAATCAGTAAAATTTTAAAGAACTACGGAAGGAAGGAGAAATCACCTCATCAGTGACTTCCATGTCTGGTAGGCTACTAAAGTCATCCAAACTACCGTAAATGCCCACAAAAGTAACATTCCACAAGCGGCAACAATGCGCCTCATTTGTTGGCCTTGGAGTATGCTGAATAGTGGATGAGACTCCATGACTTCGAAGTGTTGGAGTGGTACGACTGGCATGAGAGCGTAGTCGGCGCGGATTGTTGGAATGAACATCTTGGATGTTGGTTTCTGTCTTTTCTTCTGTTTCTGAAAGTTTTGAGGAAGTATGATCAAGTGTGTGGTGGGAGGTACATGCAATATAAATATCTTCCAGTGAGGTGGGCGTTGGAATTTGGACTGTGGCGGGAGCTAGTATTTTCGGGTCCACCATTCGAATACTATAGCCCATATTCGAACAAATGCAAATTGGCGAGATCTAAACTTGTCATAACTTATTTTTGACATTGATATGCAGACTAGGAACAGATAGCCCTTTCTTCAAAACGGTACTTCTAGACATGAATGTTCGGCCAAGATCAGTGCTCAAGCATATTATCTTTGCCCGACCCAAGCTGTGAAGAACAAAGATGTTATAGAATTATCTCCATATGGACCTCAAAGGGGACTAAAGACGAGTATGATAGTTCGCTTTCACGCAAAAAGTCCTTAGAGAAGGGGTTTGGCTCAAGTGTGCACACGCGGCCGCGTCTGCGCCAACACGTGTTTGTATAGGGTGAATAGCTTCAACAACCCAGATCGCACAAAACAAAATTTCCATTCGCAAACCCAGACGCATTCTTCATCTCTAGTCACGAACGTTTGTAACAACAAATTCATGAAATTGAGCTTCTACAACAGTCAAATCACCATTCAAGACCCTGGTCACGAATGGCAAAGCCTTCGCTATGCACTCCCTGAATCATCTCCTGAATTGCGTTCGGGCTCGCCTTAGTACAAAAGAAACCTCAATCAAGCCAAAAGACCCCGAAACACCCGCCGAAAACATCCTCCATAATCGCAAGACTTCCAATAACGATTCGATCAAGAGCGACTTCGCCAAAATGGAAGAAGAACGCATTGCTCTTGCCCGAGCGCAAACCACTCTCGACTTCTACGGTCACTTGAAGGCTCTCGACAAGGTACACCTGGATATGAAGCCAGATCCCACTCTGGTGGACGAGTTTGGCCGCATGTTTACCTATGCTCTGTTGCGCGAGGCGAAGGATCCGAAGAAGGTGTTCCAGATTGAGCGCTTTGTGGAGCTTCATCGACGGGCAACGGAATTCTGGTTCAAGTATGGTGAGAAGAGGAGAGAGAACTGTAAGCAACCTTCTAATCTTCTCCCAACCACCCTAAGTCCTCTGGGAGTGGAAGGCTCCCGTGTGTGCCAACACACACTGACATGCCAACAGGGGACTCTATCTTCATCTCGCCTGAAGACGAACGTCTGAATATCAGGTTGCTACGGGAGTATGATCGAAAGTGGAACATCAGAAAGGTAAATGGGAATTCGAAATGTCTGTGAGAATACTATGTGTGGTTGCTGCGTTGGTGGGAATGAATCATGGCGTCTGCTTGCCTTTCTGTAGCTAGCGATCGTGGCGTGCTTGTGATAATGAATAACTTCGTAAGCATGCATTCTGTATCTCCAGATCTTTTACAGTGACAATTAAGCATCCTCTTCGTGGTGCCATCTTTCAGTCGAAGTAGCGCATCTACGGGAATGTTCCAATAGAACTTTGGATAATCGACAATGAAGCCATGTAGTGTTTCTTGGAAAGACTGAAGCATTATAGGAAATCGTCGTCCACCCGGCCTTGAGCTGTTCGTCCATACCGGCCTCCTATTCCTACAAGTCTCTCTCAATGACTATTTGAATTGCTTAGCAGTATGTGGTATGCGTTCAGACTGAATCGAGTGTAATGTCTGCGATCGAAAGTGGCGTTGGAGTACGAACATCGAATGCTCGTTACTGTTGAGGAAGAAGGTTGTTTCGAAGTCAAGGCTCAGGAGGTCGGCAGACCTGCGAAAAAGACAGAAGATAAAGAGTCCCTGCAAAGCAGAAGCATCCTCGAGTTTGGTTGCAGTATCGAACTGCTACAGCTAGAGAGAGTATGCGTCAGTGATTGAAGCAAAAGATGTTTCCAGATCGCGATGAAGAACTTACAAGCGCCTTCTTGCCATCGCACGTCAATCAGCTCTTGTTACTATGACTTGATGACTACATCGTTTGCGTTGAACTTTCTAGCAGGATCCCAGACAACTGTTGCCTTTCTCGCTCTCTGGATTGAGTATCCAAGTTGACCTTGGTTCCGGTCTTCTCTAGGCTGAAGAAGATGCAAGGCTACGTCCAGCCATAGCTTCGCAGGTGCTCCGCAAAGGTTTGCCGGAGGTGAAATATATGCGGAGACGCGGATACGGCCGCCAACACCTTTAAATCTGGTCATCACTTGAACTTCTGAGTGAAATTCCTTTGAAGATAGAACTTTGACGCAACGTTCAAAATCCAAACCGCAATGAATTGCAGGCTACTTCAAGAAAAGGGCCTTAATGTAGCCTCATGTCTCATCGGCGATCTCAAGGCTCCACATCATAAACCCACACCTTCTCTGTAGAAAGTCACAGAAGGAGGAGTCATGCGACATCTACCTCTACCGAGGACGCAAATCCTTCACTGTGCCTGCCATGATTAGCATTAGCTGTTCCTGGAGTGTCCTGCATTCGGGAACGTACTTAGAAAAGAGCACAATCTTCGCTGCAGACCAATAACATCCGCTTCCACGCATGTTGGGAAACACACTGCAAGGTCTCCCCAACAATGAAGGATAGTCCCGTGCAGAGCCGGCCAAAGTACATGACTGACTTCGTCCTAGCTATCCGATGGTGTGTTCTGTCAACCAATACTTGTCCATGGGCAACATCAAGCCCGACGTGATTGATGCAGGAGAATCTACATCAAGCGACGCCAACCTGGCTCCATGCTCTTCTGATGGGAAGTTTCCTTCTTCTCGTCGCATTTCAGGCCTCACCGCACGATTCGGTTGTTCATTGGCTTTCAGACATAGCACATTGTCGCCCATCATCGTTGCATCACCATCACTGCATCCCTATGCATCACTGGGATGAAGTCATTCCGTCCTTGCGCACTCGTTCCCCTGGGATGTCATTCCATCCATCGTCTTCTATCCCCCAAACAAAAATGCCCGCCTCAACACTGCATCCCTCGCCAGCTGAGCAAACCCCCCTTGACCATCCCTGCACGACTAAGCGAGCCGTTGCGACATTTGCGGCAAGCTCCCCTATTTGCTTTTTCGGCGATAAGCGACGTAACACACACAAAACCCATAGCTGGATTCCTTCCGATTCGAAAAGCAATCATCCCATTCCATTCCAATGAACGTCGTCAACGTGAAGATATCGCCACTTCACCTCACCTGAGACGTACTTTAGAGCTGAGCTTCTGCTTTTCAAGACGAACCGTTGGTCCCTGCAAGCTCTTCCTCTCGCGTAGAATTTATTCTCCGTGCCGGCCAGGAGATACTTCATAGGTCAGTGAGATGATGATGTGCAGTAGTGGGTGGCGAGAAGTCGTGATGATGGTTCAGTTCAGCCGGTGGTTGAAGCGCACAGCCACAGCTGAGTCGCGAGGCTGAACAATGGTGGGGTTGCATGCATATCGTATGCGGCTGACGATGGTGTAAAGGCCGAAGAGTATCGGACATGGCCCGCTTTGGGAGGGATAACTTCTTCATTGGGATCGGAAGAGATCGATGTTCAGGGAGACATGGATGGTGATGATGCTTCATCATGAAAAAGGGCAAATGTATGATAATGGTAAGGAGTTTTGGATTGAGAGAGGTTGAAGCATCGATTGGTTGCTAAGTCCAACTCCAAAAGTGTTAATGCCATGCAAGAAGTTTAGTAAACAAGTCGGAGAATTTACAGCGCCATGGTAGAAGTTGTGACTTTCGCTTTCGGGCCGCCCGCCTTAGTGCATTTCTTCACGATAAATGTCAGAATTCTTGAAGGAATTGGTTCGAAGCAATTCAGTTAGAGATTGTGTGCCGGAGGTACTTCTGTAGTTATTGGATGGAGGTGAGAGGATGTTAATGAGGATCTTCAGAGGAGAGTGATTGATAATTCACGGGTGAGTTGAGCAAACACCCTGTCCCCAAAAATTCCCCCGTAATCTGGAAAGGACAAATGATTTCCTTGACCTTCCTGGTTTGACAGCATGGAGCAATATTGATCGACGAATGCCCTGCGAGCGGCGATGTGTCCGGTTCTGGACATCGAAGTACACGCAGATAGCTTGTTGAAGGGATGGAATCCAAGGGTCTGGTTGAGTGCTCCTGTATAAGCCACAGTACTACTTTGGACGTCATGGCGTGTTGGACGTCACGCTGAACCGCGAGAAGCGCGGGGACTACTTCGTACTTTTCTCAGAGAGGAATACATGGTCGATGTGGTTTGGTTATTGTATTTGTGAAAGATATTTTGGTGGCTTGCCTGGCTCCCGCCAGACAAGCATAAAATCTGGCTGTACTTGTAGCATCGTTGCAGTATCACGATCTCGTGATACTACCGACGATCTTTAGCTCTATAGGCGCGGGGCGTGACACTGCAAGCAGAAGCATCTGGGAACTTGGTGCAAAAGAAACTCAGAGCAGGAGAATAGGAATTCAAGATGAGCATAATGGCCGCCTGACCTATTACAGATCGGCGACTTGTGTGATCTTCATCATGCCGAGGAGGGAAAGAAATTATAATACTTGCAAGGGACGAATGACTGACCGAGAATGCGAATGGAAGAATTTGGAAGACGACAACCGCCAAGTCACCATGACGCCAGGCTCATCCACCGAACAAAGACAACCGAACGAAGAAGCGTATCTAGGTATATGTAACCAGCAAGGAGCATTTGCGGGAGGCGCTGAAGCCATAAGGTTTTGCAAGGGCCGATCGGCGGAGGCCGAGTAAATTTTCAAGCCTTTTCCGCGGTCTGTGAAATTTTCGTTGACGACTGTCGAACTGCAAGTGCAGACTTTTCTTCCACAGATACTTTCCGGACTTGTGATTGATCCAGAATAAGATGACAGGTCGATAACAGTATTGAAAGCCGTTCCCGGGATCGACTTCCGGTGGAGCATTCGATGTGGTACAAAAACAGGGATTGGGCTCACTCATTCCCATCTTGCCGACTCTCAGCTGGCGAGGGATGATGCTTTTGCGAACACAACAATGAATTCCAATTCCAATTACGATGACGATATGATTGACTGACTGCCAGCAGTACATGATGAATGGTGTGATCCCTGAAAAGCGAACAAGAGAGAGCTGCACGACATATTGACGGCTCTGGTCAGGGTCTAGGTGCGACCAACACGGATCGCCTATGTCCCCTACCCTCTCTGCTGAGATGACACAATATCCTGGAGAGACAGCTCGTCCCTTGGAGCGGGAAACTTCCAAGGTACAAGAATCGTCTCCAAGTCGATGGGCCCATTGTTGCAGAGGTGACAAGGCTAAGAGCCCTTGAAGACGGGTATGCACATAATGAGGCGTGCGAGGTTGCTATATTTGAACACCAATATGCAATTGTCCCAAGAACACGGACACGGAACAAGATGTCGAAGCAGATACCCTAGTTTGCCAAACAAGGGTTGACCATTGTAGAAACTGTGCATGACGCCCTTGCTAGCCGGGAAGAGTTCTTGATGAGGAAGTTCGGACGACTCGGAATCGAGGCCGGATATTTGAAATGCAGAAAGAAGCACAAGACCACTTTCAGCGATAATGGTATTGATAGTCCAGGATCTGATAGTTGTAGTCGACCAAAGAGGCTGCATGTCGCCACGAGCTGACCCTTTCCTTTCTACTGTTAGGAGGAACAAGTCCACTGAAACATATGACGACTTACTGGTCAGGTTAGGGGGAGTTATGTTCGTCCAATGTAGCGATACCGTTGGCTTCGAATCATGTTATGGGGCTCGAGGAAGGTTTCATCCGACAGGACGAAGCAGTGAAGATTGAGCGCCTGCTGCATTCTGGAAGGAGCATCCCGTGTGAAAAGCCGGTATTTCAGCTGGAACAAGAATAAGGAGAATGACGAGAAACATCTTCTGGCAGTCACACCGGGGGGGGGGGGGGGGGCAGCTGCCATACAGACATTCATTGGGTCAAGCGGTTTGGGTTGAGAATACTGCTGCACTGAGTCCTCGAGCCACTCGGTGGCACTTGTTCACTGGCAAGCTAGGCTATTCTGTACCTACTGTACTAGTACTGGTACTGTAATTGAACCCCTCTCCGCCCTGCAGGGAGCTGGTGAAGCTCAAGGCCTGCCCTGCCCTGCATCAGCCATGGTCGCCTGCCGGCGCCTGCCAGCCGACCCAGCCCAGCAAGGTTGAACAGGGGCTGTAACGCCTGAATTCGTACTGGTTCTGTGGTAGTGCCGGGTGATGACCTTTCTCCCTGGGCTGGGGCCACGGGGGCGTTTTTGGCGAGAATCACTAACGCTGCTGTTGCTGCAATTGCTGCCGTAATTGCTCGCCACTCATCATTCATCACTCACCAAGATTCACACACACTACCCACTACCACTATCTATACCCTCCCCTCCTTCCTCCAATACAGTACCGTACACTACGGTGCACTATTCTGCTCTGGGCCGCTCGAGGCTTCATGCAACCATGCAGTGCTCTCCCTCCAATCCATCTAATCTCACATTTCTCTGCACCTCCCCCTCTCCATCTTCCACTACTCCTCTTCTGATGTCGTATCGCTCGTCGCAGTATAAAGACTGGCCATTGCCTCGCATTCCCGACCATGGCTCACTTCAGGTCATGTTGCGAGGGAGAGCTTTGTCTGTAACGGCGTACCTTCTTCTTCTCTCTTCTTGACTTCCTTCGTGCTTGCTTCATCTCGTCCAAGCGTCCACCATCTTCATCCCGCTTTGGGTGAACGTTGCGGATGCCCCACGCCGTATCGAGGTCCAGTTCTCCCGCTTTTCTCGCTGATAGGTATGTCTCCCAACTCCATATTGTGCCTGTCCTAGTCGTCGCTCGCTGCAGACGGCCTCTCCATCTGTACTAAGCTGACGCTGTGTCGATTCTAGCAGGATGGCGTTCAATCAACACGCCAGCTCCTCGTCTCAAGCATACCAAACTCCACCTTTTGCGCATTATGGCAGCCCCTCTCGAATGGACGCTGCTACAGGACAACCACAATTCGAGATCCTAGAATGGTATCCGCAGTTTCTGAGTTGCCATCGATACTTCCTGGACCATGCACAGCATAGCGGACCGGTGCAAGCTCTTGCAGCATTTGTCAATATTCAGTTGCCTTTTCAGAAACATCCAAATCCGATTATTTCATCTACGGCCTCTTCACCCCGCTCTGGTGGTGGTGCGGACATTCCACAGCTTCGACAACCGAATCCATTCTCTCAGATTCACAGTGCACCACATGCGCAAGGTGTATCCCTGATTCCATACATACGGCGGTTGGTTGCGACGGGACATGATACCCCAGGTACGTACATGCTGCCGGAACCTATATTGCTGCTTGCAGATATATGCTTCTAGATTATCCCACAAGCACATGTACTTGTACTGACTTTGTCTGCCATGGTCAGGTGTGCTACATGGTTTCTTTGGAGACGATTGGGTAATCGGAGTGGGATCATTACATGAGATTGAGAGGAGAAATTACTTGTTCGCGGCCAAAAGCACCAGCTGGCTGAAGGTCAAACAAGCATACGACATGGGTCCAGAAGAGACTATACCATTCTTGAGTCCACTCAAGGACGCGAGCGAGAAAGAGATTCAAATGGCAGAGGCAGAATGGAGCAGATGGCTGGCTATGCAGGATTGGATGCTTGGCCCAAGAACACCCGAGATACGCTCACCTCGGGTGAAGAGAGAGGCGCAAGAGTGAGACTTGAAGGGTGCGCCTCGCGATCGATCATATATGAATACTGCAGGAAGATACAAAGATGAGACATGAACTTATGACCGTCAAATGGAATTATCTGCTGAGATGGAAGTGGGAACACAGAACCGCTGTTGGCTTAGCAGGACTTCCATGCATCTGTGTCTCAAAACCATGTAGTAATAGACCCTTTACTTCTATCAGAACCAATATCAATATTCCAAAAGTATTTCTGGTCGGCTGCATGTTATGGTTCATCACTCGACAGCCTTTCCCACACGGCTGAACAGTGAGGCTACAAGGCATTTTCCAGTAGCGAATCAGGAGCCAGCGGTGAACCTCAGCTTCAACCTTCCCGCAACCAATTCACCCTCCCATACACCAACATCTTTATTCCACCCGACGGAATTGAATTTACAGTGACCTTGCAATAGAAAGACTCCGCGCCTCGATGATTTCTACGTTCAATGCACATTCATAACCCTCCGCAATGACAACCGTCTCCCAATGGCAGACATTCCTAACCCGCAGCCTTGCGACTCGTCTTTCGCCCGACACCTTTGAATCCTACCTACAAATCCTCGAATCGAAGCATCCTCTCTCTCCAAATCGTATATGCGACATATTCTTGAGTCCGCGGATAGAGAACACCTATGCTTTAGATCCTCGAATATCGAAATACATCCAGATCCTCTTGTCATCGAGGCTGGTCCACATTCCAGCTGTACTCAAAGCTCTGCTGAAATATTCAAGCTTCAGCAAACATGACGAGAACAGCAATGGAACAACTGGCTCTGATCCGAACACTCAGCAGAGTAATAGGGGCGGAAAGAAAGATGATGGCCCTGCCAAACATTGGAGCAATTCTTACGGAGCGGAAGAAACACTATTTTATCGCATGGCCAAGAACATATCCTCTGGGGTGGCGCCGCACGACATAGATGAAGCTGTCGAGTTAGTAAAAGCTTCTATACAATGGATGGAGGTTATTATAACTGCGAGTCATTCGGCTCAAGAAATGATGGGCCTGGACCAAACGCACACGCATGAGAAGAATGCCCAGAGCATGGCACTTGGCACACTGGTGATTGCTATTGTGGAAAATACCCAGGTAGTTAATGCTTTGAGCAAAGGCAGAGTGCCTAAAGCTACCCGAAAGGACTTGTCAAAGATGCTGGCAAACTTTGTGCCACTCCTGTTGCAGAACAGTGCCCAGGCTGCAGCACGTTTGGAAGTATTCAGGACCGAAACTTTGGTTGCAATCGAACCTGTGGACAAGAAGGAGATGGCTGCTGATAAGGCGTTTGAAGACATACTGGATGAGAGTATTGGATTGGCACAGACGGTGGACACCATGGTTGTGGAAGAGTTGCCTATCGTGAACTCAAGGGCGGGGCTATACATCTACCTGAACTCCTTGGTCGGTACCAGTCAAAATACCCATATACCCAGAGACATGCTAACACTTCATAGCTGTTTGCACGCCCACTGATTGATGACAATGCTCTTTTGGCGTATTTGCACAACCGATATCAGGTCAGACTACCAGCTTCTTCAACTAAGCCCCATACTGAAGTCTCTAGGGTGATATACAAACGACTGTCATAGATCTGATTCTCGCAGCATTCGATGTTCTGGCCAACGCTACCTTCCGCAACGAGAGACCTCAGTCCACTTTCATTCTACGCTCGTTTCTCATCAACAAAGTCCCTGTCATGCTTACAACTCTATGCACCCAGCTGTTCCCGTCACCCACATCAGAGTATTGCATCACGCGAGCACTGGGCCAGGTTGACACAACGGCGTTTCCTACTCTTTCAAACATGTTCGATGAAACTAGTAGCGCCAATAATATGTTCTCGGATTCGGTCCGCCAAGACTTCTGCTTTGCATGCTGCTTACATGGGCTGATTGCCGAGTCGAGTATTGAAGAGTTGCTAGGAGACATACCTATGCAGAGTCTACCGGCAGGTGGAAGATATGCCAAAGATGACCTGGTCCAGCAATGTCTTTCTGACCCTGAGCGGGCAGAAGTCTTGATTGCTGAACTTGAGAATATGGATGGCAACGTTGGCGCTGTTGGCCAAGCAATTACAGAGGTATGTAAGATAAAGGTCACTGTGGTCTTAGAATGCTAAATACAACAGGTCATTGGACGGCTTTGTAACAATAAAGAAACGATGTCACTCAAGACGTTGTGCAGCCAGTTGGCAAGAAAACCAAGTTCACTCGATGTGATGCTACTTTTCGAGAAACCAATCACTATCCTGCAACCAATATGCGATCTTCTCGACAACTGGAGATATGACGAAGATCAAGGAGAGTACCAGCCTGTTTACGAGGAATTCGGCTCTATCCTACTGCTTGTCCTCTCCTTTACACATAGGTATGGGCTTTCTACTGTCGACCTCGGTATTCGCAGCAGCGATTCGTTTATCGCGAAGCTTCTCAGCCAAGGCCATCTCAGTCGTGCTATGGAAGATATGACCGAGCAAGAGCAAGGCCATCTTGATGGCTGGATCAAAGGCCTTTTCGACAGCGGCGGTCTGGGCGACGAACTCATGTCTTCATGCCCGCCACACGACTTTTACCTCCTGGTTCCAACACTCTTCTACCATATTGTTTTAGCATGTTCAACGAAACATCTGTCAGATGAGGGTTTGAAGGGCGGTCTGGAGTATCTGGTAGATACCTTCTTGCTTCCCTCCCTGATACCTGGTATTACGTGGTTATCTTCGCACCTTTGGGAGTCTCGAGGTGATGCAAACGCAGTTTTGCAGATCCTCTCCGCTCTGATTACCAACCCAGCATCCATATCCGTCAATACAGAAGCATCACAGATGCTCGGAGCTATTCTCAATATTGTTGCGAAGAATCTCGAGCATAGTCTTCGGTGGGTTCAACGATCGGAACCATCGAGGCAAGATGTCGAGCCTCTCTCGAAAGCTCTTCGAGGTCATCTAGGCTGGGAACGTCGAGGTGCAACTGATCACACCGAGCTCGAAGCGTGGACTGCAACACCTGGAGGTGGCCTTACTGTCGCTATCAAGCATACAATAGCAAACCTTGTTCAATGGGCTCTTGCACCATCAGCCAACACCCATCCTGCTGCCTACACACAACGTCAGATATTAGCTGCGCTGAAGATTCACGGTGCCAAGCGACTGTTACATACAATCCTAGATGAAGTCAAGACACAATCAGCGGCAGGCAATGCCAGTCTTGTTTATGATGTTGTCTGCGCAATTATTTGCTCTCCGGATGCTGCCAGTTGGGATGCTGGGATGCAAGTAGATGTCCTTGGTACCAACACAATCCAGCCTCTGGATCGACGCCTCACCCTGCGTGAAGCACTGAAGTACGAAGCTGAAAGTGCCCCCAAACTTCACAAATCAGATCCCTTTGCGGCGGATACAATCGTTCGACTCTACAGGAAGGTAGAAGCACAACTCGTTATGCCACAACAAGCGATGCTGGAACACGATGCTCTTGGTGGACTGGACAGTGACCTTAATCAGGCTTTAGATTCAGCGGCTCTCGATGGTGCAATGGCGAGTGCAGGTATGGGCATGGATGGCTTGAATGACGACCAAGGACTGGGAATGAATGATCCTCATGGAGATTTGATGCACGGACTGATGGGTGGAGGCGACGCCAGTGATTTATTGGATGGTTTCGGAAATGGAGATTTAGGTGATGGTATGGGGTTCTGATCTAGGGCGACGGGGTGGGTAATTTGATGTTATTTGAGGTGGTCATACCCGTTTGACATAGTTGCAATTGCATGGATTTGGCTCTGGCGATTTTGGGTAAGGGAATATATGGGGTATTCTGCCTATGGGCATGTCCTAAATACCATGGTTCACTGATGATCGGAGACTGTTTTGAACTTTCTGACTCCACATTTATTTTACTGGCGTTGTACAGTCTCCTTGCTCGGCGTTTGACGGTTAATTTTTTATACGGAGTTCACATTGGCTCTTCGTTTCACTACGTCCTCCTCAGCGCTCCAGCGGGCCCAGGCGAGCGCCTATGGTGCTCAACTGAAACATTACACATCCTTTCTAATAAACATGACGCGAAGGTTATCTCCTATCTATCTGATGGAAGTGGTCGTGTCGTGGAGAAAACCGTCTGCAGATTCAAGTCCTACCTTAGCACTAATGCACATGTATCTCTTATCTTCAATTGTGCTCTCGGCATCAAAGCTTGAATCTCGTTCTCTGCTCTATTTTTCCTTGTCACGCACAAACAGTTTCGTCCATCCGTCTGGAGTCCCCTCCCCGAACCCCTTCGGCCTGACTCCGGCTCGTCTAAACTAGCGAGCCCCTCCTTTTTCGCTGCAAATTTTCACGCTTCTATTAAGTATCAACAACCATTACCAAGCATGCCATCCGGAGTTCTGCCAAGTGGTGTGCTCTGCGCTACCATGATCTCCACGATGCTGCCAGATTTTGCGTGGTGGGGTTTTCAGGCATTCTCCTAGCTTCTCCAGCTTAATGTAGGCACGTGTGTATCAAGAATGGGGAGACTGGAATGCCCCTGTTTTGAGTCATTACCACGGCGGGAGTGAGTGAGTGAGTGGCGGTCTGGAGATTTTTAGCTTCTAGTGCAACTACTTGATCCAAGGGGTCGGTCTATCTCAAGAGTCTTTTTTTCTTCTTGCTTCAGATCAAAAAGTTTTCGGCTGAGTGTTTGTGGATATGCCTATCTTTCGTGGACACCGTCTGTCAGTGGCTCAAATTGCCTTGATCGCTGCGCCTAGTTTTATCTTATTTGGCTACAATCAAGCTGGTGTCGGTGGGCTTTTATCAGTAAGTTACCACTCTTATCGTGATGTTGGAGTCGAAAATTGACCAGATGACAGCTTCCAGATTGGACGAAAACATTCCCAGAAATCGACACGACAAATACCAAAGGTGCAGTGAAAGCCCACAATGCCACCATTCAAGGTGTAGTAGTTGCTACCTTCGTCCTCGGTGCCCTCGTCGGCGCGCTTTCTTGCATGAAGATTGGTAATTTTCTGGGGAGGAGGAAATCCATCTTCCTGGGGGCGGTATTGAGCTTGATCGGGGAGGTTTTATGTACCTCTTCTTTCGGACTTGCGCAGTTTATTGTGGGGAGGACGATCATTGGGTTCGGGATTGGGATTTTGAGTGCGACTGTGCCGGTTTGGCAGGCGGAGTGCAGCTCTTCGGCTAACAGGGGGAAGCACGTTGTCCTTGATGGGTTGTTTATGACGTGAGTTTATATCTCGACTTATCTTTCGGGTTTTTGAAAATGGCTTATGTTTCTAGGTTGGGATACACTCTGGAATCATGGATCGACCTTGGTGCTTCGGAGATCAAGTCCGGCAAGAATATTTCGGCGTCATGGAGAATGCCGTTAGGGATTCCAATTGCTTTCTCGCTCATTCTGATGGCTACTATATTTACAATGCCCGAATCTCCACGCTGTAAGCTTGCTCATCCATGAACAGTGATTCATATCTAATCACGTGGACAGGGCTCATAATGGTCGGCCGCGTCGAAGAAGGCCGTAAAGTCCTCTCAGACCTCAAAGACCTCCCTCAAACCGACCCCCTCGTCTCCGCCGAGGTCGATGGAATCCAATACTCGCTCGAAGAGAGCACGGGCCGCAAAGCCAGCTTGGCGGACATGTTCACCATGGGACCCGACAAACTGTTCTATCGCTTCTGTCTCTGCATCTTGCTCCAGTTCTTCCAGCAGATGTCGGGCAGTAATTTGATCTCGGTGTATGCTCCGGTTATCTTTCAGCAGAATTTGAAGCTGGATGGGCAGACGTCGAGGATTTTGAGTGGGGGAACGTTGACGTGGAAGTTTTTGTCGTCGTTTGTGGCGTTTTTTACTATTGATCGGTTTGGAAGGAGGGCGTTGTTTATTTTTAGTGGGTTTGGGTAAGTCTCCTCTTCTTTTCATTTCCAGACTAGGAAAGCCCGAAAGCTGATGGGAGAATAGGATGGGAAGTTGTATGTTGGCGCTTGCGATCGCGACTTCGTACCCATCTTCGAACAAATCGGCATCAATCGCGAGCGTTTTCTTCATCTTCTTGTACAATTTCTTCGTCCCAATTGGTTTTCTTGGAGCGAACTTCCTCTATTGTGCGGAGGTTGCTCCAGTCAAGTTGCGCGTGAGCATGGCTGCCATTTCCACAGCCAATCACTGGCTCTGGTAACCTTCCCTCTATCTTTCCTCTGATTATCCAACGATAACTAACACCCATCCCAGGAACTTCGTAGTCATAATGGCAACTCCAGTAGCCATCGCCAGCATCGGGAACTACTACTTTGTCCTGTTCTGCGCCATCGCTTTCTGCATCCCGCTCTCGGTGTACTTTTTCTATCCTGAGACGATGGGGCAGAGTTTGGAGCAGATTGATGTTGTGTTTAGGGATAATAAGACGCCTTGGGCGGTGGTTAGGGCGTCGAAGATACTGGCTGCTGGGGATGTGGAGAAGATTGTAGGGAAGAGGGATGAGAAGTTGGTGGAGGATGTTGTTGTTGGGGAAGAGAAGGAGGGGGAGGTTGTTTGATAAATGAAGTTTGAATGAGGTGGAGTTGTGGTTGATATGAGGAGGCAGGATTATGTTGCTTTGATTATACTTCAATATACATTTGATTCAGCGCCAAGAAGTGGTCATGTGAAGTACACTGCATATCGCATATATCGTCCTTGCTTGACACCAAGCTTCCCCATATTGAAAGTTCAACGACATTGAGAACAAGATGCTCAATTCCCGTTTAATCCTCACGTGAAGAAAAGCAACGAGTAAGGCATAGGTAGTTTTCGCAAGATTGAACAGCTTCTTTATAGCTCGAGGTACTCAGTTGTTCTATCCAGCAGTGAGTTCAAGCCATCTCTTAGACTGAGGTTGTAGCAGATTATGTCACCTCAATGAATCACCGTACATGCTGTACCTTAAGTACTCAATCATCTACTATCAATAGCTTCAAGTACTATGTAACTGGTTCGTCATAAGAAGGACACAAGATTCAGTCAGCCAGGTAACAGAACCTAATGATTCGAGACGAGAAGCAAGACTCCTATCTCTATACACAATGAGTAAGCTCGATGAATTCGAACATTCACCTTCACATTGTTCGTGATTCGGATCTTTGACAAAGCTCAAGTATAAAGGCTTCCGAAATCGAAGAAAGTTTTTGTGTTTTTCTCCTATCAAAAACACAGCTTCCACTTCAAGGACCGAAACATCAGATCTCAACAAAGACAAACAGTCATCAATCAATATATCAACTCTAGCAAGCATGCCTCTCATCGTGTTGGAATGCTGCCAGTGTGGCCATGCCAGCAGCGTCGACCCAACGAAGCGCGTGTGGGATGCCATTTGCAGGAACACTAGCTGCGATGCCGTGCCTAACCCACACCAAAGGTGCCCACAATGCAAGTTTACGATAACGAATATAGGAAAGTGACGTTGCGGTGGGGGAGGAAAGGTATTTCGAGGGAAGGGAATGGGGGGAAGTAGAATCTTTAGAGGGACGAGATATATTTATCATCGGATGAGATATGTGGTAGTTGGCATGGCTTTCTTGATAATGGTATAAAGATCATAGTTATCGGAATCATGATGTTGATCAACACTCAAACATGCATCCAAATATAATCCAATTAACAGATATCTGTGACAATTTGCTTAAGATGAGAATGAACTACCCGTCCATGACAAGATTTGACTTCTTCCCTCGATGTTCATTCTCCTTCTCAAAACCGACCAACGGCAAAATGTCAGAATATCAGATACAAAACGTAATCTCCGTAAACATAGCAGGTATCCTCCCAATTTCATATATGACTACAACTTCAACGAAAGAACTTAACTTACCTTCTATATTGTAAATGTGGATTTGCAATCCAACTTTAGGCGTCACGTAGGACCCTTATTATATCACTCTTGCTCAGCATCTTCTTCTCACAATCTAAATGCTTAGAAGTATAGGGGCAGAGGCTCTATTCCCTTCTGCTCCTCCTTCCACCGAGAGCCAAAGCTTCGATGCATGAAGAGGACAAAAGACTCAGTCGACGAGGTCACAGGAGGTAACAAAAGTCGATGACTCTCAACTCCGTATATTCTGAGCAAGATCAATCAGTTTGAATAACTACCTCTATCTTATAAGTGATTCAAATATTTTGAGCCAAGCTCAATTCTTGGAATATAAAACTCCTTCCGAAGTTAGGGTCGCATTCGTTCTCTCTTTCCAAGAGCCACTTCTACTTCTACTTTAAGCGCCAACCGAGATATCTCAACAAAGACAGTGGGTCATCATTCAATACCAGACATCAAACATAACATCGCGGTCCTATAGAACTCCATGTACGGCTACCAATACAGCCCCAACAGGGGAATTTACCTACTGTGTTGTAGGTGCAACAATCCAACACCGATTGCGGGCGGAATCTTGGCATTGGAAGCTTGTTGTAGCTACTGTGAACATGGACCTGTGGTGTCAAAAGATGGGATATGTTTACAGTGTCACTTTTATCCGGCCCCGTAGGGAGACAGATTTGTAGAGCAATGGAGCGATGGAAAGCTGGGGGTTACGAGCAGGAGCGAAGGAGTAAGGTTACTTTCTTCAGCTCAGAACTAGGTGGAGGTATGGCCGGAGGTGGTGGAGAACTTCTTGAAGCATATGGACGTTTGGAAAAACTTGCACAACAATGGTTACCATTTATTGAAGACTCTTTCGTACACGTCATATCTCACAATAGTGAGGTTGCGCCAATCTAACGTATACTGTATGTAAGAAGACCTTTTCGTAGGTTCTAGATTCTAGATCTGAGGAAGAAGTGACACGTGATAGTACTGTAGCCTGACTCCATGACACCGGACAATCGGAGTGGACTTTTGCACAGTACGAGACTAACATTCAACCCTATCTGTGTATAGTTAAGGCAGTATGTCAGAGCATCATCCTTGAGGTACCATGTTATACAAGTGGAATATGTGAATAAACATTGGGTGGGGGAGGTCCGAAGGCATGCAGGCTATAAGAACTTGGGTCTTTTCTATGGTGAACTTTCGTAAACACTCTCTAGACAACGGCAATCGAAACATTCTACATACAAACTTCAAGACCAAAAGAATACGAAATCTCAAAACTGATTCTACCAAACACGATGAACTATGCCCAAAAGCCTTACGATCCGAACAAAGTCATATACTTGGAGTGTTGTCGATGCAAACAGCTGACAATAGTCAGAGGCAACATAGTACAGAATGCTCGCTGTGGGACCGCACGCTGTCCACATGTTCCTTGCGCTTGCTGTTCCTGCAATTTCATCCAAAGAGACCAGTATTGAAAGGGACTAGTGAACAAGAGCAAGAGCAAAAAGTGTCACTTGACAAATTTGAGATGCTGAGAACGATTTCATTTGATTTGTGCTTGAGGCTGGGCGGGAGATTGTAACTGGATTTTTTTGGAGTACTGCGGGTGACACTCAGCGATGCTCATCAAGAATACAGGAGTAACCAACCAAAGCTTTCTCTAAGTGGATGGCCTCTTATAACGTGACTTTGCTGACTGTACAATCTCCCTGCTTCGATCAAGTGAGAAGACTTTTCGTGAAGTTTGAGGGTGAAATCGTGATCCACCATGACCCTCTTCATCAAATGATTGGGATTAAAACATCATCCGCGTCATCAAACCACTCTGAATAGACATTACTCACAACGCCAACTCGACGAAACACTGGAACTGGCTCCTCGATCATTATTACCGCCAACGCCCACCCCATGACTGATCCTATGAAACTAGTTATCGTGAATAAACTCAGCAAGTAAATTGGAGTATCGTCGAGTTGGTCATCGAAATCAAAGTGAAATATCATCGTCGTTGTTAGAGTCGAAGGTTCGTAATACCTTAATCTTCCTCTGATTTTGATTGTCCCAGCGTTCAGTCTTCCTTTGGGATCAGAGCCCGCAGGAACCAGGTGGATGTTTTTGATCTTTGCCGTCGTGGGGAGGAGCTTGTTGATTTGCGGTCGGTTGAACGTGACCAAGTCATAAGTGACAGCGTCGCCAATCGCAGCCCAGGACCATGAAGGTGCTTGATATTGAAGCGGCCGAGTAAGCATGGTTTGAGAGGAGTCAGGTCTACTATCTCGTCGCCATAGTAGACTTCGGAGCAAATCTCCCTTCCACATACCGGCAACATACTCGTCACCGTGTACGGCTTGCATCTCACTGGCCAAGCCGGATAGGGCAGGGAAGCGGTCCGTGATCCTGGTGAAGGTTCTTGTGCTGTAATCCTGTATCACTTTGTGCCAGGTATTGTATCGTGCATTAATGACGAGATTGTGTATGATCGAAGAGTCCTCATTGTGTATTGACGAGGGTTCCAACATGTTGTCAAGACATCGCAGTTGAACTGCTTGGCTGACTTGTGGTCCTACATATGTGAGAGGATCTATAGGTGTACCGTTTTGCTTCTTGGGTGCATCAACGCCGCGTATCCTGACAGAATTGTCAACGGGTTGTCTGGTGATATAAGGTTCTTTGATATCGGGATGCTCTGGGCGTGTATCTTCTTGCTGTCGATGGGATCTACATTCCCACCACATCTGGTCTGCAGAGAAATGCAAGATTCGTGGAGAGAGCTCACGTTCCTGAAACGTCCATCCTCGCTTGTTAAGAGGATTGTTTCTGTAAAACTTTGCCCACGTTTGAAGTGGCGGCCTGATGCTGACTTGCACCCGGTGGCCTTCTTCGTGGTCCAAGTTAATATTGCAAGGCGGACTTTCTTTGTAGTCACGAATGTATTTTATACCTCCTTGAAAGTCAGTTGCGCTTGAAGCTGCGATAGTGCACCATGCGTGGCTGTAGATGTGACCCATTTGAGCGGACTCGACTTCCCAGTCCTCGGTAGAGTCTTGAAGTATACACAAGGAGTCTATCCAAATGTAAGGAATGCCAAGTTCCTTTACAATGATCAACGCATGTCGCAGGGACATTGGAAGCTCAGCAACATTGATTCTGTTCAGGTGTAATGAAAGGGTATCGGTTTTTGTCACCCCAGCTTCTGGCATACTCGGACCCCAGCAATGTGTAAGTACAGCGTATGTGAAGCGTCCTGCATGACTTCTCGTATCGATCAACCGCTCTCGGAGCACATCAATGAGACGTGTAGGTAAAAATGATCCCTGGTCATGAGGCTTGCATAGGTGATGGGTGGCGTGGCAATCATTAATTCATTTTCGCGCGCGACGAAAACGTTGCTCATTATTGTCCCGCAAAAACCCGACAGCAGTGATGACTATTGTCTTTCAATAAAAATCACACATGTAGATTTGCATCGTTACCATTGACTGAGCTATACAACTCGAACTTCCATTTCCCGAGCCGAGCCTCGTCGCTCGCTGCTTCCGGAACTCGGCCCAAGTTCGTTATCTGAATAGGAAAAGAAAAGACAACCTTATGGTTGATCCATCCCTTCAAGATCGCAGAAGAGCCATTGAAGATGATTGAAGCCTGACCAAGATTCAATTTTTCGCTATCAATCTCCGCTCTCATCATCAGGCACAGCCTGCAGTTCTTTACTGTCGAAAGGTGGTACCATCGTTCTAGATCTGTTGCTGGGGGGTGGATTCGTTTCAAATAGAGCAAGGCGACTATGTCTTGACACTTCTGGCAGGCCGACACTTCCAGAAAAATTGCATTTTATCTTCTTATCGCCAGTATATTCAATGAACACAAAGATTCGTTTTCAGGCAGCCAGGTCAGCCTTTTCGCTAGGAGAACGAATCAATATCCAATGCGTTGAGCACGTTACTCAAGCCGGATGTGAAAAAGGTGTTTGATTTGACAGAAAAGTACAGCTGTGCATAAGTCGGACAAGGCTGTGAACATGCTCTTTGATTGTCACGTGTTATGGTCGCGGCGAAAGAAGGCCTTGAGATTTTGACTCCGCATGTAGAATTGCTCAGATGTCTGGATGAGAGGCAAAGTCTCAGGTGAAGATAGCAAGACTTGACGAAAGCAACCAGCTGGGATGGGGAAACGACACGTGATCAGACGCTCGAAACATTCCATGGCAAGTAAAATAGCAAGACCATGGAGAATGGCAACTAAACTTATCGAAAGGGACAAGATGAACAGCATAACATTGAAACGGCTGAATCAGTTCTCGGGACTTGATCGTAGATCCAGATTATCAGGTGATGAAGAGATCAAGGAACTTTATCTGGGCTTCTACAGAGGTGCTCGGTAAATATGACCGCATTTATCGTCAAGGAAAGAGACAGATCAATCATAAAGGATGTTTTCGAGAGAAAGATGGAAGAGAAGATTGAAGGGAAGGACGTCAAGTGTCTTTGTAAGCATGTCAAGAAACGCGCTAGTAACCTTAATCGCGCGACTTCCCTTGAAATGACAACTCGCTCAAACATCACCACAACGCGTTGCCGCTTCCCTCTCCTTCCTCTCCGTCGACCACCTCTACCAAGAAAGTTCAGCAAGGATCTGTTGAGACCAGCACGGATCATGAGCTCTTCCCAACAGTTCGTAGTCCTCTTGATGCTTCCATTTGTGCCAGGACCTTGAATTGTAACTTCGGCCTTGACCGCCTTTTGAGAAGTCACCTTGACCAGTTGTTTCAATCATGGAGATCAGAGGACCTCCGTCGTCGCATGTAATAATGTGAAAGGTTCCGGCGATTGAGGCATCGTGGGTAGAGATTTAATGAAGCATGCTTCTGAACAAACTCATGGCAGCCGTGTTGGTTGCACCACCCTGCGAATTTCAGAATGAAATCGAATAAGTTGGTGCACTTTACTTGCCTCAGTCTCTCCCGCTCTATTCTCAGCCTTCGTCGCCTCATGTTATGTTCCTCATGCTCTGCGGCTAGTCGCTGCATCTCCATCCAATTCTCAGATCATGCACCACTTTCCCAGCTCACAATGTTCCGTTTGTCGGATACTTACTGAAGGTTGAGTTCAGATCGATTGTTTGCCCTTGAAGATCTTCGAATTGGTGTTGTACCGCGGCAACCGACATGGTCAACGCTCATGAGATGTGGTATCACATGACCTCGTCTTCAACGGCAACCTGCAAGCCACCCATGCCATGCATCTGGTGACATCGCGAAATTCACTCATTCGATACAGTACCGGAAACAACAATGAGCGCATTGTTCGCATAGCTACCCAAGATCTGGTAGATCAGCCCAGCCAATGCGCAAACCCTGCAGACCGGTGGAATGCGGGGTAGCGAAAGTTAGAGAGAGTGAATACGAGGTGAGATTATTGAGCTTAACTGCAACCGTCCGAGTCTGCACCACCTCAATACTTCTCAATCCTTCTTCTGGACGCGGTGAGGTGAGGGATGATGTCTCATGATCTGTATAGTACCCATGAGACAACACATGTTTGCTGATCGTGGGAAACAATGACGATGCTTGCTTTTGTAGTTTTTTCCCGGATAGTCGGACCTCGTGTTGGGTTTTGCTGGTGGCGTATAATCATGATATCTTTTTTTGCTTTGCCATAAGTATGGCCATCTACCCCGGCACAAGGGATTCTTCCTTTCCTCAATCAAAAGTCAATCGTTGAAAAACAAAACAAACACTGTCGTTCTAAAAAGATCACTCAAAAAATGAAGACGATCTTCTCGTCTCTTTTCCTTGCTGCGGGAGCAAATGCAATCATCACTCGTTGGGCTCCTTGCTGCTTCCATCTCTCTGCATCAGGTGCCGTGACCGGAACTGTCGGTCAACTTGATGATGGACAGAACCGTGTCAATGGACCTCTTTCTCCTGCCGAATACTGCATCGCTGATGGTGCTATCACTGATGCCAATGGTCGTGGATGTATCCTGACTCGTAAGTCATCAAGACCTGTTCCGCGTACATGACCTAACAAGAGCAGCTCCAACCTCTCAATGGCAATGCGACACTGGAGCCACTCCTACATCAGGCTTCAGCGTCGCCTGTGATGGAACGGTTGCCTACAATGGCGGCACAACCTTCTACGAATGCCAAACAGGAGATAATGTACGTCCTCTCCAGTCTTCAGCTTGCTCTCACTCTACTCAACATGACTAACATCTCACTAGGGCGAAGCAAACATCTACCTCACCCCCGGCGGAACGAACTGCGGTGAAATCACCCTGAAAGCAGATGGCTGCGGCTCCTGTCCCCCTCCACCACCACCTCCACCAACAACCTGCCCCACAAACCTAAACGGCAACTACGAATTCCCCCACCTCATCATCCCAATCGACTCCTCGAACCCCAACTCCGCGGCAGGCACCAGCTACTTCGGCGAAGTCTCCTCAACCATCTCCTCAATCTTCAATTTCGACATCCCCGCCTCGGACTCCGGGAAAACCTGCTCCCTCATCTTCCTCTTCCCCCTTCAATCCCAACTGACAACTTCCTCTTTCACCTTCAGTGGCAATGGCGCCATTGACTTCTCTCTCCTAAGCGGAGTTGCGACGGTATCTACGAGCTATGCGAATGCGCCGTCAGTGGAGACGGACTATGGTTCTATCACGGTGGCGCCGGGGAACTCGTATAATGTGGCGACGTTTGCTTGTCCGGCAGGGGAGGCGGTTAGCTTTGAGTTGAAGGCCGTGGGGGATACTTGTTTGAATTATTTCCAGGATTATAATCCGAGCCCGATTGGGGTTTATATTACCACTTGTTGAGGGGGACGTTGATGAGGGAGGGAGTTGGTGATGAGGGGAGGAATGCAAATGTTGGGTTTAATGGGTGTTCAGATCGGAGGAACGTGCTGGCGTGGAAAGGTAGGGTGATGGAAGGGGGTTGAGAATGATGCTTGAAAAGTATGTAGTAATGTTTTAGTCTAATGTTTAATTGCGTCTATGATGAGTTGAGTCTGTTACGTTGTCTCACGGGCATGAATGTAAATGCTTATGGTGGAATATGTTCTCATTGTATTGCAACACTAAGCTTGATGAAGAACAAGTCCAGCAAGCCAAACCAATGTCCTCCAAGATCCCTGCCTTCCATCTTTTCACTCTTTCAACCCATCCCCAATCTCCCACCTTCCAACTGTTAGCCCTTTCCATCCCAAAATGAAAAGTAAACAAAAGCTCGGAGGAAAACAAATAAATTCTCTTCTTGGTTTCGCCACTAGGTTTACTCGTCCCGAACACCATACGCAGAGGTGAAGAGTTATCGCCCGGGGCCTCCGCTGGGAGGGGTGGACGTTTCCCGAAGGACTACGCCATCCACCTTAGCGCGCTGACGGAAGGAAATGGAGGGAGGGGATCTATGTGAAATAACTTCTCTTGTTCCTCCGCTTCGTGCCCTTCGTGCTTCGCCCTGTTGTTCGGTGTCGTGGTCGTACTTCTTCGGGATTTCAATCTTGGCTCTGCGGATGAGCTTTCGATGTTCTGCTTCTTCTGGATGTTAGTCTTGAGCTGTATGAAGAAGAGGGTGCTGGAGTTTAGACTTACCTTCTTGTTTCAATCTTGGCTCTGCGTACGAGGTGTCGGCGTGGTGCTTCTTCAGGATTCGATCATGCCTTTCGAGATGTTAGGATTGAGTTGTGTGAGGAAGATGTTGGTGTTTCCACTTACTTCTTCGGACCTTGGCTCTGCGTACGAGCTGTCGATGTCATTCTTCTTCGGGATTTCAGTGCCTTCTGGGAGGTTAGCTTGAGTTGATGAGGAGGATATTGGGGTTTAGACTTACTTCTTCATTCTGACCTTGCCTCTGCGTACGAGGTGTCGATGTGTCGATGCTATGCTTCTTCGGGATTTCGACCTTGCCTTTCCGGATGTCAAATTGATTGCATGAAGAGGATGTTTGGGGTTTAGACTTACTTCTTCGGACTTTCAACACTGGCTCTGTGTAAGAGCTGTTGATGTTAAGCTTCTTTGGGATGGGAGGTGGAGGAGGAGGTGGGACCTAAAACCTGTGCACGTAAGCTCACAAAGGGGAGTTACCCCATTACCTTTACCATAATCCGACAGCTAATCCAACAAGGTCGAAAGGGAAAACAGTGCCGTGCTCCTCCGGCTAGGTCCATGGTAAATGTGATGCGATGTCCGCTTTTTTGGTGATTGTTTTTGATACCCGGCTACCGCTCCAGACGAAAGCCCTACAAGAACCACCAAGTAGGACTCCCAAAGTCGTGATAGTCGAGCCGTTTCTTGAAATGTTTTTGACGATGGTTGATAAGACGCATCTATTGTTATGTAAGAATGAAAGGGAAATACATACCTGATCCAGATCCAGGGAAGGAGAAGGCTAAGGTTAGTAGAATCCTGGGCAAAACGGAACGGGAGAGCAAACGAATATCGAACAAAGAACCGAGTCGGATCAAGAATTGTACCGGGTAGTGTTGACAGGGACCGGAAGACGCAAGAATTGACTCAGAACGACTCGGAGCTCTTACTTCGAGGACTTGGTTGGAGAACGGAAGAACCCAGTGGCCTTGACAAGCTGGGTTGTTCCGGTGGACGTCACACCGATGAACTTCTCTCCATGTACATGAGGAAGATGACGGCTGCTACGGCTAACTCTGTGAGAAAGGGTTTCCCCCTCCTCAAGCTCAAAGAAGCGGAGCTCACAGACATCAACGTCCTCACGATCAGGATAAGTGACGAAAGACACGGACTTGGCGACATTGTGACGTCGACCAGGTGCCTTGACTATAGGTTGGGGGAATTAGTACAAGTGTACTGGTGTTGGGTTGGGAGGGAATGGGGGTTTGTTGACAATGACAAGTAATGTTGGAAGCGATTGAAGAGAAAGAAGATAGTACTTACAGCAAGAGCGAAGGCGGAGCTCGGTGCATGACAGATTGCCGAAGCAGGCGGCAAGATCATCGACTTCGGGGCTTGGCTTTGGGAGAGTACGTTCAGAACGCAGACGACGCTCCTTGTCCCAAAGCTTTCCGAACGCTGTCGACAATTAGTACACAGACGTCTGATGAAGGGGGAAAGATAGCACTGTGTCTCAACTTACAATCGATGACACTGTCCATGCCAGGGGTAGACTTCTCACAAGGCTTGTCGAAGGTTGAGAGGCTACCGAATGAGGACACGAGCTCATTAACAATGGGTGCTGACTTTTCGAGAGGGCGATCGTTGGTCGAGAAGGCAGCGAATGAAGAAGCAAGATCGTCGACTTCTGGGCTTGGCTTACGAAGAGGCTTGTCAGAGTATGGGATCCACTCTTTGTTCGAAAGCTTTGCGAAGGAGTCGGTGAGATCGTTGACTGTTGACAAGTCAGAGTGTGTTTGATGAAAGGATTGAAGAGCACAAGAGGTGATGTCACTCGAAGGAGTGTTGCGAGAGCTTGGGTGCGGAAAACTTTGGGAAGGGAAAGGTGTTTACATACCATTGGGGACTTGATCATCCAGACTCAACTTGCTGAAGGCATCAGAGGCATTTGACACGAAGAAAGGGACCTCGGCGGTCATGCAAGGTCCTGCAACCTTGGACACAACACGCTTTGGCTGCCTTCTTCTGATGGCTTTTACGGGAGCAAGTGGAGTCATGTATGAAACCATGGCGGGAGGGGAGGAGGAAGTGGCGGAAGAGGAGGAAGAAGAACGACTGAAGAATGCGATGAGGGTGGCGAGGATGGTGAGAAGAGCGTAGTTGAAGAATGAAGACATTGTATGAGTGAAGAAGGTGGTAAGTCTTCCGCACGCGGGATAGTCAGAGAGCTTGAAAGGTGGAAGGAAGGTGTTGAGGAGTTGGTAAGGCTCAATCAACAAAGTGAGTATTGAACAGGATGTTATCAGTACACGGGTGTATGAATATGGTAAACAGTTCGCCTAATCGGGACTAGGCAGGTGCTGGCATAAAAGTGCAGTTGATATTGGCGCACACCGCCCTGAATAGCTGTGTCCTAGAGTCACACCTATCGAATTGGCTATTGGAACCATTTGATGCAAATAATGCAAAGTCATGCCTCACGATGCGTCTATTATTTGCAAGTGATGGGGGCTTTGCCTTTGAGGAGGGCAAGTGCCTCGATGCTCTGGCTTCGAAGCAATACAGCTTGCTTGCTTTACGATTCTCTCGATTATTTGCAAGCATTGACACAGATGCATCTTCGTACTCCCTCCCTTGCCTTTCCAATGTTGTGGTTGGCTGATGTCAGCGAACAATCAATGCCCGCGCAGTTGATTGCCACCAATATCTTCAGAAGCAGGCAGATCATGGCAGAGCTTTCTGGATTCCAATCCCTCCTTGCAGCAACATCCACGACCCAGAGAGACGTTTTCTAATCCGTCAAAGATCAGAGCCTCGGATTAGCAGACCCGAATTGAGCATCACAACCAACTTCAAGCCTTCACAACAATTAATGCCAGCAATCTAACACAGCGGACAGAAAGCAAAACCAAATATCCAATTCATGCCTGCTTTCTTTCACTTGATTAAAGTCAAGTGGTCTCTCGAGTTTGCAAGCAAACAACCTCAGGCGAAGCAATAAAACACAATGTTCCCTTCCAATCTTTGCTTTAACTGACTTGAGCTACAGAATACCAAGAGCAACTCGACATCGCGGAACGCATCATCTTGGATTTACAAGAAGTAAAGCGAGAGGAGGGCTTACAAAGAAGACGGAGCAAGAAAGCAGAATTCGAGATATACAAGGTTTCAAGGGAGTACTTTACATCGGCTGGAAGATCTCAAGACTTGCCTGCTTGAGCACTTGTTCTCGTTGTGCAAGCTTTGGGCGTGCCATTGAATCGTAATCTCGAATTTAATCCTTTCCTCTCGTTCAGGGACGAGCATTGATCCTTCCACGGATTCCAATTCCTTTGCCATCCACCTCCATTCACCTGGATGGCGATGTCTAGCACAGATATAGACCTCACGGGTGACTTCCTTGTCTCTGGCTAGAGCAGCAGGATGGTTCTGATCAAGGTTTGACGGGAAGGCTATTGGTAAATTCGGGAAATATCAGCTACAATGCGAAGGCATTTTAAGCCGTTCGAACGTCGATGGAAGCTGTTGAAGGTCCATACGTTGGGTGTAGATGGCAAGATGCCACGACTCGAGGCTGTAAGGAAATTTGTTTCTACTATGGATTTGGATGTGAATGAGACGTTAGCAGATAGTTACTGGCAATGATGGTCTCAATGATAATCTCAATGATTCAAAGATGCTTCTTTCCCTTCTGGGGAATTCAATTTTTGTGAGCGACCAGTGAAGAAGACGAACTGGTGTGGAGCGGGATCGTTGTGGTGCTCGATGGGAGCTGGAGCTGCTGCAGAACACACTGCTGAGCCTGCCTAGAAAACATCTACCTACTGAATGTAGTCTACAGCCACCAAAATGAGGGTCGAGATAACTTTTAAGCTTGATGCCTCTTGACCTCTCGGTACAGGTGCTGGTTGCAGGGGCCTCGAGAGTCGAAGAAAGGAGAAATATGTTGGTAATGAAGATCAAGTGGACTTTGAGTTCAAGGAAAGTGCATTAAGAGATTATTCACGTACATAGAGCATGGCGCATAGAGCATCATGGTTGTTGGGAGGCTAAGGGGCAAAGAGTCATGGTTGAAACATGGGAGGTCATTGAGCGATGCCAAGCATTTCGGCTGGAAGCGCTACCGCAAGTGAGCAGGTATGCAAGGACAAACGGGAATCTTCGAGCTGCACAGTTCATGGCAGGTCACACTCATTCAATAGTGGTCTCATGTATCATTTATCTGATATCTCTAGAGTACATTCATCTAGAAAAACTCCCCATCTATGGAGGAATATGGAGTACTGAATCAAAGACTTGATGCACCACCTGTCTCGAATAACAGAACCACCAGTCCCAACGCCATCCATGCTCTCCAAGCAACCTGAACTCCCGGTACCCAGTGACTAATGTGATTTATCTTTACGCCTGAGGAATGAAACCGTCCGTCTTTGCCTTATCTCCTAAAGTGAGCAATGTCATAACGGCGACGTTCTTCTCTCTCGCACCCATGGGGTAGTGGATCAACGCAGCTTCCAAGGCAAGACGAGCGAAATCTCCGTAGAACTCTTGGAACTTTCCTTCGTAACCCTTGATCAGAGCACCGAGGACATAGTAGCTGGTGTTGGATCTCTCTTGTTGTGGGCAAGTAAGGATAGCAGCCATGGCTCGCCAGTAGTGAGGTGGAGGATAGGGGTTGACGCGGTTCTTGTAGCGACGAAGAGTCAAGCCAGCATAGAAAGCGCCAATGCCTCTCATGCGATCGTAATGGATCGATTCGGAGACCCACATGCCGTCTTCCTTCTTCCAGCCCAGTGTGATACGGCCAGTGTCCTTCGTCTCGGCGCCTCTGAAGCCAAAGAGTGCTCCACATGACTTGCGAAGCTTTGCGATCAAGATATCGATCATGGACATGCCGCGCCAGAGGAGATCAGGGTGAGAGAAGATTTGATGGGCAGCCATCGCGATTGGTTCAGCACTCTCAGACTTCAAGGCAGCTTCTTGAGCAGCTTGGGCGATGAGGGCTTTAGAGAAGATAGACAGAAGGTATATGAACAAGACAGGGAGTTGATCGCCATTGTTCTTAGCGGTTCCATCGGTGACAGGAGCAGGTACTCGAAGCACGTATGGGGAGGGATCGATCATAGGGACCTGAGCGCCTTGGCCGATGTTGACTTGGTATGTCAATGAGTCCTTCATGATATCACGGAGCTTGTTGAACTGCGAGAGGCGTTAGCTGACTGCATGGCAAAGGATGATGGCTACTTACGACATTCGCGTTCTTGTTTCCAATTGACAATTGTCCCAGAGCAACACGAATATCCGCGCCTTGCTTCATAGCTACATCTTTCAATGGACTTGTGTTCGCCTTGCCCTTTGGCTTGACCTGTTTTCGGAGCATCTTAAGTTGAAGGTGAACGGAAATATACTTTTGAGTCTCAGGCCCATCAACCATGTCTGAGAAACTCGTAGCAGGCTGATTCGCAGTACCTGCCGAAGGCTGACTTGGGATTGGAACATGTTGAAGGGCGGATTGGGGAGGAGCGGGAGTGCTGCTTGCTGCTGGGGCGGAAGGGTTGGGAGCAGAGGCTGGAGGAGTAGCCGCAGACTCGACGGATGATTGGGTCGTAGGGGGCTTGACTTGCGCGAATGGGTTATGAGGAGGTTGAGCAGGTTGGCTAGTAGCAGCCTCCGCAGGCGATTTTGCAACTGGTGTTTGGGTCGTATTGGCTGAAGTGGTAGTCGAAGTAGCTGGTGGTGGGGTTGCGACTCGAGGAGGAACTGCTGGCATACGCTTGACAGCATTTTCCGCCTCTCGTGCCTTGACTTCTGCCTCTCGTGCTTTGACTTCTGCCTCTCGTCTCTTTCTCTCCGATTCCCTCAATTCCCTCTGCGCGTTCAGGACTCTTGCCTCCGCGTCTTGTATCCTCTTCTGCTCCAAGATAATGTCTTCTTGTAGCTTGGCTTTCTCCTCCGCTGCTTCGGTCTCGAGCTTGATGGCCTTCAATTGTTCCTCAAGGAGGTAGTTCGTTAGGAATTGCTCGGCACCCTTGCGCAAATTATCGGAATAGTTCTTCGAGTCTCGAAGCATCTGATCGTGTACAGCTTCAGCATTGCGCAGCTCGTAAGGAACCATGATGGGAGCCATGATGATTGCGTTGGCTGATGTTGGCAGTGGAGGTGTTTTGTCACCGGTTGGGGAATTCTCTGACATTTTTTCGTGCGCACATTTGGACCTTAGCTTCGCAGACGAGAAAATTTTCCTCTGATAACAGTGAATCTGTATGAAGTGTCGCGAAGTTGAACCGTTGAACATTTGCAGACGCGAGCACGTCGATTCTGCCGCCATTGACCGCCCGAGAGCTTGAACAGGGGTCAAACGAATACCGATGCAAAGCCAAGTTATGTCAAGTCGGGTCTCGAGATTATTGTATTAATCGTTTTGATTATCTGATTTATTCTTTAAAGATATTGTTTCGTACTCTTGCCACTTCGCCTCGCAATTATGCTCCATCTCATGAGAACTCCAACTCATCCTTGGCCAGCATTGACACTTATAGCCAGCTGTGTCGTGACTTGGACGTTGCGTTGGCTGTCACTGTCACAGGCAGAAGCAGAACAACCAATCAGATGGACCATTGTTGGTTGGACATTCAAGAGAGTTCGTGTCTATTTTTGCATCAAAGTCGGGATATAATTAAGAAGTGGTCATTCTTCGGCCTTGATTCACTCCAACGACGTCTGCAATGTCTTGGTACTCCAATGTATGGGCTCAAGCTTGATTTGCACTAATCATGTGTGATGTATGCTCATAAAAGTTCAGGCCTTCAAGTCAGTATTGCAGCTTAGAATGTTCAAGTAAGGACCCTTGAAAGTGTGCGTGCATTGTGAGCATCTGTTATGGATCAAAAGGCTTGATGCAACATTATCGGGATATTCGTCCAGAGCGATTGGCCACGAGCTAACATGAAACAAGCTATAAGTAGAGCTGGATTGGTCCCGATACGGACTTCTTTTTGCCTCGTTATCTTCACGAGTCAACGCCACTGCCTTCCTCGTGATATGACTTCCATGCAGCGAGAAGCTAGACCTAACATGGTAAACAGCTATTCACTTCTGTCCAGCTTGCAAGACAATATCACTTGTGGGGATATCTACCTTCGTCTTTCCACCTCGTATTACTTCACAGCGATCAACTTCCTTCAAAATACGAGAAACCCAAAGTAACTCTCTACACGTGATCTTGCCCGAGCGGCAGCTGCGAAGGGGAACTAAACCCCAAACAGAAAGCACTGCCAAGCCGCGCAGCCCCAGCATCGACGCAAAGCAACGCAACCTTCCCAGACGGCTCCAAACCAAACTTGTTCATCGAACACTTCGACCTCTTCACTCTCCGTCTCTCTCTTCCATCCCTCTCCCTCACCACATCCTCGAATCCTCGAGAACAACCGCTCCTTCACCCTCCCTCTTCGTATCCTCTCCTTTGCCCTCATTTGATCATTCACCCACAATCATTTGGATTGCACACAAACACTCCCGATTCAATCGCACTCGACGTGCACGTTCCGCCATGGAGCATCAACCAAATCAACCACCACAAGGTGGTGTACCAGGCCCTACCGGCCGCAGACTCCATATTGCCCATCGCAGAAGTCCATCAGAGCTGACGCCTCTGATGCACATGTTCACATCTCCCGGAAGTAAGTTTCCAGAGCATCAAGGTTCGCCTGTCGTCATACCCCGGCATCAGCTCCCAGCTATCAAAACATTATACTAACAAACTGTTTCTATAGTGGAACAACTTGCGATACAACAACAAATCGAACTGCTCCAAGCACAGCAACAGCAGATCCAAGCTACACACCAGCAATATGTGAACATGGGCATGATCCCGCCGTCCCAACATTTGGCTCCGGGTGGTGGCTACAATCCTCTTCAGCAACAAGTGCAAAACCTGTCTCCGCAGACTGCATTCCAGTTTCCTAATCAGATGCCACAACAGCAACAGCAGCAGATGAATGCACCCATGGGCGCACCCACACAACCCTTATCACATCGTCGTAATCAATCGGCACTTCCCAATATGGGCATGGGACCACCTCCTGCTCCATCCTCCGGCGCCTCTGCGTCTGGTTTTGGTGACTTTGGAGGACACAATAGAGACAATGCTGGTGGTAGAGGCGGTCGTGGTGGAGGCCCTCCAGGTAGTGGACATCAACGTCGTCATTCTCTTGCATTGCCCGAAGCCAAGAAGGCTGCAGAGCTGGCCCAGCAGAAGCGAACAACATCAGGATTTCAATTCCCAATTCCAGGTGCAGCCGGCGCTACCCCAACGGAACGTACAGAGAGTCCTTCTGGCGAGGAGAACAATTCCCAACCACAAGCTCAAACTCAAGGGCAAAGCACTGGTAATCATGCTGGCACAGGAGCTAGTCTTCGCGGCAGAGGCAGCGGACACGGCCGGAGTCAAAGCATGGCTGTTGGCGCCAATGGACGAGGTGGTTCAGCTATACGTGGTGGCGGATCTTTTCAATTTCCCCCAATGCAAGCAACCGCTGATGCCGGTGCTGCTGGTACTGCTGGCGGACAAAATGACTTCCAAAGACGTGGTAGCTCTACTGGTCATAACAGACAATCCTCGCGAAACTTCGAAGGCAACTGGAGAAACCAACCTCCTCAAGGTCAAGCACCGCCGCAGGACCAACAGGGTGCCATGGGCAACTTTCAAGGTCAGCAACAACAAGGTGGCTTCCAACCTGGTCATCGCAATCGTGGATCCATGAATCAGTCGATCAACAATATCGGCTCGTTTCAATACGGAGGACAACCGCAATTGGTTCAATTGCCACAAGGTCAAATGGCTCTTGTTCAACAGCCTATGTATCCTGGCCAGACATTGAACCCCTTACAGATGAACCAACTTCAAGCCCTGCAAGCTGCACAAATGAATGGTCATGTTGGTCTTGGAGGCAGTCAACACGCACCACAATTGTCTGCTCAGCAACAGCAGCAACAACGGAAGACTCTCTTCACACCATATCTTCCACAAGCCACCTTGCCTGCTCTTCTTGGAGACGGACAATTGGTCTCTGGTATTCTTCGTGTCAACAAGAAGAATCGAAGTGACGCATATGTCTCCACCCAAGATGGACTTTTGGATGCGGATATCTTCATCTGTGGTAGCAAGGATCGCAACAGAGCTCTGGAAGGAGACCTCGTTGCTGTTGAATTGCTCGACGTTGATGAGGTGTGGGGTCAGAAGCGAGAGAAGGAAGAAAAGAAGAAGCGCAAAGATATCACCGACACCAGAACTGGTGGTTCTAGTAATGGCAATGCTGACAGATCCCACCGCGACAATTCTACAAATGGTGATCAAGAATCTGGTACTGGTGAAGGTGGGATCAGAAGACGTGGTAGTTTGAGACAACGACCTACCCAGAAGAAGAACGACGATGTTGAAGTCGAAGGACAGAGCCTTCTTCTTGTTGAAGAAGAGGAAGTCAATGACGAGCAAAAGCCATTGTATGCCGGACACATTGTTGCTGTCATTGAACGTGTCGCGGGTCAGATGTTCTCAGGTACATTGGGTCTTCTTCGTCCTAGCAGTCAGGCTACCAAGGAGAAGCAAGAGGCCGAGCGTCAAGCTAGGGACGGTAACTCTGGACGTCACCAAGAGCAAAGACAGCAAGATAAGCCGAAGATTGTCTGGTTTAAGCCTACTGACAAGCGCGTGCCGCTCATTGCAATCCCTACCGAGCAAGCCCCGCGTGATTTTGTTGAGAAGCATCAAGATTACGCTGACCGAATCTTCGTTGCTTGCATCAAGAGATGGCCAATCACCTCTTTACATCCTTTTGGTACACTCGTGGAACAACTGGGTAAGATGGGTGAGCTGAAGGTTGAAACCGATGCTCTTCTTCGCGACAACAATTTTGCTTCCGACGAATTCTCTGATGCAGTCACTCGAAGTGTTGGATTTGACGAATGGACTTTTGAGAAGGAAGAAGAGGCTACAATCGCTGCTCGCCGTGATTACCGAAACGAAAAGGCATTCACTATTGATCCCAATGGTGCAAATGAGCTGGACGACGCCATCCATGTCAAGACCGAGGTTGATGGCAAGATTGAGATTGGTATTCACATTGCTGATGTCGCTCATTTCATCAAGGCCAACTCACTTGTTGACCGCGAAGCGAAGAAGAGGGGTACTGCCGTGTATCTTATGAATCGTGAGTCCTCCGGTTTACCTACTCCCCTTTCCCCTCGACAGGAGATGAATCCTATCTCTTTCTATTGTGTGGTCTAGACTATTGGACATTCACAAGTTGGGAGAATGGGTTCAATGTCTGGCTTACTAGCTAATCATTTTATGTTAGGATCTTGCGCTATGCTTCCACCAAAACTTGCCTCTGAAATCTGCTCTCTGGTTCCTGGCAAGGACAGATTTACCGTCAGTGTTGTGTTCAAGGTCAACGCTCACACTGGCATGGTCGATGACGAGGATACTTGGATCGGAAAGAGTATCATTAAGAGTTCTGGAAAGTTGACCTACAAGGAGGTTGATGCAGTTCTCTCTGGTCACCTTGATACTAAGCTCGATGGAGCCGACGTCAAAGAAATTCAGATTCTACATGTGAGTCCACAACATCAATATCTTCTGCGCTCTGCTAATAGAACAACAGGCTGTTGCTCAGAAATGGCGTGAACGCCGTCTCGGTACCGAGAGCGAAACCATTGCTCCTCTCAGACTCTTCTACCAACTGGATGATGAAAATGTTCCGGTTGAACAGAACATCTTTGACTCTACTCCATCACACGAGTTGATTGAAGAATTGATGCACAAGGCAAACACCTATGTTGCACAAAAGATCTCCCAAGGTCTGCCTGAAAAGGCTCTCCTCCGCCGACAAGGACCACCGAACCCTCGCCGCCTCCAAACTTTTGCCGATCGCATGGGCAAGATTGGATACGAGATTGACACCACAAGCAGTGGAACTCTGCAAAATAGTCTCTTTAAGGTCGAAGATCCTGAGATCCGCAAGGGCATGGAAACTCTCTTGGTCAAGGCAATGCACCGTGCCAAGTATTACATTGCTGGAAAGACACCTCAGCAACTTTGGCCTCATTATGCTCTAAACACTCCTTTGTACACTCACTTCACAAATCCATCCAGACGATATGCCGATCTGGTTGTACATCGTCAACTTGAATTTGTCCTCTCTGAAGGCAAAATCGAGTACAACGAGGACATCGAGACTCTGGTCAAGACTACCGAATCATGCAACACCAAGAAGGATTCGTCTCAGAACGCTCAAGAGCAAAGCGTGCACATCGAGTCTTGCCGAATCATGGACCGAAAGCGTGAGGAAGTCGGTGGCGAGCTAATTAGCGAAGGTATCGTTCTTTGCGTCTATGATTCTGCATTCGACGTTCTCATTCCAGAGTATGGCTTTGAGAAGAGAGTTCATTGTGATCAACTGCCTTTGAAGAAGGCCGAGTTCCGCAAGAACGAGCGCATTCTGGAGCTGTACTGGGAGAAAGGTGTACCATCTTCTGCCTACGTTCCAGAAGACGAGCGTCCCAAGGCTGGTGCATCTCAACGTACCACGAATGCCGCCGCTGCTGCTAAGCAAGCTGCTGTTGCTGAACGAGCCAAGAAGGAGCACGAGGAAGCTCAACGCAAGCAGATGGAGACTGGTACAATGTCAACCGATGACGTTGATGCTCTGTTCGATGATGAGGATGATGCTTCCGATATCGCTGATAGCCTTGCTGGTGTTTCACTCGCCGAACGACCAACTCAAAGCGTTCCACCTTCGCCAACCAAGAATTCTTTGACAGCTTCCGGCAATCTCCATCGCACTCGATCCGATTCAAAGGTTCCTACTGGTGAGCCAGTTGAGGCCAAGTTGAGCGCAAAGGAGAAGTATCTAAAGTTCTTCACCCTCCGTGAAGAGAACGGCGAGTACATTCAAGACGTCAAAGAAATGACTCGAGTGCCAGTGATTTTGAAGACGGATCTCACTAAGAGTCCTCCGTATGTGTATCCATCCCTGCTCATGTTCTCTTACTGACTCGGTTATAGGTGTCTCACCATTCGCTCGCTCAACCCATACGCGCTATGATCCGTCTATCGAATTATTACTTACGAAGATACTATGGATTTTGGGAGGTGGTATCGTGTCGTGCAAATTCCTGCTTTACTTGGTGGGAACAGGTACGAGAACATACTCAGAGGTCTGGGACAGCTTCTGCGTACACATGTAAAGTGTCTCATGCTCTGGCTCATGGTCCAAGATGGATCTGAGTCGAAGAATAATTTTCATTGTGAGATTGTCACCGAGAAGGCCAGCAGTTGGGGGGGATGGAAATGGCTGCAAATGGTAGACGTGGTGGATGGGATGGAGTGGGAGTCGCAAAAGTCGAGCCAACACAGATATATCAATGGCTGCTCAATGTATTTCCTTTGCTTTAGCGTTTGCATCTATAGTTCTGAAGCGCAATCACATATTTCCTCAGGCGCGGCCATCAATGCCGTCCGTTCCTTGCTGATCCTGATCCTGAACCCCATCCTCATCCTGAATCTCCTAGAATCTCCCACCGCCGCATGCCATTTTACTGGGGGCGGTAGATAGGTAGAGTGGGTGGGAGTGTTCGATCGAACTTTATTGTCCGACCCCAGATCTACGGAAGCTTGGTTGCAATGAACGACCTGTTGGCCCAGACTGCGACGACGGCGACATCTACAGTTCAAACCAAATTCTTGGCGGCCCGGATAGGATGAGGTTGCGATTGCGTTGCGGCGGTACAATATATCGTTGTCGAGGGCTTGCGACCAGCCTTACGACGACGAATCGAATCTCGAATGAGCGGAAGAAGGGCATGCGAGTCGGCATTATTCTCCAGCACGGGTTCATGCAACATAGTGTGTTCGGGGTGGCACCTTCAAACGCTTCCGTCCTCCTTGGCAAAATTGGCAAAATTGGCAAAAATCCATCGGGAGCGCCATTGGACTGACTGATGGGATTTGCAGGAAATTCGAGGCTCCAAATTTGCGCGTCTTGGAGTGTCTTGGTCTGTCCTCTACCCGTGTGCACGTCTCAATTGCCCTTGGCGACTCGGTCGATGATGCATGGGCTCAAACACAGCTGACACAGCGCCCCTCGGGTCCCCTGGCCCCCTCCCTGTCGCCCCCCCTTTCCACAACCGAGCGACGACCCACGAATCTCATGCCCAGCGTTTGCCCAGTGTCACCTAAACTCACCCAAACTCACCCACCGTCATGCCCACGCCGGAACATTTCGTCCCTTTAACCGTTAAGCTTCTTTCGGCTGGCCAATGTCTGCTGCAGAGTGAGATCGCAGTGGGAACATTTGGACGGCTCCGGGGTTGCGATTGGTGGCATCTGTCTGGCCCGCCCATCGCCATGCCCTGCATCCAGCGACGATTCCCGCTGTCAGCGAAGCTTCTTGCCAGGGCCTGATGGAGTGAGTCCTGCTCTCCCTCCCCTCCCCTCCCCTCCCCTTCTCTCCCTGCTGGGGCTCTCACTCTCATGGGCTTCCGGATATCCCACTTCCTGGGGCCAAGAGTGCTTTTTAAGGTTGTTACAGTACGTCGTGAACGGATCTTCGCCGGTCAAGCTTCGTCCCGTGGAATGCCAAGCTTTCTGCATCCTGCTCGAGGGGCCACTCTTTAACAACCTTCCCTCCGCATGTTTGGAGAACTACCTCCCTTCCCTTCCCTTCCCATTGCCTTCTAGATACCCTTTCCAAGCGCTGGTTTGCTTTCACGAACTCAAAGGACAATCGCTTCCACTCATTTGGTGCTATTCATCTTCTACCTCTAATACCTTTTAATACTTTCTACTACTTGTAATAGCTCAGGCTGGTCTTGTTGAGCTTACAATTACTTTACCTTCTTCTTATACATATACTACATCCTTTCGAAGACCAATATACAACTCGAACGTCCTTCCACAATGCCGAGCATCAGACAGATTTTGGGAGCGGTGGCAGTGAGCATGGTGGCAGTGACAACGGCGCTTCCAGCGTTGCCAAAGATCAGCCCGCAGATGCGAAGAGCATACGATGCTGGTGTCCTCGCACGAAAGAATCTCCTCGAGTCAAGGCAGAACCCAGCCACCGGGTTACCAGATGGATTGACCGATGTCGATATCCTCGAATTGTACGTTGGATGAATGGAGTTTGAGTGAAGTGTACCAAGCTGATATTTTCCAAGTGCCCTAACAGCAGAGAACCTCGAGACTGCTTTCTACCAACAAGGCTTCGCCAAGTTCCAAGACTCGGACTTCGCTGCATTGGGTCTCACAGCAACAGATATCACGAACTTGAAGTCGATTGGAGGAACGGAGCAAACGCACGTCACGACACTCACCAGCGCCATTGCAGGAGCAGGAACGGCACCCGTCCAGCCATGCACGTATAACTTTGGATTCACCACCGCAGCAGCAATGGTGGCCACCGCTGGTGTCTTGGAGAACATTGGTGTCTCAGCGTAAGTTCTAAAAAGACATCATATATTGACCATGCATGACTGACAAATCCCAGATACCTCGCAGCCGCTCCCCTCGTCAAGACCCCCGCGATCCTGACCGTCGCCGCCGAAATCGTCACCGTCGAAGCCAGACATCAAACCTTCATCCGCACCGCCTCCAAAGCAGCCGCCATCCCCTCCGCCTTCGACACCCCCCTCGGCATCCGCGCCGTCTTCACCCTCGCCGCAGGATTCATCTCCTCCTGCCCCTCCGGCTCCAACCTAGCCATCACGCCCTTCCCCGCCCTCACCATGACGGCCGGCGCCCCCGCTGCTGCTTCTACGAACGGCACCATCGCCGCCGGCACCGCGGTCCAGGTCACCACCGCCGCGACGGGCGCCACGAACTGTGCGTTCGTGAACGGTGGACTGCCTGGTGGAGCGGCATTCACGCAGTTCTCGAATGGCGCGTGCACGGTTCCGCAGAATCTGGCGGGCATCACGTATTTGCATCTTACGAGCTCGGCGCCTGCGGATAATACGCTGACGGATGCTATTACCGTTGCTGGGCCAATGGTTATGCAGATCTCGTAGATTGCCAGAGCAGAGGGAGGGAGTGAGTGAGGGAGGAAGGAAGGGATAGATGGATGGGTAAATATGGGTGGAGTACGGGTGAATTCTTGGGTCCTCTTGATGAAGAATGGGAAAAGACAGACGGTGGTGGAGTGAATGTTGAATTTGGCGGTGGGTGATGGTTGGTGGGTGGAAGGGGAGGTATTAAATCTTTAGAAGAGAGGAATAGGAGCATTATTTTACGCTCGACAGCTTACTTTACTTTTTATTTTATTTACTTGTGTGAGATAAACACCATCAATCAAAATTCGATTCTTGATAAGAAAAAAACGGAACAGGGAAATAGTGGATTTCATTCTGAAGTGGTGATCTTCTCGAAAATACTAATTCCCTCGCGACCAAGTGCTGTTCCTACTCCAACGGCAGCTGCGCCAACACTCCTCATCCGTGCAAATCCAGCAGCGTCCCTAACGCCTCCAATCCCTATAATGGAAATGGCTCGAACATCAAAATGAGGAGAAGCATCCAACATACTCCGAATCGTCCTCACATTCCCCAACGCAAGCGGATGCAACGCATCGCCCGCCATCCCCCCAATCCCCGTCCCACCCACCGACCCCAACGCCGCTTCATTCCTCCTATCAACTACTAGACAACTACCCAACGTATTCGTCGCCGTCACAAAACTAATCGGACATCCCCCCTCGAGACTGGCGGAACTCTCCAGCGCATCAATAAGCGTCTGGAATTGCCCCGCATACGTATACGGCGGCGTCTTGATCCCTACATGTAAAGGACGCTCGTACTCACGTGGCATACTCCCTTTCGCGACGCTGATGGCTGCGATGTACTCCGCCAGAGCAGCAAGCGAGTACGCCGGCGGCGGCTTGTCGGGGATATTGGGGCAGGAGAGGTTGATCTCCATCATCAATTCCAGATGTTCGAGAGGTTTTGGTACATCCGAGACCGAGGCCTTGGCGTCAGGCGTTGATGATGGGGCGGAGGGATAGGGATATATGGATTCCGGGTCGTTGAGCACGGTGAGCAGGTGGGTGGCGCATTGGGCGATCTCGGTCGCGGTGCCGGTTACTGATACGATGAAGGGTTTGCGTTTGTGTTTGCGGTTGTGGGGGAGATCGAGAAGGCCTGATCGGCTCATGCGGATTATTGTGTGGACGTACAATTGGAATGCGATTGGACTGTATCTGTATATCACAGTTAGTTAACCGTCATGCCATCCTGGCTAGGAGCGTGAGTGAGTGAGATAATGGATGGAAAGTACCCAAGCGTATTCAACGAAGTCGTTTCGCCCTCCACCACCCCGCCCCGCCCCTCCGGGTGATCGACAACGTTCACCTCCGCAGTAGCGTGCCCGAGTGCACTAGAGAAGAACGTATATTGATGCGTGGAAGCGTGCTGCTTGAAGCCTGACCCCCACAGCGACGTCCGGGTCGTGACGGCGCCTGTGTAAGGGCAGTTGTAGAGGGCGAGGAGGTCGGATTCGGTTGTTGCCCAGGGGTTGGAGCTGTTGAGGAGTGGGGGGTCGATGCGAAAGGATGGGGATGGGGAAGATGGAGAGGAAGAGGAAGAGGCTATTTCGGGTGGATGTTGCGAGGTCATGGTCATAGTGAGAGTGGCGGTGGGTACTGTAATTGATGGGTGGATTGTTTCTGGAATGTTTCGATGCGGTTTAAGGTTAAATGCTGTGTTGGATGTTTGGGGAAGTGGGGGGGTAGGTAGGGATTGGAAGGGTAATGTCGGTCACGGGAAGATACCAAGTTACAGCGGAGTACATTGGGATGGCTGAGAATAGAAGTCGTTTATCTTAGATTGGTTTTGTTTAACCTTAACCTTAAGTTTTCCGGATCGGAGGATTGATTTTTGATGCTTATTTAGGATTTAAAGAGAGATTTCTTGAGACACGTGGTTATTCTCTCTCTCTTCCAGGCCCTGTTACATTTTCCGGACATTCCTCTTTAATCCGAACTCATGATGATAGCGAGGGACTTTGTACACTCTAGCATGAGAATCTAGGATTCGAGACAATCTTCTGATGCAGTCAAAGCTGGCTTCGAAGGGTTAACAATGATCACATCGGTTACAACGTCGGCAATCGATCATTTCATCCCTTTTCACCTCATGGAATTCACCCAGTATTGCTCAATATATTAAGCTCAAAGGGTTTTCCAAAATTAGAACTTAAATGCAGTCTCTCTTCCCGAATACCCCGCATCTGAAAATAGATCATCTCATCAGATAGGAACAATAGAACTCATTCCAGGTCCAATTCAACAAATAGGTCTAGACCCATTGCTTCAAGTGCCAAGAATCATGATATTTGGTGGTGAAAAGAAACACAAACACCTTGCCGAACTTCTGCATTTCATTTCCTTGTACTCCCCCCTTTTTAGCCGAGCTCTAGTACCCTCCCGAAAACAACCATTCGGAACCTCACCTGCCTGATTAAAGACCAGCTCTCGCGGACATTAATCTGGTAAATACCAATTCGAAAGATTGCTCTCCTGTCAGCATTCAATTTCCGTGCAGCTGGAATATATTTTCGCCACTCGACCCCCGCAAACCGAGGTGTAGAGCGGGATGGAATGGAGGAGGATGGGTAAATGTCGTTGTATAAATATCTGGAGATGGGATGAAGTTTTGATGAGAGCAAGCAAGCAAGTGTTCTTGAAAACTACTCTTAGTCAATCTTCTCGGAGCCAATTCGCACTCTCACCAATTTCCATCCTAAACCTCACCCTCAGTCAAAATGGTCCAACTCACCAACCTCGCTCTCCTAGCAGCCACCCTGCTCAGGTAAACCTCCTTCCCCTCTCCCTCTCTTTTCATCCTAACAAACCCCCAGCCCCCTCGCTTTCGCAGACGTCCTCCGCGATCCCAAAACCGCTTGCACAACCTTCGTCCAAGTCGTGACGAGCACCGAGACTCGCTACCCGAAAGACGTCGATACCAGCGTCATCCTCTACGAGTATCCGGTCGTTACGACCGTCTATGCGACCAATACGAGTACCGTCTTGTATACGACTGATAAGACGAGGATGAGGACTAGGACTGATACGCAGACTGTTAGTCAGTGTACTGTTTATTAGGGGTTACTGGACGGTGGAAGAGGGGGGAAGTGGCGAGTTGGCAAATGAATGTACATAGTCAAGGAAATGAATACCGAAACAAAAGGGAGATGATGTTGTTCTGAAGCTTGTGGGACAGTGTACTAGGAAAAACATATACTTTGAGATCGAAGGAAATCCACATTCTTTTCACATCATTCCCTCCTTCAAATCCTAGTTCACGCTTAGCCCGCTTCTATTGTCTCACAAGCTCTGGAGTAATGTCATCTTGCCTGTGGGGCAATGTAAGTGGGAAAAGCAGATTCTTTGAGATGGAAAGAAATTCAAATTCTTCTTACACTTTTTCATGCTTCACATCTTAGTTGCCGCACTTGGCCTACGTATATTGTCTCATAAGCTCCGGATCACGGTCATGTTATGTCCTTATTTTCACAATATAGACGAACAAACAAATCATATTGACGGACATATATCACGTTTAAGGATCAAGACAAAGAGTTCAGTTGACAATCCGACATTTTCAATTTTTGCGCTACGAAGAATCTAATACTCCCCCAAACCCCCCAAATGCCCGCCGTATACTCCGACATCGTAATCTACAACTCCTCCTCCTCCTCCGTCCACTCCTCTCCTCCTACCCCATCGTAATAGCCACCACCACCACTACCACCATAGAACCCGTACCTCTTCAATCGGTCCTTTTCCGAACCGGACGAAGTGGTCCGAGATCCTGGTGGCGGTGGCGGTGGAGCAGAAGCCCAACTTGAATAAGCACCATATCTAGGTGCAGCAGCAGCAGCAGCAGGTTCCTCCTTCTTCGACGCCTTCAGCAGAGCGTCGTACTTTCGGTTTGCCTCCGAAAGCTCGATTCTCTGTCTCTCCACCTCGACTTTCATCTTCTCCAATTCCTCGGTCAGGTTTGCGATTGTGGCCTTGTGCTCAGCGCACTCGCCACAGCCGGACTTCTGTCTCTTGTCATTGTGCTCGGAGGCACCACCGGACTTGAAGAAACGGGCAAAGCCCGGAAGCTTTGTGGACGAAGGCTTGGTCGACTCCTTCTCATTGTACGGCGGGACGGCGGGACTCGGCTGGTCTTGACATGACCAGCCGCTCCCATTGGCTGGGAAGTCCCCTTGGTACATTGGGACTCTGTTGCTAAATTGCGGGGCACTGTAGGTCCAGTCCTCGACTGTCTCGAATGTACGGCCAGCTGTAGGCTTATGTTGGGGCTTTGCGTAGCCAAATTGAGGGGCACTGTAAGTCCAATCCTTGAATGCTGGTCCAGTGGTCGGATTCTGTTTGGGCATCGAGTCGTTATCGCCAAACCTCGGATAGCCATGTCTCCATTGTTGCTCCTTTGCCAGGCGATCCTTTGCGGCTTGTTGTTGTTCTTCTCTGGCTCGTTCGGCGGCTCGACGACTATTCTCATTCGCTCGTTCCTGTTTCTCCTCTCTCATTTTCTTCTGTCGGATCCTCTCTTCGGCCTCTCGTGCTTGCTCCTCGCATCTTCGCTTGTGATCGTCTTCACGTTTCTTCCGTTGTTCAGCCTCCGCAGCATAGTAGCTTCTCGAAAATGGTTTCGGACCTGGATTCGTCCTGCTAGATTGGCCATTGTACGACGCGTCGGGGAATGCGTTCGGGGGAGCTTGTGTGGGTCGTCGAAGTTTGTTGTCGTAGAGAACTCGGGACGACTCGTTACTCAGCGTATCATAAGCTTCTTTTATCTGGAGATATGAGTTAGCAAGGCGCAAGTTGGAAGATGGGAGGACTTGCCTTGACGAAGTCTGCACCAGAAGCGTCTCCATTCTTGTCGGGGTGGTTGATCAATGCAGCTTTTCGGTATGCGCTTTTGATCTCAGCGGGAGTAGCATCGTTGTTAACGCCGAGGATCTGATAGTAATTGGGATCCATTATGGCCAGAAAGCGCAAAAAGATTGATGAAAGCGCAAGAAGAATGCCGAAGTGGGAAGACTGAAGCAGTGGGAACTCTGAAGACGTGGAGAGACTGGATCTGGGGACTGGAGCTGTGGAAAGACTTGTGTCAATGGAATCGATGCACTTGTCGAGAATAGACTGATTGAACGAAGTTCTGCGCCTGCGTGGAAGAATGTTCTCAAGTCGAGATCGATGTTTTCGTTGCGAAAAGGTAGTGGGCGCTAAAGATTTCATCCTTGATATTGGGGGAAAGGCCAACTGCTATCGAGATGACGAGGCTAAGGGGGAGGTTCACGTGAACGGGAATCCAATGCTTCTCGCTATTCCCAAATACAATGCCCCGCGAACTTACAATAGAAGGAATTTATGTATAGTAATGAAGCCAGCCCGAGAGGCCTCGTAATTGAAGAGCCACAAAAGAAGTTTGACAAGTCATTTCATTTATGTAAAGTAGGCAATAGGCAAGCATGGTCAGCAGCCAAAAATTTGAAAGGATTCGCACCCCCCTGTAACATTTCGCGACCCAAAACAAGTCGCGGAGCCGCATTTTGGATGGCCCTGGACTCAAGGTGGAGATACCAACATCATGACTGCCGATGCCGCTGCCGTCGGATTAAACCGGTGTCCACCTGTCTATGTCTACTAAACTCTCAAACGCAAATGGAAGAAAATGGGATGAAATACTTTCTAGATGCCCGAGACTGAAGGGCATTTATCACCTACTGTCATAATCACCATTTACCTCTCTGTATATTTTCTTCATGTAGCTCAAGGTGCATAATATACTATGAAAAGTGGGACATTGAAAGCACTAGCGCATCAAGGAGCTGAAGCTACTGGCGAAATCGGCTCTTCGATATCACTGTCTTCGCGTTGCCGTTTCAGTGAATGTGACTTCAGCACTTCTAGTACGCCTCACCTCTATTTTCTCCCTCGTCTCCTGCCCACAACAATACAATTGGAATGATCAACGACCCCGACAACACAAGATGTCTGCGGAACAAGATCATTACGCAGTCCTCGGCTTGGGTCACAATGCCAGCATTGCAGAGATAAAGACCGCGTTCCGCAAGGCTGCGCTTGCAACTCATCCAGACAAAGGCCAGCGCGAAATGACAGAGGCGTTCGTCAAGGTAAGATGGAATGATCCTTCAATGCTGCGTTCCCCGATAGAAAGCTTACTGACAAGCATGGTACCTAGGTCAAAGCTGCGTATGATGTATTGAGAGATGATAAGACCCGTGCAGAGTTTGACCAGAAACTCAAGAAGCGCATCAACGAACGTAGCGAGCGCGGAGGACCGTACAGCGAGGACAATTTCTCATCGAATGAAGGTGTCTACAGCACACAGGGACGGTACGGACATCCTATGGCTGAGTCTTCCAAGCCAAATTTCCATCCTCGAGCACAGAATCCAGACGGGGATGATACAAGGGCCAAGGCTGACAATCACAATCATAGATACAACAACGCAGAAAGTAACTCCCAAATGAACTATCAGGCACAGTATCCGCGCACCGAAGGACGAGCACCCAGACCCGCTACGAAGCAAAAAACAAGAGTGGATTATGGAACCCGCGATCTGGATGAGGTGATTGACCTAGTGCGTACTGTCCTAGCTTCTGCCCGGGAAGCGAACCAGCTCGATGTCATAGATGTCTTGCAAGATGTTCTGATAACCCTTGAACTATATACTATCAGAAATCTGATCGCGTTCAGGAACTCTGTGCGGAATCTAAGCAAAGGACAGCATGTAGATGCGTCGCTGAGGGACTTGAGAATATATGTAAAGATGCACATTGAGTGGAATGTACCTAAGTAGGAGAGGTTTCTCGGACGGTAAGTGTACTCAGGCATAATGTCACTTCCTCAGTAGTCCATCACTAATCTTTACTGAGGGAGTCGACTTTGCGTGCGGTAGCTATATGCATTCTCATCTTTGCATAATCGTCTCGCTTGAGACTCCCAATACACTTGTTTAGGTATGCCAGAGCTGCCATTTTGCCCTGCCCGTTATCTAGCGCGCGAACTGTGTTGTGACCGTTCTCTGGAAAGCTCCAGGGCCTTTGGAAGGCTTTTGGAAGGCCTTTCAAATTGTGCAGACGATGGATATCAAGGCAAAGTTGCCATCATAACCTTAGCATGTTCGTTTCGTGTTCCACGGTCCGTAAATGGGGGGTCGTTCAAGGTCGGGGTCGAAGTCTGGTAGCGGTTATCTGGATCCTATCAGTGATTGGTATAGTAATGTGGAGGGAGAGCATACTCAACAATTGTTGGCGCAGTCTGAATCCTAAACCTCAGGACCGAGGGGGTTTGGTCAATTGATCAACCGCTTGCAAAGCAACGAGGAGTCACCAAGTCTGCCAAGTTCAGCGGCTTCTAGCATGACTCCTCACATGAGTTCCAATCGGGATCATCAAGGTGTAGAGCTTCCCAGTTGTCTATCATGATGAACAGCTTGCCAGCGGAGTGAAATCGTGTTGTGGTCTTCGTTTCGCTTTCAATGGTCCTGTCACAGCTCAATTTGAAAGCTCAGACAACAAGGTGACCATGCGCTGCGAAAGAACGGCAGATCTTGGGGCGCCGGGTGTACGACACAGCCATGATCTGGCAGGAGAAAAGTTTGAAAGTTTTGTACAGTTTTGATTCAAGATTCTGGAGAGAAGAGTTGAGGTGAACAGAAAAGAACGACGGAGATCGAGAGCGGCCGCTAGCGTGAGTGAAAAGTGTAGGCCCGTGCACATACTGTAAATACAAATACCGACGTAGTTGTAGGTACCTCCGTAGTCTTCTGTCAGTGCTTGACTCTCATCATCCTTGTTATAATTGAACTCAGCCCTCAATCATTGTTTCGTTACCACTCGCACATACTCTATATGCTTGTAAGCTAGGAGGCAGATTTACAATGAGACATCGAATCCAGGCGTCACAGCACTCTTCTTCCGTTATCGTCACACTCAATGAGATCTACACCTCACATATGTGTGAGCAAAGTGAACCGATCCTTCACTGTCAGATATGTTTCTCTTTCTGGTCCTCGTGGAATGTGCTTTGAGAGCATACATGTCTCTAGCGTACATACTAAACAACCACAATGAGATTATCTCTAGCCCCGATGTATCGAAGGCTTCGTGATCAAGTTCATGACCGTGTTCATTGCCATACGGATTTTTACAAAGTACACGCAAACTATCCTACCAAAGGCAATGCATCGCAAATATGGCACCAACCAAACCCAAATGACTCCGAATCCTCCTTATACTAAACAGAAAAGAGAATCTTCCAAATGTTACACGCATTCCATCTGATCGCATCATCGCATCATCGCATCTTCGCATTTTCAACTCCCAGTTTCTCTTGCTGAACCTCATCACCAACATGCTGAACTCTGTTCACAGGTGTAATCTCCCCATCCATGTGCCCCACCGTCCGAGAACTGATCTGCCGCATCCTCAATGGATCTCCTGGTGCCCGATTTTCTCTTGCATCGATTCCAACGATCGTTTGCGCTTCTTGAGTCTCTGGTGTCCAAGCCAGGTAGTCTCTCCTAACCTCAACATAGTCATATGCAAACTCTCCAAGCTGGTCATCATCCATACCCAGCATCTCTGCCTCCTCGCTCGCTCTGAGATTCAGACCCGGAATAAGGTTGATGACTCCAGCTATAGCAGCAGAGACCACGAAAGAATATGCTGTGCAAGCAACAACATAGGCGACTTGGATATATAACTGTTTCCAGTTATGATTTATCCATCCTCCATTTATCAGGCCAGTCGAGACCCCATCCAAGCCGATGATGTAGTCTGCTGCAAACAAGCCATTGAAGATCAAGCCTACCATGCCTGCTATCCCGTGTTCGGCAAGATTGTCCATGCTATCATCGATCCGAATCCAGAATTTTATCTTGGTGCTGAAGTTGGAGACGATACCGACGACTACGCCAAGGATGATACTGGCCCATGGTGGAATGAAACCGGACGCTGGAGTGGCAGCCACGAGACCAGAAATACAACCTGAGCACTGCAGCTTGTCAATTCGATTCTGTCAGGACGTCTTGAGAAACTTACCCAGCCCACCATCGACCATTTCCTCGCCAATCGATAATCAAGCAACACCCATGTGATTGAAGCCATCATGGCTGTGAGACACGAATTCCAACATGCCATCACAGCTCTCAGATTTGCTCCAAATGCACTGCCGCCGTTAAACCCAAGCCAGCCGAACCAAAGTATGATCGTGCCTAAAGTGACTAGGGACACGTTGTGGGGTCGGAAGTTGAGCATCATTTTCTGTTGGCGCTTTCCGAGCATCATGCTGTAGGCTAAGGCCGAGACACCTGAGCAGATCTCAACTGGGCCACCTGGATGTCGTCAGTCTCAATCTTCAGCTAGTGCGAGAGGGAGTAAGTACCTCCAGCATAGTCAAGGACTCCAAATTTGAATGCCCATCCGTTGACGTTCCAAACCCAGTATGCGATGGGACAGTATACCAGAGTGGCCCAGCAGAAGATGAATACCATCATGGGGATGAGGCGACCTCGTTCAGCAATGGCTCCTGTCACGATAGCGCCTGTTGTGGCACAAAATTGCATCTGCTATCATTAGCTCAAACTCCTTCCACGGAGATCTTTACGTACCTGATAGAAAGCATACAACAACTCAGGAATCAATGGACTTCCCGGCGACGGTTCTCCCAACGTGTTTCTCAAGCCGATGTGGGCCAGATTCCCAATAAAGCCCGATGTCCCTGTCGACGAAAATGCGAGAGAATAGCCCCAGAAATACCACTGTATGGTCGTGATCGAGAAGGACCCCATGCATCCCCAGATCATGGAGAGGGCTGACTTTCTGCGAGCGAGGCCGGAGTACAGAAACCCGATTCCGGGAATCATGACCAGGACCATGCAGGAACATATTATGATGTAGGCCTGGTCGCCGGATTGGTACCATTGATTGAGGTTAGTTGTGGCTAGCAGATGTTAGTTTTCATCGTGAGAGAAGCTGACAAGACGTACTGGAATCACCACCATTTGGCAGTGTGCCATTGAAGACGGTTGGGGCGCCGATGTATGCGTACGACATCTTGGAGCAAGCTATCGCTGTATCAGAAACAAATGATCGACGGCAAGATGTATACGAGCAATATAAACACTGCCCGTGAGCTCAGTCTGCAATATATATTCCCAAGTGAGGCTCCATCAGCGGCGATCCGAAAGCGTCAAACGCCAGCTACGCTCCAGACTAGAAGAAAAGCACGCTCTCAGAGAAACTCCAAGCTTTCGCCGAACAATGTGTCCCTGTCAGCATCTATAACAGACCATCGTAAGGCTCGAAACACCGAATGACTGGACGAAAACGTGATGACGGGGAGAAAGAAGCAATACAATCCACGGGAATGCACATAATGACACGCAGGAAAACGAGATAAGATCCTTCTGAGTGGTTAACGAACTTCGTTATCTTGACCACACATGCTGGAGGGCATGGAGAGCCCAACCACTTGGACATTCCGCATGATGGTCCCACGACTCTGAGGCTGAGGCTCTATATTTGAGGTATTAATATCATGGCTTCAGGAAGGGTGATCCGTTAGGGCGGGATGACTCTTGGCATCAGGTTGTTGCCTTTCGGATGTTGGGAACGTGAGCGTGAAGATTTTTCTTGAGCTTTGACTCCCGCAAGTGTCACTTGGAGCACGGAGGCCCAATCCTTCTTTAGGGATCTAGACTTGATTCTCTAGAGAACCCTGAGATGGTGATGGTAGTACCATGGAAATGTCCAGCCCTGAAAATATTAACTCCATAGACTTCATGGGGATCTGCTTGTGCGTCCGCCACGCACCCGAAGCCACGGATCGACACGACATCTGATCTTCCCGCTGCTGCCGCCCGCTAGAGTCTCACATCCGTTCCAGACGCCTCATGAACTTGCCAGCAATATACATTTTGTTCAAGGACGTTCCTGGTTGAGCAAAAGATAACAATTTCTAAAAGTGAAGAATAAGAAAAAGCTTATCTGGACGTCAGCGCAGCCAATCAGAGGATCTAGTCCATTTATGGAATGGGATAAGAACGTAATGTGCTTTGGTGATGCATAACTTTGGATTTCGATTTTGCTACTTGGGCTAGAGATATTTTTGGATCTGTGAGATGAGGAAGAGGATGCGTGAGGATTTTGCATGGAAGTCTGGTTAAGAGGTCTGGCGACTCTGATTGGATGGTCGCTTACACGAGTGGGATTCAGGGGCAATACACCCCACGCCAAGACCCGAGATATTATTTCTGAGCTGACCTCTGACAACACGAGATCAGTTCCTCTTTTCTCTGCTAAGTTAAAAGATCACCACCTGCGTCATCTCTTGTGCCACCCCTTCTCGGCAGTAAAGCCCCCTTGCGAAGGAAATGGCGCTCGGGATAGCTGAGAATTTCCCTCAGCAGTTCCGAGACACTCAGTTGGGCAGGGAGTTGAGCCAAATAAGTATTGAGGTTGTCTATGGAGCATACTCAGAGGCTTGAAGTAATATCTTGGAGGTTTTGAGTTCGTTCCAAGTAAAGAACACGAAGTCGCGCATCGACTCAGAAAGTCGAGTGAGATGGTAGCGATATTCGGTATTTTATCGACCTGAAATCGCAGCTCATTCTGAAATTGTACTCGAAACCAAACTCTCACTACATTCTATTCCCTGGCTAGCTTCTTTATGCATGTATCAAGCTGACGGATCACATGTCTTTGTCTCCTGTATTCTTGTTCTACCGCCAATCCTTCTTTCACCGCACTTATAAATTCCCTGAAGCACTCCCGCTTTCTTTAAAACCTATAGATTGATCTTTTCATAGGGCATAAAGCACTTCTTCTGATCGTGGTTCTACGGTGCTCCATTCTCCAGTCGACTTGTTTTCAAATTTCATTGAGCAGTCAGCAGGAGAATGTAATCACCTCACCATTTGTCCTGCAATCAATGAGACAACTGAATTTACACAAATGTTTTGTTCCCGTAGCTATAGTTTAAAACTTAAATCTCTCATGTTGCAGTTTCTCTTCGAACTCTTGATGACAGTTTTTCAAATCCAAGTCTTTCATTCACACTCAGGCGATGCCTGTTATTGGCAAGTCTCCGAAAACACCGTGAATCGCCCTCCCTCATTGAAACATTCCACATCAGCCAAGAATAGATATTCAAGAAGAAAGGATCTTATGCAACAATTTCCCGAAGCTTACCGCTTACCACAAAGAGACAGCCCTCATGGCAAACGCAATGTTTGATGTCCTCCCAGCAAACCAAAGCGCAAGGGGAATCCCCATCGAACCTTCAAGCTTAGCATTTAAGATCGGCTCCCTCACCAAGAGCACAAATTCATCTTTATATAGTGCAAGATATTATCCTACTACGATACAACACAACGCTGCGTTCCTGGAATTCGTGTCTCACCAAACTGCTCTAGAAGCCAGAGTCTCGTTGGAGGACTGGGCAAGCTATTTAAACCAAACTCAATGGGAAAGGACGAAGTTGGACCCACAAGATATTTTTGCCGTCTTAGATGCATTAGTGTGTTGTGTAAAGTCGGGCCTCGAAAATAGCCTACGTATTCAGAGGAGTTACAGAGATGAGAATCAGATCTTGTTTCTGGTGCAGCAGATGAGGATCAAGATCTTACGATGTTTGGGAAAAGCGGACCTTGGGAGGGAGATGGCAGATGAAGAGGAGCTCGTGATGCTGATGCAGAGGACATGAAGTTGTCTGTTTAGCCCAGCAAAAGTCAGACAATCTCACTTCGATATTTTGTTTCATTAGCTCCGTATTCATCGAGTTCAAAAGTCTGGTCTAAACTTATGTTTTGATTACAACTTATAATACTCGATTTTATTCTAGTATTTATTGAGTTCATAATCTGTCTCTACAGCTCAGTACTTGACAAATCTAAAGTGCGGAAAGTGAATTTTTACTCTAATTTCAATTTATGTCAGGCATTTTTCTTCAAACATTTATAGCGCCCAGATACCTCTGCTAGCAAACGAATCGATAACAAAACACAATCTGACAACAAAAATTACACAATAAAATAATAAGAATTAACAGTAAAAATTGACTCGACAATCACAACCTCTTCCCGACAGCTAACCTTTATTCATCGCTTCCTACCTCACCAGACACTTTCCGACCCGCCAGACACCACGTCGGGCTCCAGAATGACATCACCATCATATTGCTCTGCCGCTTGTCCAATGTTACTGAAGAAGAAGAAGAAGAAGAGAAGAGGGCGAACGCGCTCGTAATATAGTTCTGTGTCACGTGATTCGACACCTGTTATTGGTAAGTTAAGTTCTTGTGCTTGGCCTAACGGTAGGATGTGGTGAATATAAGGATAATAAGCGAAGAGAGAGGTGAATGTAAAGAAAAGAAAAGCGTGGATCATTGGACAAGGAAACAAGCAAGAGAACTTAGAAGAGTCTGGGGTATATAAACGACGAAACTTTCTTTCAATTTACTTTTCGAACAGCCAAAACGCTAGAAACCTTGACATTCCATGCGAAGAGCCGGATTGAGGCAAGCAAATGCTTAGTACATCTAGCACTACGGTTATGTTGAATAGAAACTTTTTCATTTGCAGATTGAGAGCCTCACTAGGAAAAATAAATGAATACTTGACAAGAAACTAATATTTAGCAAGAGATGAACACTCGACAACAGGAAAAGTGTTGATAACAGAACATCCCTCATTCCTCCTTATCTCACACTTGCATTACTCACGCCGGAACCCACCTACACCACCACGTACCCTACGCGCCCGTCGCTAGTAAGACCTCGTTCTCCCACACCAACATCATCCGCAATACGTCTTATTCCAGATGACATCTCGATTTTGTAGAGAAGCAAAAAGAAGATAGAGCGGTCGATTTATAGATTTGTGTCACGTAATTAATTCACACACACACACTCGTGTCGAGTTTTCTAGATTGTGTGTTGTCAACAAGTGTTGACTTTCGTTGTCAAGAAGGCACAATGGAACTCTCCCACACCTCTTCTTTCCAAACCACGAATGTTCTTTCGTTGTTTGCATTGTTTGTTGTATTAGTTGGGGCGAAAAGTAAATAGAGCGGGATTTTCATACTTCCCCGAAAGCCGATAAAAAGGTTGTTTGTGTTTGCCTAGGTTTGCAAAGGTAGAAAAAAAGTGAATTTAGGGATAGTAAGAGTAGAATTGTTAGTTAGGGATATTAATCTTGCCATTTACGAATAAGTGTTATCAACAATATTGATTTTCGTTATTAAAAAAGTACAATAAAACATTTCCTACAATTTTCTTTTCACGTTATATAATTGGACGAAGGGTGGACGGAGCGGGGTTTTCTACCTCCGAGGGCCGATGGAGGGGTTGTTTGTTTGCCTAGGTTTGTGGGGTAGAGAGGAGTGAATTTGGGGATAGTGAGAGTGAATTTGATTAAGGCTGAGATCACTTTCTCTTACAAAGTTTACGTGAATAAAAGAAGCAAAAAAGTCTCGAAGTCTCAAGCAGAATAAAGACAATAATACAGTGAATGTGAGCAAGCAAGCAAGCTCAATTGCGCAACTGCTCTAGCAATTCCTATGAACATTCCAAGGAGAACGATCAAGTATGGATTTCCGCCATGACAACCAATGGAGAGTAAAGCGGTAGCGACCCTCGAAATGTTACCATAATGTCCAGTATCTACAATACCGATCGAAAATGCGGTGTCAAAGGCGTGCACCTGAAGCGAAGTCCAAAATTCTAGGCTTTACATGTACTAGGATGCAGAGAGACTTCTTGAGATTGAATCGAGTGCCAGACTTCTCAGCTGAACAAATACGAATCCCACATGCACATTAAGAAATGAAAGGAAAACCAAGCAGAGCAGAAAATTCATCGTAATATTCATCCGGCAAGCAACCCATAAACTAGGTATCCGACCCAAGCCACCCTATCTATCCATACACCTCGCAATGCCACCAGGGCAGCGCAACATTTACCACCAATCACCATGATCATGCATAGCCGCCGCAACCTTCACGAACCCAGCAATATTGCTACCCGCCACCAAGCTAGGGAACTCCCCATCCTTGGTTGGCACAAACTTCTTCGCAGTCTCAAGACCGTTCTTGAACGCAGCCTCCATGATCCCCTTCAGCTTCTCGTCAACCTCCTCAGAAGTCCACTTGAGCCTCGCAGAGTTCTGCGCCATCTCGAGTCCGGAAACGGCCACACCACCTGCGTTGGCGGCTTTGCCTGGTGCGTACCAGATAGCGGCGTCCTTCTTCTCGCGACGGTGGGCCTCGAAGATATCGATTGCGTCTTGAGTGCAGCCCATGTTCGAACCCTCAGCAATGAACCTCGCTCCGCTCTTAACCAACGCCTCTGCTTCTTCCTTGCTAACCTCATTCTGGGTCGCGCAGGGCAGGGCAATATCGACCTTAACGTGCGTCCAGGGTCGTGCGCCGTCGATGTATTTGTATTTGCCTTGGTGGGAGAACTCGGTCAGAGCTTGACGCTTGAGCTTCAGGGTAGCGATCTTCTCGATGTCTTCGGGTGTTACGGAGTGGCCTTCTTCGGCGATCAGAGCACCCTTTGAGTCGGAGAGGGAGACGACTGTGGCGCCGAGCTCGATGGCTTTCAGGGCTGCGTATTGGGCGACGTTGCCGGAGCCGGAGATGGCGACTGTCTTGCCTTTGAAAGATCCTTGGCCTGTGAAGGCGATCATGTGGTTGACGTACTGTTATCTTGTTAGCAGATGTTTGGTAAAAAGGAGTGGAGATACTCACATAAACGAGACCAAATCCAGTAGCCTCAGGTCTAATCAAAGATCCACCCCAGTTTCCACCCTTTCCAGTGAGGATACCCTCCCATCGATTCCTCTCAGCCTTGTAAGCACCAAACAGGTATCCGATCTCTCGTCCACCCACACCGATATCACCAGCTGGGACATCGGTATCGGCACCAATGTGCTTGCTCAGCTCCCGCATGAACGACACGCAGAACTTGCGGATCTCATTGTCTGATTTGCCTTTTGGGTCGAAGTCTGATCCTCCCTTACCGCCACCGATGTTCACTACAGCAGAGAAAAGCAATCAGTCTTCATTCTTCACCGCTTGCTAAAAGGAAAGAGGAGTGAAATATCACGTGAAGAACTTACATCCAGTCAAAGCATTCTTGAAGATCTGCTCGAAGCCCAAGAACTTGAGGATGGAGAGGTTGACGGTGGGATGGAAGCGGAGACCGCCCTTGTATGGGCCGAGGGCCGAGTTGAATTGGACTCTGTATCCGCGGTTGACGTTCAGTTCTCCCTTGTCTGATTCCCAGACGACGCGGAATTGGATGACTCGTTCGGGAATGGAGACGACTTTCAGGGCGGTTTTGTATTCAGGGTATTGTTCGAAGAGGGTGCTGTGTTCGAGAGTGGAGACGAGTTCTGGAAGTGAGAGTTAGCTGTTGTTGTTGTTGTTGTTGTTGTTGGGAGAGTGAGGGTGAGGTGAGGTCATTGGTTGGAGGGGCAGATAGATAGCAGCAAGATAGAGAGATTGTATGCACGAACCTTTGTAAGCTTGCTCGAACTCGGGCTCAGAAGGAAGGTTAGACATGATGATTTGGATATGGAGGGAGGATTGGGTATGTTCAACAGAAGTTCAAGTGGCGAAGTGTTGATGTTGAGAGAAGCTCTGGTCTTCGAGGACGAGGGAGCTTTTATCTCTCGTGGTGGGGTCGAAGCTAGGATGGAGCTATGTGCACCAGTGCACGCTGAGCTCGCCAGCACTTGAACGATACCGGAAGAAAAAGCAAAGAAAATGTGGCTTGACAGAGAAAAAAAAGTGGTATGCAGATTGTCCATGCATTTAGATTCATCAATAATAAACGTGGTAAACCACTCAGCTGTTGTTCACTCACTCTCAGATGACGTGCCACTGGGAGGCCGGAATCGGGGGGATGGTCGACTCACTTGCACATTCCCGTCCCAAATTGGAATGCATCTAGAAGGAAGAAGGACAAGTGAAGTGTGTCTGTCTAGTCTCACATGGGGAAAAGCAGAAATTTGCATTGCGGGAGTTGTCAGAACTCGGTGTCAGGGCGTCAGGCCTGGAGAGTTGTGGTGGTGGTGGTGGTGGTGGTGGTGGTGGTGGTGTTCTGCAGATTTTCTCTCCTTTGCGGCTTCTCCAGGGCGCAGGTTGATACTGAAGTAAATTCGCGGTGTCACCGATTCTTATCGCGGGAGTATCATTGGCCAATGCTGCCATTTACAGGGAGAGCTCACACGCGACATCCACTAAGGTTACAGTAAGACTCACTAACGATCACTAGAGCTGCACGAAAATTGGTCCCTGGAGTCGCTTCGGCATGAAAATTACAGGGAGGCCCACGGACTGCAGACCAGGCCATAACCTTACAGTACCACTGCTCGAATGACCACCAGTGGACCCTGGACTTCCCTCCTGCTGCTGCCCCGCGGAAGACGACTGACGACTGACGACCGATGAACGGGGACTGGCTTTGCACTGCAGCCAACCCTGCCATTACCTGCATGATGAAAGATTTTTGATCAAAGCTCTACTCCTCTCTCTCTTTCCCAAGGCTGCGCTCCTTTCTCCTTTCCTTTTGCACCTCCCACTCCAAACCTCCACACTCCCTTCCTCATCCAGGTTTCCATTGAAAATCTTTTCATGGATCGACATCTAAATCGCTCATCCCTCCATCCATCTCATCTGAGGGGGAGAAGCAAAAAGCTATTCAAATCTTGGGTGGTTCCAGATCTGAACTGTCATGAGGTCCACCAAACTTTTCAGCCACCGGTTTCGGAACCACGAGGCCAAGCCTTTCTCCAGCTCTCTCTCTCAGCCTCGTCGTCTCCATCCATCCATCCTTCCTTCCTTCCGTTCTGTTCTCGTTGTTCATTTGAGATGGTCTGTTTTGTATCTTGATTCGGTTTCTTGCGAAAAGTCCCGCAGGTCTCATCTTATTCGAGTCGGTGAGCTCAGGAGTTGAGTTATTTTCCAGCGACAGATGTTGTGGCACGGTGAGCTTCAATGTCTTGAGTTGTTGACGAGAAGAAAAAAAGCTGCCATCTTGGCGGGGAAAGCTGCAAGAGACATGCCAACCGTCATGATTTGACTCATCTAGACCATGAGAAGCTTTGCACTAAGACCTTCGCTCGAACAGCGCACAGCATATCATACCACCATACTGGAAGCGATGCGAGATACCGCAGGTATTTCCGGTAGCCTCGACCACGAGGCTGCTGCAGTGGAAGTCTCGGGACGGAAGAGCTTGAAGAAATACTTGCATTGATCAAGAGTACGACTTTCTTCCGCGAAGCTTCGACTTGGCAGATTGTCTGGCGTTAGATTCAGATGTTCACGAGTGTGAAGGTCGAGGACGCCGTTCACAACAAATATACGTATCAAAGACTACACCGAGCTCGAACATCGAGGGTTCTGCAGACTCCAAAGAGTGCACGGCCAATGTACGACCAGTGCTTGGTCCTGCTCTCTGTCAGTCAGACTCTGCCAGTGCAGAACTCAGCAATCCTCGCAGACTCCATTGGCGTTACAATGAGCTCGTTCGCGTTGACAAGTCTGTAGGCTTCACGCAAGATATCTACACTTTTCACATTGACGAGTCTGCAGACATTCTGATCCTTCCCAGGGTTTTAAGCAGCTGTACCACGAACTCTCTCACCTTGGCAAGTCTGCGGTTTCAACCAGCAGATATATCACGGCCAATTCGACAAGCTCGCAGATCCACATAGGTATTCAACCTCTTCTACTAGCCTAATCAGCATCCGTCGGATCCCAGTCCGTAACCAAATACTCATCACATCCATCCAAACCCTTCATATCTGCCTCCTCAATCTCGAAACCCCCTATATCAGCATTCCCCACAATCCTCTCCTTCCTCGTACTCTTCGGCAATGGCACATACCCCTTCTGCAAACTCCATCTCAGCATCAACTGAGCTGGCGTACATCCATACTTCTTACTCAACTCCACAACTTTCGGATGCTTGAACCTCATCGCCCTAGCAAGAGGTGCGTATGCCTCGACCACGATATCATGTTGTGCGCAGAAGGAGGTAATATCGTTTCTTGTGTTGAAGGGGTGGACTTCTATCTGGTTGACCGCTGGAGGGATTCGTGGTTTGGAGTCGAGCAGTTCTTGTAGCTGTTTGAATCAGCATCACCATTCCTCAATACCTCGGACTTATGGAAAGAAGGAACTTACATGCTTAACTCCATAATTACTCACCCCAACAGCCCTCACCTCCCCCTCATCCACCGCATCCTCGACCGCCCTCCAACACTCTAGCCTCCTCTGCCGTCCCCCATACGGACTATGCAACAAATAGAGATCTATATACCCTAATCCACACTCCTTGATACTCCTCTTGATCGCCTTCCTCGTAGCGTCATAACTGGTATTCGTTTTCAATTTCGTCGTGAACCAGATATCCTTCCTCTCCAGCTTCGAAGTGTTCTGGGGCGAAGAAAGGAAAGTCAGGATCGAAGACCCAACTTCGTGTTCGTTGGCATACCATTCTGCTGAGTCGATGGCGCGGTAGTTGGCCGTTAGAGCGTGTGTTACTGCGCTAGAGGTTTCGCGGCCTGATGTCCTGTTGTTGGTTAGTACTTTGAGGATGGGGATTGTGGTGTTGGGAGGAGGGAGAATGAAAGTACATGTAAACTCCGAGATGGATCCTCGGCATCTGGACGCCGTTGTTCAATGTAATTGTGCTGTTTAAACCAAAATTCTCCTTTGAAGCCATGTTTGTGAATCTGCGGACTGCAATTCGTTGCATGAGAGTTATTTAGAGGGCAAAAGATGGTATGAAAATAGGATGTCATCAAAGAATCTCAAAGCGGTGTTCAATGGCAGAATCATACAGCTGCAGCAATGACGTGGATCATTTTCGCTTCGTAGTGGGGGTCGAGATCTTGGAGGGGTCGATATCTGGGAAGCCAAGATAAGCTTCTCGTTCCCTGCACCATCAAACTCAAGCTGCAATACAACGCTCAACTCTCATCCTTCACACAATCGCCCAAAATGCCAGACTCAGCACAAATCAACCGCTCCCTCTCCACCATCCGCACGGAACTCGAATTCCTCCAAGCAAGCAACGTCCTCTCACCGCCTCAATTCCAATCCATCATGGCTCAGTTACCTGTACTTATCCCCCCTACCCTGGTCCTGGCTCAGGGTCTTGGCTAATGTATGGATAATGAAGCAGCAAAATGGCCAACCCTCGAATTATATCGATTTGAGGTATAACCCCAATCCGCAGCAGCAGTTCAATCCAGGAGCCATGGCCCAGCAGGCGCAGGATCCGGCGCATCCTGCTAATCCGCAGAATCCTAAGGTGAGCTCCCTAACCTTCTTTCTTCCCTCTTTGCTCATTCAAAAGGAAGGGATAAAAGGTTGTGGGTTAGAGAAAGAAGGCTAACAGAAACAGCACCACGAATGGGTAAAGAACATGGCGAGCAAGTTTGGCAATGCGGCTATGTTTGGTGCTGGAGCGACTTTTGGCGGGGATATGGTGAATGATGTTTTGAAGCAGTTTTGAGACGATCATCTTTCCCTCAGCTAGCAGCTGCTCAAAGCCTTCTAGGCGATTGGAAGTGAAGCTAGATCGAGACAATCGTTTGACAGGAAAGCGTTGATACGCTCCTTCTGTACAGATGCATGCAAGCTCAAGATAGTCGGTCAACATGAAAATGATGATAGATCATTTCGTGAGGATCTTAATTGAAACTTTGCTTGCTATCTTCTTTATGAACGGGACTTTTCTCGAAGGCCCAAGTGAGTGTGGGACTTCTATTAAGTTTTGATTCACTCTTTATACTTCTCTTGTTGTAATCGTTTTCATCGACGGACGAAAGTTCCGAAATCATGCACTGCACTAGTGCACAAGGCTCTAGATTCACTTGGAGAAATCCTCAACGACGGACCAAAGCTGCGAAGTCTGCGCTAGTGAATAATTTTAATCTGGTGAATTCTAGAATAACAAACAAAAATTCCGAAATCATGCACAGGTGACTCACGGCTCTAGGAACCGCATCCTGTCTTTTGTCTATAAATACAGGCGGCCGCCTCTTCCGCTTCTTCTTTTCTTTTCATCAAAAAGTCTTCGCTGGGCAAAAAAAGAGAATGGTGTGCACCCAACGCCATAGGATTCAAAATTGACCGATAGCCGGTTCACTATTCCTGCTCGCTCGTGAGCGATTAGCGAGCAAAGGAGGAGAATTAGCTATTATTGCCAAGCTATTTTTGCTGTTGATATTTTGTTTTAAGTAATTGAATTATGGGCATGGAATACTCCTCTCTCCTTAGTCTATAAATACAGGCGACTGCCTCCTCCGCTTCTTCCTTTCTTTTCATTAACAAGATCTTCGCTAACCAACTCCGTGGCATGCACAAGGAGTTAGATTTTCATGGATATTTCTTCATTTTCAAACCCATGACGGGATGTCGTCTGCTAGACCATTAGATACCATCGTCTTTCCTAGGTCTCTTCCAAGTTAATTTGACTACTGTCAAGCTATCTCTTGCTGTCAACATCCTGTATCAAGTCTTCTTTCGTCTAAAAATATAGGCGGTTACTTCCTCCGCTTTTTTCCTTTTTTTTTCATTAACAAAATCTTCGTTGCGTAGAGAAAGAAAGTATTTTGTGCACCTAGTTCATTGTATTTCAGAGAGACTTAATTTTTCAACGGAGATTTCTGTACTTTGAAAATCAGGTCGGGATGTCGTCTGTTTGATCCTAAGATATTATCGACTTTCCCACTTCTTGTTAGAATGACTTGAACCAAGAGCAGTGATACTCTTGTTGTGCCCCTGAACAATCTTAGTTGGTTTCTGGCTTTCTTCAACCAGATAGCTTAGATCAAGATGCGTCTTGTCGAGCTATCCATTGCTGTCAATATTCTTTTTCAAATGACTTTGACTAGGGTCCGTCCCAACGAGCTCACTTCTCAAGCTCATTTGTTAGGTTTCTAGATTGGAACATATGCTCGACTCTGTGGTAATGGAGCCTTGCTGTTCAATGTCTTTCTCGTGAAAGTTACAACTATTTCTGTTGTCCGTTCGTTTCTGCGAATTCAGGCGCTATGAGGTTTTAACACTTGGGCGTGGGAAAAAGGTCTGTGTTATCCGTCTAATTTTCGGAAACCGTGTTGTTTCCATCATTCACTAGTGTTAGGTAGATCTTGTGCTGAACACAGATCTTATGCTAATGATTCATTCACTGCTGTGCTTTCATTGAGATTGAATCTTCGTCAGCGAGTTGAACAAATCTCTCGTCTCATTCGACTCTAGAGGATGTTCACATTCACTGAACTTGCAACTTTTCCATAGTGTTGTATTAATTGTTTGGCTATTGTCAACGTCTACCTGAGAATGGAGTCTGTGACAAGAAGTTCCTTCCACCTTTTCCTCCCCACCAGGAAGATACCTTCTCCACGTCCATATCCAGATCCAAACCCAAAAGACAACTTTGGCCCTTGATCCAACGCTCCTATTCATCACGTGACTAGCCTCTGAACTTAGTGATCCAACGAACTTGAGAACATCGAATAGCGAATACTAAGCTGCCTAGCCACAAGGGAACTACAATAAGAGTGATAGCAGCAATGAAACCTGGTTCGATGCAGAAGCTGTCCCAAGTCGTACTATTGGTGCAGGTGTTATTGAGATCGACCGTGGTATTTGTAGCATTGAATAAACCAGTGGTTGCGTTGTGGAAAGTGGAAGTTGCCTGAAACTACGTAAGTATTGATCTCCCAAGGATTGTAACACGTTAAATGTACTCACCATTGTGTTTTCGGAGACCTTCTCGAATGTTGTAGTTTAGGCTTGGGGTACTTGAATAAATTTCGATGGTGTTCGAGGGCGTCGAATTTTTAAAAATCAAGCGAGAAATTCGAATGATTTATTCCAGGTGGAGGAAAGGAAATTGGTGCATAATTACTTTCCATTTGGAACGGATTGTAGGCTAAAATTAGTGTAATGATCTCGCTACCATTCTTTTTGCCAGAGTTACGACATTGACTATAACTTAGTGGCGGTTAGAATTTGACGTCCTAAGATTACATTTCCGTTTGTAATTGTTTTCCCAAGCTTGGCATCGGCATCGGCATCGGCATCGGCATCGGCATCGTATGGTCCATCTCTTCTACAGTGACTCCAGCGACCAAGTGTTTTGCCAAATTATTCCTCACTACTCATCGATCAAGGAATCGCTGCCGTTTCTCACATTGCTGTCAAGCACGAAGCAGCGCTCCCGGGTAGCATACCAAAGCCTTGACCCATTGCTTATTTGAATATTTCGACTCTATGGTATCAGGCCCTAAGCAACAGAATTGGAACCGCAAGACCCCCTAGGCACAACACCGTAGTTCCAGTTGCATCTCCTCGTTGCTGATAGCTGTTGTCCATTCAACTTCTGAGAAGCTCGAGCTTTATATATTTGGAACACACCTGAGGTGACTCATACATATGCTGCAGAGAATAATATCGTATTACTACTGTTGATCTTTTGATCCTTTGATCCTGGGCTTCTTAAGAGGTGAATGATGATTGGTTGCAGAGTAATTGTGAAATGTGTTGAATTGTCAGAGATTCACTTCATCTGGATTCGAGCTGATCGTACGCCTTGGTCTGGACCTAAGCATGGATGAAGAATTTCGAACAGACTGATGGAATTCAAGATAATGTATCATAATTTAGAAGCTCAAATATTCTTGTTGCTATTATAATCTAACATTCACGATGTTGGGACTGACACTGCAGAACAAGGATCATCAGCAGCTTGTTCGCCTTGCGTTAGATGAGGCGAGTATCCTCTGAGATATCGTTTCCAATCACTTTTATTGAGTATGCTATTATGATCCAATGAAACAAAACCCCCTCAGGTGGCCAGCCTCCATTCGATTCGCCACCTAACGCCAAAAAACCCCAGAGATGATTTCACTCCATCATGGTGTGAGCGGCACAACTCTCGTAGCCCTTGTTCGACCCCCGTCTCCACCAGATTGCGGCAGCTGAGATCCCGATGCTTCTCCTCTTGCTGGCGGTTGGTTTTCTGCTGACCTCCGCTCAGCCTCTCCTCCTGCGGGAGGTTGCACCAAGCCACCTCGCATCTCATGCTGTTCAGGTCCAGATCCAACGTTATGATACCTTTGTAACAGTGGACTATTCTTGTTTGGGCCCCAGTTTTTCGTGATTGTTTTCCTGGTTTTGTTCAACAAGCCACCCTCTTCCATAATCGCGGTCCTTGCTCTATAAACGAACCCTTCGGGTGGAATGTGCGTGACGGAGTCTCCTATATCTTTCAAATGTCCAAAGTCGGGCTCTCGCTCTTGAGCAACATCAAATCCAATATGGCCGTGTCCATCTCGGCCACGATACTTGCCGAATAAGAAGCGGTCATCGGTCAACAGAAGTCGTGCCTCCATATGCTGCTTAGAAGGAGTTCGTTCAGAATCGGTGATATCCAGATGCGGACTTGCCATGAACTTGGATTCGTGACATAGGGCCATGAGGTCAGCCAAACTGTACAGTTGTCGAGGGAGTAGGCGATACGCTCCAGGCATCGCAGCTGGTAGCAGGAGAGCATACAGCGCCAAAGATACCATAATGCCGATATATGCTGACAGGGAAAAGGAAAACTCGACTCGTTTATAGTCTGGGCTCGGTGTGATTATTAACAGACCTCCCACGAAGATGGGGAAGAGTGGCGATAGTGTGCTAAGTGTAGAGTAAATGCAGACCTTGAAATGGCCTTTGTTCCAAGCAGTCAGTGGCACTTGAAGAGGCGATATGGTGAGGTACGCCAAAAGAATGGACTCTTCTGCTTTGGCTGGTATTCGCTTGTCATCATCTGGGTTTGGGGAAGCTTTTCTGCGTCTCCAACCAAAGAAGTCTCTCACATGCTCCCAAGCGGTTTTTGGGGATCCTTCACGCTCACCGAACATGTTTCGGAAAGGTTGCATGAAGCGCATGTTCAAGTCGATCCAGGTGATGATTGTCGATGTGAAAATGCCAGCGACGTATGTTGGGACAGACCTGAACATCAAAGCCCATACGAGGACTGTACTGTTCGGATCAGAAGGATCAATTGGAGGCAACGTGTGATTACTGGATCCGAATCCATAATGAAAGCCCGTGGGAAGTTTCAAATCGTTTGCCAGGGAGAACCCATTGTATGGTAGTCGAATAGCCAAGGCATAGATGCTCAATACCAATGAACCAATAGCCAGAAAAGCACCAAGTGCGATGACCAATCGATCACACCCAGGGTTGTAGTTGTACGGATAATGCTCGCAGTGTGGCCATGTTCCGTGGTTGCATGCTGCAGGCTTTCTGCATTTATCGACTGAAAGTGGTTTCTTTGCCTTGACCTTCCGAAAAGTAAGCACGTAGTGCCAAGGGCGGCCCAGGTTCTCTCGCTCCTGGAGCGATTTGTGTGTATCTAGTGAGTATTAGCAATTGTTCGGTATGGCTTGGTAGATACGATCACGTACCTGTGTGTGGTTGAGCAGGGGGCTGGGGATACAACTTGACTCCGATGCCATACACGAGATCGTTTTCATTCGAATTTCGTACCCAGTATCCAAGTCGGAAGCGTCTATGTGGTACCATGACATGTCTTGGACGCAGACTATGTCGAAGTTCAAGAGGGGCAAAGTACTGTAGCGCGTTGCAGTGGGCGAAGAGTGAAGCGTAATCGGCGATGGACACTGGATCCCATTTGAGGCCTGTTGATTTCCCGTAGAAATGGAAGAATATATAGAGGGTATAGAGGATCATGAGAACGTAGCCGCTGATGAGGATGATAGCAGGGTACAATCGAACAGTAAGTGTCCAATAGGCCAGGTTTGTGGTGGGGTCGATGTGCTCTGTGCTTGCAAATAGCGCCACCTTGAGACTAACGATGAAAGATGTGACGAATTGGCACACCAGAGAGAAAATAGATAATATGTTCCATGGCGTCGTTGTGACACTCTGCCACGGGAACCATGCACCACCAACGCCTTTCCAAGGCCGAGAGCCCTCATTCTCCTCACCCTTTTGGTCGGCCATGCTTACGAAAGGCACCATTCGCAAAGCTTCACGTACTGTTTGTCGAAAGAGGAGGACAGTGATCGTGCCAACGATTGAAGGGAAATATCTTGAGATCATGTGTACATTTTCACTGGAAAGTCGAAAGTTGTGATTCGGATCTTGGATGGATTTCCACATAAGCACAACAATGGCGATTATTGTTGCGGTGTATAATAATACAAGGAGTACAACTGATCTCCATTGCAAGATTGTTGGCCACCAAGTCAGATCATTGAGCTTTTTATGTTTTTTGGCGACTTTCTCGGTGACGACCATTGGTATTAGGGAATCTGCATACGGTATTACAAGTCAGCGCGTGCTGAGAGCAGACATCGAACAATATTTGAATCAACTGAGTCTCATGCAGCGTCTTTACTCACCTAGCACCTGATTTCTTGCTTGTGCTGGGTTTTCTCCCACAATCACTTGATCTCGTTGTGGAGAAAAAGCAACACTTTCCCCAAGTGCTGGCGTCGGGTCATCGCCAGCTACATTTCTCGACAGAAGTGGATCTCCTGATCTGCCACCGTCAGATGAGGCTCCATGGGAAGGACCACGGCTGAGACTTGGTCGGCCGAGATCACTACCCGTAGCCGGACCTGGTCCTAGATGAGAATCGGAGTCCGCCATGACACAGAAGAGGTAAAGTGGTACATGGACTTAAAAGTTCAGAAAGCTTGACAAGAGGAAGAAAGAAAGTGTCCATTGTTTATAGCAAGGCTAGACCCAAACCTACATTCGTGGCCTCGAAGCAAGCTCTTTCAGCCTCACTTTAGTGACAGATCAGGGGAACAAAGCGGGATGATGGTGGTGTGCGGGCAGCCAATCATTTTGAGGCAATATGCAGTGCAAGCCACATCACGACAAGGTTCTTCAGCTCCTGCAAGCCACACCGAAACCGACAGAACTTTCACCCCAGCATCTCAGCTTCCAAATTACATAACAGCAGGGGTGAACATCAAGATGAACTGCGAAACGGGAGAGTATGGGGTAGTGCCGGAAATGCGTTTGAGGTTCGGGGATTTGATGTCCTAAAATAGACCAAGCGGCTCTTTAAACATAGCTAGGAGCTGGGTCCGCTTTATTGAGTCGGCGCGGAGCATGTCTTCCAAGCAGGTGTTGAGGACAGTATATTCTTCTCCACAAACATGGACAAGTGGGACCACTAATAGCTTCGTGATAAGTAATTGAAAATTGTTACACAATGCAATAGGGTGGCCGAAAAATATTGATCGGGTGATGAGGCTGGATCGGTTGTCCGGATTTTAGTCACATGGTTCAAGAATTGCTTTTTCCACCTACAAGCATCTCACTCTTAGAAAAACTATTTCTTCCCTATATTCCTTCGGAAGTCAGATTATTTAGATTTTTAGGATTTTACGTCAAAGTTCACACAAAATAATTATATGTGCAAATATTATTGCCTACCTAGTTATCTTGTCTTCTGCTTGCCAAGCCCTTAGTGTTGAGCCTCAGGCGCGTAAAATCGTAACAATTGGAAACCCCTAAATAATATGACTTCCGAAGGAATGTAGGTGTGGAAAGCTTTGACGATTAGCGAAGATCACAGCGAAAAAGCTATGGATTCCAAAATTGATGAGTTCGACACCAAGGATTTGACCGCCCTTCCAGCAGCCTTCTCTCTCAAAAAGGTTCTCAACTACAGCCCTCTTACGGACCCAGAATATATCCGTGTGCTGCGAATATCCCCAGACCACTCCGATGAGATTGTCGTGTCCCTCGAAGAAATTGCGCTCTCAGGCAATATTCCCTACGAATGCCTGTCGTATACCTGGGACGGGCCCACATTCGGCGATACTGGCGAGGAATGGACCTCAGATCGCAAGCATATTGTCTGTAATGGATCCATCATTTTCATCAGACAGAATCTGTATGATTGCCTTGTAGAGTTGCGAAAAGTCGGTATTGTCGGTCCAATCTGGATCGACGCATTATGTATCAATCAAAACGATATCAACGAGCGAAATAAGCAAGTGGGGATGATGGGAAGAATCTACAAGAACGCAACTCGAGTAATTGTTTGGTTAGGCAGAGAAGACGAGCATACAGAACTAGCTGTTTCCAGCTTGAAGCGCATAAGACTGACGGCAGCCGAATGTCTACGAGATGAAAGTATAGTTCGACGGGAGTACGCTCGCTGTAACTTCACGAAACGAGAACGTATTGCGATTTTGCACTTCATCAAAAACAGACGTTGGTGCAACAGATTATGGACAGTGCAAGAAACGGTCCTTGCTCGCGACTTGGTTTTCATCTGTGGATCGAATATTGCGAGCGCGGATATGGTGTGCTGCGGAAGCCTGTTCGCCGATTATAACAGAGAAGACTTTTTCGACATCTGGATCACAAACTCTCCTTCGATGCAGAATTCCACTGGTCTTCGCAGCTTTCTTGAAGTATTAAAGGTGAGGGATCTCAACCAGCAGAGTGAAGGGTCACCACCTCCCTTTGCCAATGTCGTGCATGCATTCCGTGACTTACAAACCTCTGATCCTCGGGACAAAATCTACGCTGTACTGGGAATATCTGGTGAGTTCCTTACCAGTATCTTGTATTATACAGCTTCTAAAACTCCTGCTGATAGATTGTCATCATGACGAACTCTCTTCAACGATGACCGCCAACTACGATGTCTTGGTCCAAGATTTATATATAGACGCTGCACGATATGCTCTACATACCTACAGTCATATAGAAGCTCTCTCGAAGGTCGGCGAACCATCTAAGCAGAAAATCAACGACTTGCCCTCATGGGTTCCAGACTTATCTGTTAGTTTGACTACACTTGGACTGGAAGAAGAGAAAGATCGATTCGCTACTGATGGGAGTCAAAATAGCCTGCCAATACTTGAGATCATGGACAAAGTCCTTGTCCTGAACGGACATGAGTGGGATCGAGTCGTCGCAAGGAGCGGGACAATTGGTGATTTGGGAGATGTTTCCGGAATTGCCCAATTATTGAAAACGTTCAAATCTGACCACGACATGTATTTTGGCTCTATGGACACTCGCGAGGTAGCTGTTCGGCGACTACTAATCACGGATCGTCTCATTGATGTAGCACATGCTAGTGACAGCTACAACATGGAAGCTGCGTTCGAGAGGCTTTTCTTTGCGCTTCTTGCGTTTGCATTGAAGGCAAGCGAAGAAACAACTTTATTGAGACTGTTCTTGGAGGATCCTAAGGCCGCATTCAAAAGGTTTGGAGTCCCAGATTCGTATGACTGGCTTTCGGAAATACTGGTACGCGGTAAAGAGAATTGGGAATTCCAAAAAGATAATTGGATGAAGAATCTCGAAACGATACCTTCCAACTTTGCCAAGGCTTTAGATATCATCGATGATCCTTATGCGTTGTCCTGGGCTCGCTATTATAGTAATCGACGCTATTTTCGTAAGTGATGCTTTCCCCTCGAAGTCCCCAGAACTCTGTGCGGAACCGAGCATTCTGACTCCAACCTCGGTGTCAGATAGTTCATATTTCATACACCAGTTTGAAGTTTCCGATTTCGTCAATAACTCACTGATGAATAATCAGGTACTGAGCGTGGCTATCTAGGCCTCGGGTTGAAAAGCTTGGAGGTGGGAGACCATATCTACATAATTCGAGGGGCTTCGGTCCCGTACGTATTCAGACCTATCTCAGAAGATCCAGCAGATGGATTCAGGCTCATGGGAGAGGCGTACGTCCATGGCATCATGTATGGAGAAGCACTTGCCAACGGTCCTCTTCGATATGAAAGGATGGAAGTTCATTGATAGTCCCGGGACGGAGATCGAACCCTGAGTAGAAGTAATTTGGAGCCCTATTTCATTGGAACATATCAATCACATTCTGTTCCACAAATGAACAATTTGAAGATGTCCGAGTTTCACATCAGTAAAGTTCTTTGTAATAGAGAATCAAAATGAGAGTGAAAGAACTCCACTCGTGGCACCATCATCGCCACATTGATCTCTGAAACGCGTATCAAGCAAGAAGACAACGAATCACCAAAGGATAAAAGGACAGGAAAACTTCTGAAATGTGGCTCTCATATTCAAGTATTGTACAGGAGATGTCGAGCCGAAGGTGGACTCCGACAGACGATTACTATGAGATTCTGGGTCTCTCGCAAAACGGCACAGAAAACGAAATCAAAGTTGCATATCGGCGACTTTCGCTTATCGTACATCCAGATCGAAACAACTGGTCATTTATCCCTAAAGCTAGAGAAATAGCTGAGATTGTCTTCAAGATTGTCAGTATAGCCTCCTTTGAAACCCAATATGGTCGATGGCTGATTGTGAAGCACAGCTTAACAATGCCAATGAAACTCTCATGGATAAAACTAAACGACGTGAATACGATCTAAACGTCTACAGACATATTCGAAGCGCACGAGCTGGATTGCCCAAACAAGATGCGGAATCTCTCTTCAACAGCATGTTGAGCGGGCAGACACCACCTGGACCAACGGCTACCAATTCGCAAGAGGCGCGAGACAACGGCAAAGACGAATATGCAAAGAGGGCGAGAGAGAACGAGAGAGCACGAAGACAGCGAGCACAGGAAGATGCATCAGCACAAGAGAAGGACAAACAGTGGTGGGAAGAAGGGCGAAGATACTACCGAGAGAAAAGAGCTAACGAGAACCGTGAGAAGGAAGAAGCAGCACGTGCAAGAGAACGAGCAGATACAGAGGCGCGAGCATGGCAGGAGCAGCGACGGGGTAAGGAAGAAGCACGACACAAAAGAGTCGAGATTGAGGAAAAATGGATCGAGATCGCTAAACCCCTAGATATCGAAGTCGAGGCACTTTGGACCAAGATCCAGGCCATGGGTGATATGCTCGCCAACATGGACGCTACCGGGGAGTATCTCCAATCCCAGAGAGGTAAGTATTTCTGTCTTTGGCACGGATGCTTTGATGGTGGTAGCATGTCTCAGAACCAAGATGCCCTGATCGAGAAGCAATATATTGGCATGGATATATGCAGAAGGTTTGCTCGTGAACAACGCGAGATTTACTGGGATCAAGTCAGTGAGGTGGAGATAAGAAGAGACAAGGCGTGGGAAAAGGAGATCTATGAGAAAGCAGGACTCGATATTAAGGATTGGTGGGTACATCACAGCCAATCCGGGCATCGAAGAGCAGCAGTGAGAAGCAAGAAGGAAGCTTTGGATTGTGAAGAAGAGGAGAAGGCAAGGAAACGCCTACACAATACCCAGTCTGCTGCAGAGCGCAGACAGCGGCACGTATGGTCCTGCCAAATCAAAGCACAGGAGGAAGAAAAAAAGAGGCAGGAGATGGAAGAATTCCGAGTTTAGAAAAGAGATCAGGCCGAACGAGCAAATCGAAGAACCCATAAACGGAAGGGCAAAAAGTCCTAAACGTTGGCATTAAGGACGAGCCACTCTACTCAAAGTCCATGTTCATTGCGGACAATAACGCGCTCTCCAGAAAAGAAACACGTAGCAGGCTCCAACCGCATTTAGAATTAAATTAACGAATCGCACCCACCACATTGGCTACGTTAACAGTTTGAATGAATAGCGTCTTCCACTTGGATTTTGGATAACAGTGGGCAAAACCAAGACGTCCGCTCGAAATGTAATCTGTCCAGGCAAGTAGGTATAGCGGATTCGAAGTCCTCGCCTGATGCAACACCTCAAGAAGATCATTCAATAGAAGGGGTATAGAACATAGGTATCTCACAGCTTTTAAACCTTCAGCCCCCTCCAACATCTACTTCTTCCCATATGTACTCGGATGTCCATGGTCCTTCCCATACTTCCTCACTTTCCCATCCAAATCCATACCCACAAAGTACCACGCCAAGCTCGCCACCCAAGTCATCCCTGTATCAATCACCCAATTTCCCCTCCTACTCCCTCCCCACGCACACCCTCTCATCAAATCCCCCAACCAAGACACCGTAACCAAATACTCTCCCCTTTCCAAACCTTGTATAGCTTTCCTAGCCACCACCTCTGGACTCTGCACCGGATCCGACTCCTCCAATATATGTGTGATTTCCGGCTTCGTCTGATTCTCAATCTCCAATCCCGGACTCGAAATCGTGCCCGGGAACACGGTGTGCACCTTGACATCCTCTCCATACAATAGACATTCCTGCACCAAGCTATCGCTCAAACTCTTTATGGCCGCCTTGCTAGGCGCATACGGTGCGTATCCTACCACAGGATAGAACGCTACCACCGAGCTTGTAAACACAAGATGTTTTTCCTCTCCCTTCTGCCCGTTCTCTTTCCCTAGCCATTCGGAGAGTATAGCTTGTGCCATGTCCACGCAGGACCAGAAGTTGACATCCATCTGATGGCGCATTACAGAGCGTGGGGTATCGATGAAGAGGCCTGGATTCGCGGAGCCAGCGATGCACCATACGATCGAGGGCGCGGAGCCATTGTTCCAAGCAATTGCCTCAGCGATGACCCGTGAGGCGCCGTCGGGTTCTGAGACGTCGGCGGAGATGTATTGGAAGCGTTGGGACGAGGGAGACGATGCTGCGGCCTGGCAAGCTCATTGTCAGTTGAAGACAGGAGGGGCGGGGAGAGGAAGAAGAGACCTTTATTTCTGCCAGCGCAGCTTCAAGCTTACCTACGTTGCGGGCGACGATTATGATGTTTGCTCCTTTCTGGGCGAGCTGGATCGCGACACTCTTTCCCATTCCCTCGGAGGCACCGGTCAGGAGAACGGTCTGCGGAGGAAGGCTGTCAGACGAGGCTGAGGGTGGGAATTGAGGGGATACACACCTTGCCTTTGACATTGAACTTGTTTCCGCCGAAGATACCCATAATTGTTGGTATGAGGAGAAGACTGAAGATGAGTATTATAATTGTCCAGAGGGATGGGAGAGGTATTGAGGCCATGGCGAGGAGGAGGATTCGAGATGTCAGCAAGGAGATTTGTTCTGGACAACTAATTTCGAGGTTGGCGATAACCGATAAGCTGCGCACACCGGACCGGATTTAGGGGTTTGTTGGTTTTCATGTGACAAAGCTCTTTAATCAATGTGAAGTTGTGAAAATCATTCATTGAAATGAACATCCTTCGCTCAAATAGCACGTTTGATTCATCCAAAAACTGCACTTCTCTCATGGCGAATGTCCTGCCCTTCCAATTAGTGATGCAAGCCTATAACTTTAGCGAGTAACCCTTGGAATTTTGACGTTCGCTAGAGAATAAGGGAGTTACTCAATGAATACCAATTTGCTGGAAGGCTTTTCAATGCACATTCGTAAGACTGCAATCAAGTCTTAATCCCAATTCGTACATTACAAACAAGAAGGAGCAGGTCGGATACCGAAATAGATAGTTATACTAGAAGAAGTATAAGAAAGGCTACAATACAATAAATAGAGAGAGGATATAACCTAAAAGACGCTTATTCGCCAGCAGATGTGCCAATTCGAGTCCAACTCCACCCCTCGGTTTTTAATCCCAACACCGAGTCCTTTCTAACTCCAAACCACTCTTATCAACTACTCGTCACTTCCCTCCGAATCCCCTTTCCCATGACGATGCCGGGGATGCCTCATCGGCAAGTCTCGACCACTCCTCTTCAAATCTCTCCAAGTCTCCCAATCCCTCTTCCAATCAAACTCCTGGTACCTATACGCCTCCCCTCTACAAACTCTATCCACCTCCTTCCTCACCACCGGAAAGACATCCACATAACTCTTCCTCCCCATCCAACAATCCAAATGTCCATATCCTTGTATAACATGTCTACTATACCCCTTGCACCCAAACGTGTCCCTCAGAACACTGTACGTCTTATCCGTACTCTCTGGCGTCAACACCTTATTATCGGACCCCGAGAACAGCATAACCGGAATTCCTTTTAGCCTCTTGATATTCGTCTCCGTGGTCAGTTCGGAGAACAGAGGCCCGTTGGTGGTAACGTAGCCTCTGTAGCCCATTTGCATCAAGAGATGAAGCAACGTCATGTTCACGCCTCCGAAAAAGCGGTTAATCTGTCTATGCGTTGCTTCATTTAGATTCCTGTGATTCCACAGACGTCCAAATACAAGAGAGCAGCGATGACAGCTGACGTTATTGCAAATCTCCTCTCGTGAATCGGGATAGAAGCGTAAGAGCTGATTGATAAGTTGCTGGAAATAAGAATCATCTCTTGTGGAGGAGCACGAGAACCAGTTTCCGCCGATGATCCTATACAGTTTGTCAATGGGAATCGGTCCTGCGAGGACTTTGGCCATGTTGAGAGGGGACCAGATGGGGTTCATGAGCACTTGAGAGGAGGAGATGCCTTTAATCCATTTCGAGGGGATGGTTCCATCGAGGAGGCCAGAGGAGAATGCGACGGCGCCCATGCAATGGGAGATGGTGTAGACGGGTTCATGTCCCCATTGGCTGCGGATCCATACCAGAGACGCTCGGATGTCGAGGCGAGCGTCGTATGTTGTCCAGTTGTTTTCTGCGACCATGAGTTGACAGATCCGGTGGACTGTTACGAAGACACGGTAGCCGGCTCTGGTAAAGTAATTGACGGCGTTGACTTCGATGGTTGGGAGAGCGAAGATTTGTTGGTCGACTGAGGCGCCGGGGACCATGAACAGGTTCTTGGTTTCGATGTTCTCGTTTCGTGGTTCAAAGACATGAAGCAAGGTTTGAACGCCATCTGAGGCGATGATCTTGATGGTATGGTCGGGAGATGTCTCGTTAATGTATCCGCTGTATGTGACGGATGGGTACTGTTGCCAAGTGAATGGTGCAAGGAAGAGACTAGCAGATTGTTTCGCGAAGAAGCCCATGAAGCTGAGAGTGGATTGCATTTTCGCCAAAAGATTTCGCCCAGACGCTTTAAGAGTAAAGACCTCGGAAAGGAAATCTGTAGGTCTAATATGCATCATTCCGCGGCCCAAGACTTGCCTGTCTCCATCTGCCTCCGAGATCGTAACATACAAAGTAGAAGCAGCAGTCCAGAAGCGCCATGGAGCTAGAGCAACCGAAGAGTCAACGACTTTGAACCCATGGAAATGGAATTGCCGGTTATCGGTCGAGGTCATGTCGAAGTCATAACTCAGGTTGCGTGTACCAGGTGCCTGTTGATAGACACTGAACAAATGGAAGGTGCCTCGCTGAACCATGAATGGACTACCGTGGAGACCAGCACAGGTGAAGGTTCCTGTCAGCATGGCCTTGTGGTCATCTCGATGAACGACTGGAGCATGTCAGCAAATATTCATTCCTGATCAAGAGACAACTTACTCGTCTCCGTATCCCAAGCCTTCACACTCAAGAAGAATCTCGCCTCCTCACACAAACCTTTCGCAGTCTTCGCAGCAGTCTCGTAGTCTTCCAACTTATCACCTTCAATGCCATCACCAACGTGAATATACCCAGACATGACTTCCGAGAAACCAAATCCACTGGCCTTATTATGTCTCGTTGTCTTGACCCAATCACTAGCGTCCGTGATTCTCTGCGTGTCCGTGCGAGATAAGATCTTCTTGTCTGAAGCATATTGATGTGGTTCTGCGAAAAGATCCAAGACCTCGTTCTTGGTCTCGAAGTCGATTGGCTGTCTGATTCTATACTTGGCTGCGTATTCAACAGATCGTTCGGCCAGAGCGGTGATTGTTGCGAATGGGTTGACACCGAGTGCTGTTGGGATTATTGCACCGTCTGTAACGATAAGACCTTCATGTGTATCTCTGCCGTTGCCATCGAAGACTTCACCGAAATGGTTCGTGACACCATCGAGTCCTGAATCACTATTGCTCATACACGCTCCTCCAATAGGATGGACAGTGATTTCCTGCTGACCGAGAGCTGCGTAGAATGGACTGCTGACATAGGTTCCGCCAACAGCTTGTGTGGCTTGTCGTAAGATGTCATTGAGGTACTCGACATGATCGCTTCTGCCAACACCTAAGAATTCGAGGATTGGCTTGTCGTCTTTGAGTGTGAGAGTGGCTTGATTCGAATCATGGCTCATGATCAAATAGGTTTGCGTTCGCTCAATGCTTCCTTTCCGGAAGTACGGTCCCAGAAACCGGCTTCCTTGCTGAGCAACAGCATGCTTCACTTTCTCGGTCAATGTCTGTCCTTTCGGGAGCTGGTTTCCTGGCATCATCTCCAACATGGTTTGGAACAATGGAGCAAGTGCTTTTGGAATAGCACCTTCTTCAATCACGAACCCATCCAAAGCATTGTCGATGCCCTGCCGGCCATCGATGATTCCAGTGATAGTAGGTCCCACAGGCCTCGATGGTGAGGGATATTGACGACCAATACCGTTGACCTCAGTATCGCAATTGTATCCGAACGCTAGGATGTCTCCATTCCCACTCATGCCAATGCCAACTTTGTCGCTCATGGAGAGACCAAGCTTTTTGCTTCGAAGCAGGATCTCAGTCGTGCCGATGGAGCCAGCACCAAGAAACACACATTTCTTTGCATGTACCCACATGAGATCTTCGTAGATATTCTCTTGGAAAGCGCCCCTGTTCGCACCATGCCAGGCAAAGAAGACCAAGTAACCTTCTTCTTCTGGATCGGGATGCTTCTTGATGTATCGGACTTCGCACTCACAAAACATCTCCGCTCCCCAATTCCAGGCATCGCTGAGATAATTGACCAGAGTACTCGACTTACTTCCATCGTTGACTCCAGTGCAATCCATTCCCGTCAATGCAGAAGGGTACATCTCGACTCCAGTACTATTGGGACCTCCCTTGAAGCGAGTAGTCTGTTTCACCCGCCTGAACTTATCGCCCATTCCAAGCGCTTCAGCCTGTCTCTCCAACATAGTCAACTTGGGTAGATCCGGCCAGTCCTCCGGATATTCCTCAGGCTCTAGAACACTCGCTGCACGCTCATAGTATTCCTTGAGCGAATCTGTTTTCCGCAGTTCTTTCGGCCAACAATCCATCTTCATGGTCTTGTCATCAGCTTCCAAGAACACATTGGCATTCAAAAGACTGGTGCCACCGAGTCCATTACCCACGAAAGCATTCTGTCCCTTGCCGCAAATCAGATGGTACATACCCGTTGGATCTCCACCTTCAACCATTGCGCCTTTCAAGAAACCTGGCGCAAATTCGCCCGAGACATGAAGTTGCTTGAAAGCATCAATGAAACCGCTCGGGTATTCTCCAGGCCATCTCTCTTTTCCCCTCTCTAGGAGACAGACAGATTGACCAGCTCGCGCCATACGACTAGCAGCAACGCCGCCGCCATATCCAGATCCGATGACAACGCAGTCGTACTCATTCCTGAGGAGCTCAACAGGTTGTGAGATCCTGGGGAAAGCTCTTGTCTCAGGATCGTCTTTGTAAGACTTGATCTTCGCGTGTGCTCTCGACTGTGGACCGCTGGCTTCGTGCTCGTGCGGGCCGAAAGTGGGAATCTGATGCGACTTCTCAAAGGTTAGAGGAACACCCCCTAAAACCGTATGGGCATGCTTGAGGCCATTTGGTAATGGTGGTCCATCATCGACACTGCTTTCAATGCTGAATTGAGATGAGTAACCTCTGTCTAGCGAAGGTCGCTCTATTGTCTCTGTCTCCTTCCGGAACCGAACTTCAGACTTCTTATAAATGCCGCTGGTTGTTGGTTTCGATGTCTGCTTATCAACCCGTTTTGGACTCGGTTCTGGTGTATTGAACCTATCAAAGGACCACTGATCCGGTTTTGGCGTAGGGAGATCTCTAGGGATGAAATTGGAAACATGATTCAAGACCTGATTGAAGGATGTGATAGGTCCTAGGCTGACTACAGCAGGATCTTTAGGCATATATATCGACATGCAGATCGGTACCGAGACGATCAATAGTGATGAGAAACTGTGAAATCCTGCCTCGATCTTCACTTCCGCCACCGAAGCTGGAAGATTTCGCAGCCATTCTTGGAACAGGTCCGACGATAAATCTCCAACCTTAAAGTCTTCTTGAAGTCGTACCGCGAAAGCCATTCTCGGGACCTCGTCGGGTAAGGATGCAGATGAATGGAGGAAAGTAGGTGTGGATGAGAGGTCGATGTTTGACGAGTCAGGTTCATGGACTTCGAAAGAGTTTCCAATCTGTGATGACAAAGTGGGTTGGTTCTTATGGACAGACAATCGAATGCTTCTTGGATATCGTGGATCTTCTTGTGTTAATGGGAGGTAGACAGGTGCAGGGTGGTCTCGTTCGTCGTCCGACATGCGAGCTTGGATACGACAAAATATGTTGTGATAGAGATTTCCAATGGAGAATGATGGCAACTTGGCCAGTTCTCGTAGCTCGATCTCGAGCTCTCTTGTGAAGGAAAACGATCCAACGCCATTGGCGAGAGAGTTGTAGGCGCATGCAGCAATGAGTTCCGTGACTCCATTACCTTCGTTGTTGTTCGCTGTTCCTGCGTGACAACAATCTAATAAAATCAAAACATCGCTTTGAGAATGCTCCAAAGCATTTTGAATTCCACTCCATTGTACAGTGGGAGTCTTGCCGTTTCGAGAGCGTTGTCCACTGAGATACATATTAGCATTTCCTCCAAATACTGAAACAATACATACCTTGTCCAAGCTAGTCGTCTATTCTTCGTGAGACGAGCATGTCCTGCATAGTAGACAATTTTCAAGTGGTCATCACTGTCTCCGCCCAGCTTGACAAAGTCCAGGATCTTTTGGTTGACCTCAATATGACAAGCCTCGTCAGGGATTCTCCAAACCTCAACATCGAAATGATATATATCCTTGAACACCTTATAGAGTTTGAGGATTTCGATGGATACCGGGAGGTCCGGATCCTCATCAGCCCAACTAAGCATCAACACATACACTTTTGTGTACCGTGATCTACTCTCGTTTGGGAATATGGCTTTGGCGGCTGCATTCAAACCTTCACCGAAGGTTTTCAGACCAATGTGTGCCTGCCATCGATCGAAGTCTTCGATGCTGGTGTTCATACTCCCACAGTCCGTCTCTGAATCACTCATCTCTCCGTTGCTCATGACTTCGTCCGAGTTAGGTGCGCTCACGGCGGGAAGGTCGTCCTCCATGGTCGCCACGGGATGGCCTCTTGGCATGCGGTGTAAAAAAAAGTAGTCGAATCCTGATTGCCCAAGATATCTATATCTTTCGTGTTGATGTGCAGAGACTCGAGATGTGGCTCCAATGAGTCCTAGTGTAGAACCCGAGTGGCGTTTTCGGGTTCCTTTTGGTTTCGGAGATAAGGGTACAGCTTGAACTTCTCCTCACGGACCTAGTCCTTTCCTCGACTACCTTTCCCTCCCAAGAGCGTCTATTCATATAAAAAGTAAAACGGCAACCTGACGGGCAGACTGTCACAGCCTTGTGCGAGGAATTAAAGAAGGTCGTAAATGGGGCCACCGAGGACTTGATGTGCAGTGTGCAGTAGCGGGGATGTGGGCGACTAGGATGTCTCTATTGGTGTTGGTCTTGGTCCGGCAACGATAAGGATCACCAAGTCCTTCAATGATGGAGATAAAACGGCGACAACGAATGAAGTGGAAAGCAGAAAACATTTGACATAAAATAGGAAAGTCTGGGGGTGCCAATGATGACAATCACATGCAGATGACCTAGCGGAGAATGCAAGTTGTGAATGGTATTAAAAATGGAAAGTCTCCTAGGGCTGATGCCGTGAAAAATGCAGCTGAGGGGGCTGGAATGATGATGGTGGGATGGGATGGTCCGCAGAAGAGGACGGATTATTTCCAGCTCCCATGTCTCTGGTTCCTCCCAATCGCACTCGATCGCCATTGAATGGACGATCACAGCAGAGGTCAGGTTGAGTCTCGAGTCCTTCCAGTCGGTCTCCAGTCTTGGGAATGATGGACGGCAGGCATCATTGGCAGAATTTAGCAGCGTGCGCCGCAGCCGTACTCGTGAATTGACCAACCACCGCTGTGTGCTGAAAGATGCCAATGGCTCCTCCGAGTCTGTCTGGGCGCTTACAGTAGCTGGAGCTGGAGGAAGGGATGCTGAATGATGGCTGTGCTGAATTTGTGGTGCAACTGGTCGATTGGATGGCTCCAGTGGCCAGTGGCCACAGCTGTGGGGGGCTGCACTGGAGACGCATCTGTCAGCCCGTAAGCAGAGATGAGGTACAGAGGAGAGATGGAGATGGGATTGGACCATCGCACCGTTGCGCATCTTCCAGCTCAACGTTTATGTCGCCGACCAGACCATCATACCATCATCCTCTGGATGAATGCGCGACAGCGACACAATCAATCCCTTTCCTCATGATGACTTTGATGGGACGAGGTCCAGTGTCGTGTCGAGTCTCTCTTCCCTTGTCTTTCCTTGCAGAGCCGAGCCGGACGGGAGAGCGGACTAGGTACCCAGAGTTGGCGTAACCGTCGTACACGGATTTATGTTCCTGTCCTGGCCTGGCCTGGCCTGCGCGTGGTGCTGCTGGTGATGAAGCTAAGAGCGATTGATAGTCCATTCTCGTTGGTCTCAGATGAGACGATGGCGTTCGAGTCTATCTTCTTCGTTCCGAGCCGGCATCTCCGTCTTCGTATCGACTGCGGCGCAGGCATGCAAACTCTTCAATCATACAGTATCCCTCGGATCAGATAATGGACGAAACATTTTGTACCTTGGTACTTCAACAAATCTGCTGTCGCTGCAGTGCGATATAGGTTGCAAATGTGAAACGCGGAAGAAAAAGGTGGAAGTTTGGGAAAAGGAAGTCAAATGCGAGAGTGAAATATGGTTTGTCTTGTTTCATCGAGCGCCAGCAGCCAGGAAGCGAATCGAGTTCAATCCTTCTATCAGCCTGCAATACAACGCTCTGATCATTCTCGAGTCAGCACTCAAATTCAACTTCAACTCCGAGTGGGCTGTTCCCTTGTTCTTTATGCGCAACGCTCCGTTCCGTCTCATTCTTTTTACGACTATCTGCGAAATTGGATGATATCACGTGATGGTCAGCAGCCATGGCATGGATTGAGACCTCGAGAGTTCAGGCTGATACAGCTTGACTTCGCTATCTTTCTCTGTACAGGTTTCCAAGGTCAAGATCAGCTGAAATCCCATCCATCAAGTTGGTTGAGTTGTTTCTGTTCTGTGTGAAGTTTGACAGCACAGGTTGTGCTCTTTACCAGAATTCAAAGCGGGAGCTATGGTTCGTCCCGATCTAGTGATTGTTCTAATCAGAAGTTTATACGATCATGCTTGTGCTTATCGCATGAAAATCAAACTCTTGTTGCATCCTTTCGTTTGCACTCGTCTCTCTCATTCAGGACGAAAAAGAAGCTCTATTCAACCAAGAAAATATTCTTGGCATCAAGAATGGAACGTAACATGCGGCTCATTTAAGTGGCGGCCGCTCTGTCGATCAGGAACCATCTCTTCATCTCTGATAGTCATTGATGACCATCAAGATGAATAATCAAGAGCACATATATCAAAAGTGGGTAGTCTCGTATTCTTGGTGGGAGATCAACGATCCCAAAGTCTCAAATGAGGGGTAAAATTACCCCGCCATCATGATCAACAATATTCATTTGATTATAATATATCCTCCCCATCTAGCACGTCAACTATACAAGAACATGTCACAATGAAGATCCTCCTTTTACTCTCATCAACCTTCACCTTCCTCCATACCATCTCGTCATCCAGCTCCAACACAACCTTCATCTGCAAAACCGACCACGACTGTCGGCTCAACGGTCTCTGCTCTCTCACCACCTCCACCTGCATCTGCGATCCTGGCTGGACATCCCCCACCTGCGGTGCTCTCGATCTCCTCCCCGCAACACTTGGAACAGGCTATAACAAAACATCCTTCAACGCTTCATCCTGGGGCTCGAAGATAATCCATGACCCGTCCAACTCCCTGCTCTTCCATCTGTTCCTCGCCGGATTCACACACCAGTGTGGACTAGACTACTGGTCTCCATACTCACGAATTGTCCACGCTACTTCGCTTGAGGGACCTGCTGGGCCTTATGAATTTCATTCAGAGGTCGTGGGCACATTTGCTCACAATCCTACAGTGATCTGGAGTCCTGCTGATGAGAAATGGTTGCTTTATTATATCGGCTGTCCCCAATCTGTGAACGCTACTTGTACTTCACCCTCTTTCTCGTGTGGTCCAGGAAATTTCATCAATGGTGAATCGGGAATCTCGGTTCTTTCTTCGGAAGATTTGTACTCTTGGACTCCTCACGGACAAGTTATGTCGGGGATGAATGATGGAGCTTGGGATGCTGATATCACCAACCCATCTCCCCACCCACTAGGAAGGAAAGGAGAAATGTTGTTAGTGTACAGAGGTTGCCCGTTCAATTGCTCCGGCAATGAACTCATTTCTCTATCCACCGCTCCTTCCTTCCTAGGTCCCTACACTAAGCTATCTTCTCCCATCTTCCCGGAAAGTAACGAAGATCCGTTCGTCTGGCAAGACAAAAGAGGGAATTGGCACATGCTTCTCCATTCCCTTGAACCAGATGGAGGATTTGGAAGTGGGCCCATGGTGGGCAGACATGCGTTCGCGGAGAAGCTGGAAGGGGAATGGACTTTCGATGCAGAAACATTGGCGTTTAGTGCTGTAGTTGAGTTTCAGGGAGGGGAGGTGAGGGAGTTCTATAGGCGAGAGAGGCCGCAGTTGTTCTTTAGTGAGGATGCGGAGATGAAGCCATTATTCTTGATGACTGGGGTGCAAGAGGTGGGGAGTGAGATGAGTTATAGTTTGATTCAGCCGATTGAGGGGGCGAGGGAGTGGGAACAGGCTCTGGGTATTTGATGACTAGGCCTGAGGAGGGGAGAATGGGCTCAGATTTCTCCTTGATGTGTGGTCGAGGAAGAGGGACATTCAACTTCATCGCATTCTGTTACAACCAGCGTAACTTGTGTCCAAATAGGAACTCGGGCCAACAAAGCTATCAACATCCACATACAATCATCTCGCCCTTCAAAGATCGATGGTGCTCCAAGCACTAACCAGTAATACCTCTAGACCACATTTCGTCACTACAATTTCATCAAGCATGCCCAGCAAAGTTGGGAAGTAATGTCACAACCCAATTTCCTCACAACTCTTTACCGCTGGAAGCGTTTCGACAGCCGTGCTTACACCTGAAGTGCCCACACTTACAGTCTTTTTTGTTCACACTATTGAGTCGACCGCACTACAGATTGTCAGATTCATGTTGCTTTTCGAGTGCTGGAGACTCACTCCATCTCCTCCTCCACAGCATTTCCAAAGATCGTACCCATTGGCGTTGTTAGGCATCTTGCTGTTTTGAGTTTGAGTTGGATGTGGAGGTTGTAGTTGGTGGCTGGATAATTGGTAGAGTTGGTATTTTGCGGTGGTCTGGAGTATGGAAAGAGAGCAGAAAAGATGGTCTCGGTGAAGTTTATATAGACTCCGGAGCCCGCCCATGAATCATCAAGAGACCTACAGATGATTGTTGACTTCCCATGTATGCCCATAGTTAGTCACATCTTTATGAGGCTTGAGTCTTCGGCGAGTGTGAAGAGTTAGGATACGCTTGACTGTCGCATGCGCTTGACTGTTACATTTTTGGACAGTGATTCTTTCTTCAAAAACGCATTTAATGATTCATCTGAGAAGTATGAGCTACACTTCAGGACTTCCCGTAAAAATCAAAAGCAAGGTGATATAGTTGTAAGACAATATAGGTAGGCAGAGTCTCAAGTGCTAAGTAAGATCGATAAAATAACCCATGAGGGATGTGAATACCCTTTTGTCTGGAAGAGAGCGTTTCTTTAAGTTCTATCGACTTATATTGCGTCACAAACTCTGGTACAATATCATCTTCCAATCCAGTTCTTACGGTAATCATCGCTGATATCAAGAAACGACAACCCCTGTCTACAAAGCAAATCAAGCTTTGTTCCGCAGCAAAGAATGGTTGAAATCCAATAGAATAAGAATAGCAACACAACTGCAACACGCGCGAGATGTTGTTGTTGTCTAAGCATTTAAGGAAGTGCGACCTGTTGTAGTTGACAGGAAGAGGCCGGCATTCTTTCGAGGAAATACTACCAAAAAAGACGCTTTGGGTCATTGGTCAAAGCTGATATGGAAATAGGGTCGTTGGATTAGCTTCGAGAAACGGACCATCATGAGAAAACATGTGCTATTGTTATTGCACAATATGCTAAAGACTTCGAGTTTCTTCTTGCTGGGAACACCAATGAATTACAAGCCACTTGATTGAAGCTGCCGATTCTCCATTGAACATTGCATGACAATAGAGAATTGAGAAACTAGGTACTGTTCTAGCTGTTCAGAAGCAGATGTAGCATTTAGCTGTATTGGCAGCCATGTTGCATTGGCAAGTGCAATGCTTCAGGCAGAGGGATACTCATTTCTTGTTTGCCGCATAGCTGCCTCGGGGCTGTTAGCGTGCACAGGGTCTCCCTCACCATTGATTACATGTGTGATCTCGCTGCCGGCCACGCCGTTGAGCCAGACGGTCGTCATGTGGTGAATCTTGACTCCTGCCGTGTTGGGAACCTCGATTGCATTCTCTACCTTTGCTGGACTGTCTCGGAAGTAGCAGTAGACCCCAAGCCCCCATGCTTCGTGGCTGGTTACATTATCCGCCACCTTGTACGAGGCATAACCGTTGAGGTGTCCTTCATCAGATTTCCATTTCTCTTGAGCGGGTGGATCGTACGGAATCTCGGACTGATAGAAGTACAATCGACCTCCATTCCCATTCCACAATGTTTGATACTCTTGATGATGCTCATTGAATAAGCCGTAAATCGTAGCATCATTCCCATTCACAACGAGGCCATTCTTGGTTCGATTTGTATCCCAGCCAGCGCCGGCGCCATGGTCAGCGCGCCACAACCAGAGTTGGTCGCCGACAACATCGTGACTGTTGATCATGATGCCAACCTCATTTTGGCCAGCTGTTGGGCCAGCTGTACGAACTGTCAGATCGTACAGAACAGTGGGATTGGACTTGTGAGTAGCTGAGCTGCCTGCAGGACCGACCTCGAGAAGCGATGGTGAGTTCAAAGGACCGGCATCTATGATGAGGCCTGCGATTGTGACGCCATCTACATCGGATATGCAAATAGCGGGTTGGCCTGAAGTGGGTATGATTGTAGGAAAGCCAAGTCCGAGGATGATAGTGTTGGACTTGAGCACGTGCAATGCCTCCTTCAGGTGGTATATTCCGGGTGGGAAGAGGACATGCTTGCCAATACTAAGAGCTTCATTGATGCTGGCCGAAGTAGAGGTCGCTGGTTGAGCGATATAGAAATCGGAAATCGGCATTGATGTTCCAGGAGAGGGTGCATTCGCCCAGCTCGGCCCTTGGCTTTCTTTCTGTAGAGCTGGCACGAAGACGAAGTACTCATCCTTGCCCTGAACATAAAGATACGGCTTTTCTCGAACAACCGGGGTGTGGTCGATAGTGGTATAAGGCTCTTTGGGATAGTTGGCCTGGCTTGGAGCGCTATTGCAGCCTACAAAGACCATGTTCCAAACACCATTTGCCCAACTTCCCCATTTACTGTTCCGAGAGATCCATTGCTGCTGTGATCCAGGGAGGACTTGTCCATCAATGATTGAATCGGCCATATAGCCACCGCTGGCCCAACCACCTGCCCCAGTGTCGGGGTCAACTTGAAACAACCACAACCCACCAGCACTCTTGATGTGCATGCGACGTAGTGGTGCAGCCTTCGGAGCCACTCTGTTAGCGATTTCTTCATTCAAGCTAGTATAGTGCATGTTCATATCGTACCTGTGAGACGGCTATGGTTGTAATTTTGTTAGTGGCATCCGAAGCTTCAATGGCCAAATTTTCGAAGGACCGCCAGAAGTTACACGTCGCATTGCGGTTCGGCATCCAATATGCAGGAACGTTGACGCCGCCAGTGATGACTACGTCGTCGGGGCTTCGTCCTAGGCCTGCAACCGACGTGTAGAATCCAACGTCGAACAAGACAGGATACGATCCTGGAGTGAAGAGTAGAGCATAGCGTTGCTGGCCGAACTCATTCGCTTCCATTTCCTTGAAAATTCTAGTTGCCTGTTCTTGGATGTCCCCAGCACCCATGGTTGGGTCAAAGACGAACACATTGGGCCCGAAAATGGTCTTGTTCGCCATGGATGTCGAGGTTAGCTAGTGGATTGTGTAGATTATGTGAGAGAATAGATTTCCGATGTGAAAACTAGGTAGACATTACTCTTTTCGAAGCGGAAGGAATAAACCTTGCATATGCATAAATGACGTCATCACCATGAATTATATTAATTGCCGATATCTTTTCAAATGATACAGCGGTTTGCAGCTCCTCGAAGAGAACCTATAGCCAAGCTCTAGCTAGCTTCAAAGGTACCTTTAGGCCAGCTACCACATATACCGTACACCTACCGTGCAGGATCAATCTCGGGCTCGGGTAGGAAATTAACTACTCCGGCATTAGTCTGGACCTCCAGGGACGCGAATGCAGGGCACAGCACAGCAACGCCAACTTACGCTGCAGCCAATTGTTTGAGCTCTTCGACGCCAGTCATGCAAGTCTGCGGCTGCGGCCAAGAACATCGATTTCTTAAGCATGACATGTTCATTTCGAGGTTTCAGCAATCCAACAATCACAATGAAACGAGCTCGTCCTGGCGCCAGAGGTGTTTCCAAAGTCAAGACTGGATGTCGGACATGCAGGATCCGACGCAAGAAGTGTGATGAAATCAAACCAGCATGTTCTCAATGTGTCAACACCCAAAGGACATGCGACTTCTTGTCGTTGTCTCCAAAGGTGGAGCAGAGATCATGTGTAGCTCTCAATCATCTCGAAGTGCTGCATTTCGATTATTTCAAGAATGTTTGTGCACCTGAGTTCTCACTCTATTTCGAAGATCCTCTCTGGGAAGGCATTGTGCTGCAAGCGGCTCTCAAAGAACCTTGTATTCAGTACGCGATCCTGGCTATTGGTTCTTTGAGCAGAAGCCAATTGGTCCCTGAATCATGGCATGATGCAGTTCAATATTCTACGGGGCAATATAATCTGGCAATCTGGGTACTGAGAAAGAATCTAGATATGTCTGGGAGCTGCGAACTTGCTGTCCTAGCAACCATTCTGTTCATTGCCATTGAGATGCTGCAGCGGCATGGTAATCAAGTAGTCACTCTGCTACATTTCTCATCCGAGTTATTGAGAAACAAATCAGATGATGATCTGAAGTATCTTCGAACGGCGTTGTCTCAAATAAGCACACAGTTATCGGCATTTCTCGACTTGGATGGTAGTGCTTCATTGGTTCGAGCGTAATTTAGCTCAAAGCTGCACGGTAAGACATCGATTCCCGCCTGTACTTGGAGTTTGCTGACGTGCTTAGGAATACTGCCTTCACGCTACGATACAACGAGATCTCCTAATTGTCCTTTCACCATGCTCCCCCAGAAATTACGCCAAAGCCAATCACCCTTCGACAATGGGCCGCCTTACATATAATGGCCCATTTTTTGCCCCATCCTGTCTGCAACACACTGCGTCAGGGAGACCCTTCTCAACTTTAAAAGAACAACCGCATCTCGTTGCCTGGTTTCTCCCACTCAACTCCTCTTGTTTCTGTCACCATGTCAATTCAGCCTTTCCAGATCGCCGTTCCGGAAGTTCGATTGTCACGTCTCCAGCAGAAGCTTGCTCTTTCGGATTTTCCCAATGAAGTTCTCGACGCTGATCCATGGTCTCGTGGAACTCCATCTTCAGAAATCAAACGTCTCAGTCGATACTGGGCAGACGGCTTCAATTGGCGGCAAGTCGAAGCGAAGCTGAACTCATTTCCCCAATACCTGGCTCTTATCCCAGTTGAGGGCTTCGGAATCTACGACATCCACTTCGTACACGAGCTCAGCGTCAACCCTAATGCAGTCCCTCTTCTCTTCCTTCACGGATGGCCCGGAAGCTTCATCGAAGTGACAAAGATTCTGCCACAGCTGCTTGAAGGTGGAGAACGGTTCCCTGCCTTCCATGTGGTAGCACCGAGTTTAATCGGCTTTGGATTCTCATCGTCAAGCAAGGTTGGCACCATCACAAAGTCCTGCGCACGAAGCTGATGAGAGTAGCCTGGTTTCAATGTCGATCAGCACGCTGAAGCATACCATCATCTAATGCAAATGCTTGGCTACACTCAATATGGTGAGTGAACATCCTTCATTCAGGCTCATCTAACGCGATTGTAGTGATTCAAGGTGGGGATTTTGGTTCTCTCATTGCTCGATTCATCGCAATGAAGTATGGTCCCACACACTGCAAAGCACATCACATCAACTCTGCAGCACCTGCTGAACCAACTTCTGCATCTCATCCAGAGCTGTACGCCAAAATCAAAGATATCCCATTAACTCCGGGTGAGCTTGCTGGCCTTGGACGGACAGCAGAGTTTTCCAAAGAGGGGAATGGTTACCTTCGGCAGCTGTCCACAAAACCCGAAACTATTGCGTTCAGCTTGACTGATAGCCCTATTGGACTGCTAGCATGGATTTACGAGAAACTTCATGATTGGGTAGACGGTTATGTTTGGACAGATGATGAGATCTTGACTTGGGTCAGCATCTACTACTTCTCAACGGCGGGACCAGCAGGTCCGAACTCGTTCTATTTCGAGATTGAACACAGGAACCCGGGAGCTTTTCAAGGAGCACAAGCTTACGTCAATGTTCCTCTCGGCATCTCTCGATTTCCCAAGGACCTGATCTTGTTGCCAAAGAATTGGAATCAGACGATGGGTCCAATCGTTTTTGAGAAGGAGCACACAAGTGGTGGACACTTTGCGGCTTGGGAGAAGCCGGAGGCTATAGTTGAGGACTTGCGAGTCATGTTTGGGAAGGGGAGTCAGGCATATCATTGTGTGGATAGTAAGAGTGGGTATAGCTAGCAATCCGGCCAATAGGCGCAGATTTTGATTGGTGAGAGAGAGGCATAATACCTCGGTCTTTTACCATCAACTCGATCATGACAGTCGCCTCGCTTTTTTTTCATTCTTGAGCTTGTGAATTTCCAGTGTTACGATGTAGACACTGCTCGGTGGCGATCTGAAAGTGAAGATTGGGAAAAAATGACATTCATTTGAAGCTACCTAAAAATCAAAACAATCATCAATCGTAAGCGAGCAGCATTTCTCATCGCGCATCTCCAGCTAGCACCAAATCCGGACTGCACCTTCTTGTCAATTGCCTCCCTTCGCGTCAAACCTCTGTTCAAATTGGATAATTGCCTTGTCCTTCTTCTGCCCGTTCACCAGGGTATTGAATTGGAGGTCACCTCTGTCCGAGAACAAGTCCACCTCAATGTCAAAGTGAATTCTGTACATCTTCCGACCCTTCATGATTTTCGTCTTCCCAGTCATCATCTCAGCATCAGTGAATGTGAACTTCACTTTCCCAATCTTCTGCATTGACCAGTGTGTTGTGTACTCAGGCTTATCATCTTGATCGCAGCTGTAGATTGTGAAGGTGGACTCCAGATCTCCAGAATCTTCGTAGTATGATCTAGCCATGTCGAAAGACTTGAGCTTGAAGTTATCAATAGGGTCGCCCTGGAACAGTTAGCATGCTATCCATGATTCGACTATCGAAAGTACCTTGGCCAAGAACCACTGCACTCGGCTGCCGCACCGCTTACTGCCGTCCCATTCGGAATACCAGGAGTCATTTTCATCATCGACGCCTTCGCGGAAAGCTCTAGAAACACTGTAGCCATAGTGGCGACGAGCGAGACGTACAGTGGGAGTCAGAAGCTCCAATCCTCGTAGGGCTGCTCCTTTTACGATGGCTTCTTGGCTGGGAATAATTAGCAATTGCGCTTTAAAAAGATCGTGGTCCGTACCAAGAAGGAGGACAGCTGGGCTTAATATCATGTTCCAGACACCACTCCTTCATTCTCAGATTGAGGTAAGGTGACTCGCCGAATCCACCGACAAGGAACAATTGCTAGAAGAGATCAGTAATGTGCAAATATTTCAAGTCAAAACTTGCGTGAATCTGGTCCCCTTTCTTCGAAGCTGCAGTGACCTGAGACTCGACGAGCTTTATTATCTCATTGATGGGAGGATCGAACATCTCCAGCATGTCGGCACTGCACTAGTTAGCTTTTGACTGGAAGTTAATTAGCAGTATGCGTACCTTTGAAGCTTGACTGTGAAATTTCGCTTGTCATAATGTGGCGATTTGGGAGCATTCATATTGATGGGCCAAACGTCCAGTCGCTTTGTGTGGGCCGGCCCCGTGAAATTCTTCTTCGTGGTCTCGAATTGGCGGAAGAAATGACTTGACAGACCTCTTTCTTCTTCACTTAGCTTGGTATATGCGGTACCAAACTTCTGCTTCATCCAAGAATCGAAGTTTCGGTCGATAAAAGTCGAGCCACACAAAGCACCAACACCCACCAAGAGTTCTTTGAACTCAAGACGACCGTCTTTCAATGCCACTTGATAGGTAACGATGTCCTGACAACGATTAATATATCTCGTGGCCCAACATCCGGATTACTTACGACTGTCCCACCACCACAATCACAGATCAACACATTCTGAGGACCTTTCTGGGAATAGTCAGTCAAGATCAAGTACGAACGGGGGACGTACTTCGAAACCAGTCACAGTGCCGAAGCCCACTCGAGGCATTAGGACACTCAAAGCTGCAGCTTCAGGCTCAGTGATGATGTGTATAGAGTCCATTGCCCTGGATCCAAACCCAGCAGCTTGTGCTGCCTCGATCGTTGCCATCTTTGCTGCATCAGACCACATAGCGGGAACGGTGATCCAGAACTGGACAGGAGTGATATTGTACGTCGTGTCGTCGTGCTTTTGGAGGCGTTCGATCAGATAGCCATAAAGACCTTGCAGGTAGTCTCTAACAACATCCTTTGCAGTTTTGTTTCGAGGGAGAGTACAAAAATCATTGCTCTGGATGATTGAAGTACGGGGATCTTTTCCGAGGAGCAGCTTTGTCCACTGGCAGGAAGTGTAGCCAGCTGCGTTGAAGCCCCATTGATCTTCATCAAGCTTTTCGGAAACATTCTCACTCTTGTAGGCAATGACAGAAGGTACTTTTCCGATTGTCCCCGGTCCATTTGGCCATTGTCTGATCACTTCGATTTTGTCGGCTGAATTCTGATCCGATGTCACGTAGCTGATACCTATATATGTATTTCAGTGACCGTAGACAGAAAGCGAGGTGAATTGATACCAGAATTGGTTGTTCCATAATCAAGACCAACAATGATCTTCAAGCGAGTGTCCCACACCTTCTCAGAATGTTTGGGAACCGAAGAGTAGGCTGGAGGGTCCATCATTGCGAGAGATATGTTGTGTCTGATTGAAGTATCTTGGTTGTGAGATACGCACACCAAGATTATATGTGGCACGAAGGTAAGGCTGGTAAGTCTTGGGGACAAGACAAGTTCTCAATCCGGTGATGGCTCTAGAGAGTCCTTGAAACACACAATCTGAGATACGAGAATTTGATTCAGGCTCGGAGAGCCTTACACTATCATAGGCTTCTCTACGTTCCGATTTGCAGCGATGCGAAGGAACTAGTGATGGTGGCGGCGGGGCATTCAGAGAAACGAGGTTGCGGCCTATTATGAAACCGGGCGCAAGTAGAAAATACCACTTTGCTCCCACATCCCAACAGTTGAGAGATGAGACGTGGGACGTTCTTTCACCGGAATCCTATTCTAGTGCTTTCTGAAAGCGGTAGGCTATCCGATTGCTGCATCCTGAAACCTCAGACCTTCGATACAAAGAATATCTCCAACAAAAAACCCCACCGGTTTGGAGCATCAGCCTGGAGATAGCCATCGGCCTGAATTATTGCTGCCTTGGAGAAGGATTGCGCAGGAATCCGACATACTGCAGGCAACCAATCAAGCTGGAGCCTGTTCCGCCCTTGGAAGTGGGGCTACGCCCGATCAGAGTACATTAGAACGCGGGGTTCAAGCCACTGGGCTGACTTCTCGCAAGGCTAGAGTGGAAACGTTTACTCAACTCAGAGTCGGAATACCTGAGAGGCTGTGCAAGTCATACATTCTCAAGGTTTACTGATAGAAAAGCGCTGTTCTCACTTCGAAGCAGTACAAGCGAAGCGACACCATCCAAGGAGACTCCCAACAAAATGCCAGATCCATTATCTCAAGTTCGTGAACGTCACCATCAAGATCTGGTCGAAAGCAAAGGGACTCAAGGCCCTAGAAATGCAGCTACTGCAGAAAACAACTCCATCACGCGGAAACCAACAAACTCGGAGCAGAAAGTGTCGAGCAAGCAGGTACAGGCAACTCTGGAAATGTGTAGGAGTCTATATAATGCTGATATTCACTAGAACCCTGCTGGTCTGCCACGAAACAAATCTGCTCCACAGCATGCACACCGTCAACCCGAGACTAAAAGCCGAGCTAGTCAGCCCATGCCACCATCGATACCCCCAAGAAGATCAAAGGCAAACGAGGAAGGGCACATAGGAAAGCAAAAGCAAGCAAATCCAAAGCAAGCAAGTCCAAAGCAAGCAAGTCCAAAACAAGCAAGTCCAAAACAAGCAAGTCCAGATGTTGAACAACGACCCAAGGCTCAAAGCTCTCAACATGACGGAGATCCCGCTCAGTTCAGGAGACTTAATACTCAGAGCCGTGGAGAGATAGCACACAAAAAACAACTCTCCAAAGAAAGACTTGATGAAATTTCAAGACCCAAACACATCACGCCAAAGAAGGTTGACGTGCAGAAGGGCTCCAGGCCACAGACGGAGCGAAAGGCGGCGAGACCTGCTACTGATCAGAAAGCTATGGCGAAGCAAAGAGCAGTCGAACTTCCCTTCAACGATCAATGGACCAAGTCCAAAATAGAGAGAGAAGAAGAGATTCGCGGGCCTCCAGGAATGTACGTTCAGAGAATTGAACAGAATGTTCCATCTTTCGATGCTTTCTCCGGACTGACATCATTTCTTGGATGGGATAACAAACGTCAACATGCGATGGAAATGGAAATCAACAACTTGGAGAAGAGGCTTTGGCATTCGCAGAAAAAGAACGAGGAATTGAAATACAACATGTCCGAACTCAGTCAGACAAATGATGCTTTGCAGGATGACCTCCGCAAGGTTCAACAGAAATCTTTCAACCAAATGACAAAGTCGGCATGGACTCCACTGGAGGATCGGGCCATTCAGGAGGTACTGGAAGAGATACATCAAGACATTGAGGCGTGGGCAGAGGATAACTGCGTGGAATCATTCGACGAGATAAAGGGATGTCTTGATGAGACTCATCAAGCCGCACTTCTCGAGATTTGCAAGAACGTGGCAGATGTCACACAGGATGGCCTTGGCGCTCAATTTCAATGGTGGGAAGAAAGAGATGTCGACCCTATTTTGCTTCTGACCGCACTTTCAACGTTCCAGATGTACTCATGTGTCTTCAACAACGAATTTTTGGCCATGGAAGTGATTGTTGAAGACTCCATGGGCACCATGGTTGATGTTTATCGGAAGCTAGCGGAACGTAAGTTTTGTCTGCCTAGGTATTGATCGAGCTAACAGATGCAGTTGACTCGAAACAAGCCCATGTATGGCGATCCCAATTGATGCGGATCATTGTTGGCACGCCACGTTCAAGTGGGAGATTCGATGGTATCAGCTCGGAAGTAGATGTGTCCGACTTCATCAAACGGTATTGTGCTGGTCTGATTGAGGAGTTTGAGGAACGTCCCGAGGCAGCATTCTTGAAAACGAAACTCTCAGTTGAGAGTCGAGAGAGTTTGTTGGGCTGCTGGACTCGAGCCGCAGAAGTATTTGCACAACTGCAGACTCAGGTGGCTAAGGTTCAGTGGTCTGCAAATGAACATCTGCGTTCGACGGTGAATCCGCGGTATGTCGAGTCGCATCGTTCTCAGGCATTTCCCAAGGGGAGAAATGATGGAAAGGCCATCAGTCTTGTTATCAGCCCCATGGTGGTGTTCTTCGGCAATGAAGATGGAGAGAAGTATGAAGTCTGGAGAGCAGTTTGCAAGGCCACAGTTCTTGTAATTGAAGAGGAGATTGAGAACGAAGAAACAGAAGAAGAGAGTGAAGGACAAGCAAGTGAAGAAGAGACTGAAGAAGAAACTTCAGAGGACAAGTTGCCTGAAGAGCAGGTAGAAGAAGAGCTGTGAATGTAGATAGGAACAATTGATAGAGGCAGCCAAGGAAGTTCAATCCAGACTCTCCAAGAAGAGCGTACCTTTCTCCATTGTGTCCATGGATTCTCCGCCTGCAACGTCGAAATGGAAACATGCTTAGAGCGCTGCTGACATAGATCCATCACAAGGCAGTGCTTCTTGATACTCGACCTGGCCAGATGTCTCCTAAGTTGAGTTCGCAGAACGTTTCAAGACAACTGGAAGAAAGCAGTGAACACGGATGGTATGTGAGAACTGGAGCGTGTTTCTGCCCTAGCCCACGGGGTAGAGATTGCCACTAGAGACATGCCTTGTGAGTCTGCGATCGAACTCTACTGCTCCATGTCAAGTCTATTGCTTCTCTGCGACTCAATGTCTGCGTCTCAATATCTGCCCCTCAAGTCCTATTGTCCCATATGCAGATGCGACACTGGGCGATCGCCAGAACTGAAGCACAACTACCGACAATGGCAGCTCTTTCGCTGTAGATAGCTCTTGATCTGCGACGTCAGAGATTTGCAAGAGCGCTGTGTTGGGCGTGTCGAGCATGAAGGTATCCAATCCTTCAAGAGTGCTGGTATGGCTTTCGCAGATGGAAGAGCGTGTCTGTAGAACCGGGTATTTCGAGTGTCGCCTCACTATCGGGCTAGCGCGCTGCGGGCCGACAAATTCCGGCTTTACGTCCGAAATGCACCTGAATCGGAGCCGGAGATTAAGCCCACACAGACATCCCGAAGTTATTTAGGGCAATGAAAGTTCAAAGAAATCCTTGCAGACAGAGTAAATCTCTTTTTCAATCAGAGACAATTCCGCCGCAACGTCTGTGTGTGTAGTTGGACTTTTAGAGGAGAAATAAAAAGATGATCAAGCTGTCGAAACCTAAAGAGAAGGGAATCTTGTACTTAGTAAATGTATTTGGAAATTTCGGGTATCAATTAAGGCCCCTTGATGCACGGGACCATTGAAAGTCAAGTACCGAAAATCTTGAAGACTTCTAGTTAAGGTTAACCTTACCTCGTAGCTTCAACTCCTTGATGTATCCATGACAGCAGATCTGCATTATTTCTATGTCGCTACTACAAGAGATCATGTTACTTAGATAATAATTGGAAGTAAGACGTTTTCGATAGCGTAATAGCCAAAGATCTGTTATTCTACTCATTAAAGGCAAAGTGAAGCACTGCACGTGATCAGATTCTCCTGCTCTTGTTGAATGTGTGATGCTTAAAGCACCTTTTAGAGGCGTGATTGCTTTTCATGTTTTGTTAGATTCCACTCTGTTCTTAGAGACCGCAAATCAAATAATTCAAAAATTCTGAATCATAGAAGGCTACCAAAGCTATACAAACACTGTCGAACAGTTCAGTTAATAGAGAAATTACTCACAGACAGTGCAAATAGCCTGTTACCAGTGAACGTTGAACTATGATCAATAGATGTATGTATTGACTTACAGAATGGGTTCATGTTCTCAAAAATGGCATGACTTTGTGCACCACAATATACCATTTAATCATCTTCTCTCTCTAGTTTCGAGTAACGCTCCTTCTCTGCCCTTAATCGTGACTCAAACATTGTTTTTCTATCTTCTATAAAAACAGTTCAAATGTCTGTCTATCCAACGTGCTCTCTCCGTCCTCATACAACAAGTTCCGAGACATTCATATGCACAAAGTCCACAAAGATTACCAAAATACTAGCGACTAAGCAAAGTGACAACATACAAGTACAACTACATTCCCTCTTACACCCAGGCAACAAAGTCTACTCAAGACAAAATCTTTAATATGAGCTTACCGAGGTGGATAAGCTGCTGGATATGTGGCATGCAATTCACTAGTGATTATGCGGGCCAGATGGCCTATCTAGCCCATTTTGAAGCTCGTCATCCTCCGATTCACTGCCACGTGTGTCGCGCGAAATTCTACAGACAGCAGGACCTTATGTATCATTTCTACGCAGTTCACCCAGAGCTTATGCAAAGATAGGTGTTCTGGCATTACATTTGATTGCATGGTTTTTGGTTATTGAGCTGGCTCAGCATCATGTCAGAATGTACAATAGAGCACGTGAAATCTTGGTTATCACAGAGCTGAGAGCTCCAGCCACATGCTCTATGCTGAGCTGGTCTCTGCAGATCGTTGAGATTTGTACTAAAGAAATAGAATGCGTTTTCCGCAAACCCGATGAAATTGAACGTGTCTCGCTTGTGCAAGGAACATTACTGGTCATTACTTAGAAACTACTTTGTCTTGCTTTTGATTCTGCATTCGGGTGGAGAGACTCGCAAGAAGAAAATACCAAGTGAAGCAGTCTGTGTGATCTAGGGGAAAATTCTGGATGCATTATTTTTGTTAATTGCAACCGCATGTAGTTCTTTCCCTCGATTCTTCAATGAAGCAAAAGTCGAAAGGGAAAGATCACGGAGCCTATTGCAGCTGTCAAATACAAACCCTGTGTTCTAAAGCCACAAGAAACGGTTTTCGGTCTCTACACCTGAGTTAGGCTTAAAGTCTGTTCGATACTCTTGAAGCGAAAATTAAATTAAAGTTTGTGTTGAAGCAGGGTGCCGTGAGGCTCTGTATTGCGGCTCGTATCTAGCCAAGCCTAGTTAGGACTAGCTTGGTGGTCTATGCTGAGGGAGATATCTTCAACCTCAACTCCCAACCTTCTTAGCTCTTTAGTCAATCTACTCTGATTCAACCTGCCACTTTCCCATCGTGCTCTGTCCCGTCTAGAGTGGTCATTACACTCTACAGGGACACTCCTTTCAATAGTTTGTATAGTATAAAATCTAAGAAAACATGATAAGATTGGTCTCGATGCATCAAGTAAACGGAGCAGCGAGGTGACTAGCCGATCGGTGGCTACGGGCAAACAAAGAAGGAAACGTGCTGCAAAGGCGAACGCAGCGGTACTTAGACTAGCAGCGACCTTGGGCTTCTCAATGACCTCTCTAGCTGGCATATTGTTTACTTGGGCTTGGACTGTTATGCATTCCTTCTACGCACGTGAGTCTCTGAACAACTTATCCGTACCTTCTCCACTGCGTCGGCAACTCTCCTCCTTCAGGGGTCTCTGGCCCTGGTAATATTTCCCTCAAGATTTCATTCACCCCCATGTCCATATCAGCACAGTCCTTCCAATGTCTCGGATAGCCGAGGCTGACCTCCTCAAACCGACAGCCACCTTTCCAGTCCGTCCTCCGAATGTGAAGATGGCCACTTATAACCACTTTAGCATTGAATCTTTCATGCCAATTATCTGTTAATGTTGTTCCGCACCAGAGGATAAACCGAGGAATGTACTTGAGATGAACAAGGTCTTTTCGAAGTGGCCAGTGGTTTGCGATGATGAAAGGGAGCAATGGATGTTGTGCTTTTGCAGCTTCCAACTTTGCTTCAAACTTTTGAACCAGAATCTTACACCAATCTTGACGAGTAGGATACGGGTCTGGATGAAGCAGAAATTCATCAGTCGCCTCAGTGTCCTTCTCCCTCGCCCATGGAACGGCGTTCTCCAAAGTCACCTCGTCTGGCCTGAAAGAATAATCGTACAAGGTAAATATCGGAGCAATGATTGCAGGACCTCCTTGACCCTCCCAAACAATAAAGTCATCTTCCGGGGTGAAAACACCATATTGTCGTGCGACATCGACACATTGCTCGTACTTGTGTTCTCCTCGAACACTGGAACCTGTTGGCAAGGTATACAACTCGTGATTACCCGGACACCACCATACCGTGTCGAAGCATCTTGTAGCTGTTGAGAATGCAAGTTGAAGGTGCTCGATTGTCTCTCCGATGTCTCCACATAAGACGAGACCATCGCCGGGATGGCGGGTCAGCTTGGACCATGCTTCTCGATTGGCAGGGAAGGCGATGTGGATGTCAGCAATGGCGTAGAGCTTTCCAGTTGGCAACCTTCTCTGGGGCTTTGACTGGGACATAGTCGGTCGGTAGATTTGTACGGAAATGGATTGATGTATCGGGCCAAGGCGTGTATTTCTCAGTCATAAGCGTCTCCCCGTATCGAGGATGCTATAAGGCAGGGGGATTGCTCGGAGTCAATTTATCGTGTGCAGGAAGCCGGTATTCAAGGCCAACTTGCATTGTGGGCGCTGGTTGCAACGATAGGCGGCGTAGTGGCCGAAAATGTAAGAATTGTATTCCTTGATGGCGGGCGAGGTGCGGCGAATTGCTGACATGAGATCAATCAGCACACACGTGATTCGGCGATTTGCGTCTGGAAGCGGGCAGCATCTCCTCCTGCCTTTACTGAGAGCGGAGCACTTAAGCGCAATTCCTCTTGATTGAGACGGCACCAATGCAGAAAAATTGCGGTTAAGTGCTTCGCTCTCCAGTATCCGTCATTCAAGCTTTCAATCTTGAGAGTCGATTTCCCATTATGCTCTATCAGCCGATCATCTTGCCAAATCCCGATGCCGTTTGCGATCGTGTTCAATACAATTCTCCCGTCAACTACCATTGCGTCTTGGGCGGTGCAGACAATGATTATTGAATTCGGAAGCGAAATATCTTTCAGCCACCCACATTCATCCGCTGAATCGTCTGCCCCTTGCCTTCTCTCTTTCCTATGGCTGGAAATGGTTTCAAAACGAGAAGGAAAGATAATGGCGTGAATTTGAAAGGCAAGCATAAATACGGTGTAGCTGCACTTGCACTCCAATGAGCGATTCTCCAAGATGGAACGGAGGTTACCATGCACATTATAACGCCAGTATGAACAGGATCAGTAAGAAACAGAGGAACGAGGAGCGAATATGCACACAGCTGAATGGAAACCTTGGTCAAAAGCATGGTGATCACCAAAAGAAGGGACTGCCTTATTATGCGGGATCACTGAGCTTCTCAGTTCATCCAGCGTTGGGCAATTTGACCAGATGGCTCATAATTGCGGACGCTCCGCCCTTGGACCGAGCACCTCTTGGGCCAGGGAAAGCCAGTTCGACATAAGAAAAGAGTGCACAATCTGCCCTCGTAACTTTCGCAATGTGACGTCTGCTTGGGTCCATCAACGCTCTCTTTGGATTGGCACGCTCCAGAGTGCTATTCTCGATGGACCTTACGTATGCAAGCTCCCTCTGGATCCAAGCAAGAAGTGGTCATTGTCCTAGTTGTTCTTCTCAGCTTTCTCCGTGAGTAGTCAACATGACATTTATGCAAGCCTGCCTCTTCTCAAGCCCACCACGGATCATGAGCTGACCAGGAGACCTCGGTGAGAGTATGTACCCGCCGCCCTTGCAGAAGCCAGTGTGAAGTGTCAGAACTCGTAGCAGGCCGGGAAAAGGTGCGATGAGCTCTCCATCGGGATTATGGTCTCCTAGTTCAGCTTGCGGTCTTTGATGCTGTCGTACACCGCAGCAAACAAGCTCCCAGGAGGCTTCATATTGTTCGCAATGGACGATCAGTCCAATCGTGATTTCCAGCAGCCGATGCCTCGTCCGTGTGGCTGGGAAGACGGCAGGATCGAAGGAAAGGGAGGGAGCAGGGACGTGGTTCGCGTCGACGTTCGCGGCAGATTGAGACGCTTCGCGGCGCGAGGGGATCTCTTCAAGCACAGAAAGATACACGCTTCGATTCGAGGATGCTCCTGGCGATGTCAGTAATGCCCAAACAGTGTCGCCTGGAGACCTACCATCCCGGCGGCGAACGTGTCAACTGCTTTCGCGCGCCCTACGACACTCAACGTGATGTGGTAATTCGGAGTCTGAGAGCTTTCGAAGATCGCGCCTACCATCAACTCAATATCTTCATCCAGGAGACGATGCGACAGCCTGGCTTCATTTCGATCTTGCGTTGCTGATTTTGCAGCTATTTGTGTTTATTGAAGTTGGAGCTTCGAACTTTCTGGGGAAGCTCGGACTGGACCCCTGCCGTTTCCTCCTTAAGGTTAACCCTGCTCTCCCTCCACAATCATAAGATGACGTCCAGCTAACCCTAACCCTTCAGCGTCGAAGCATCCTTCGATGGATTGTCTTGTTTTATCATCATTCAAGTTGAGCTGAAGAGTATTACCTTTCCGAAGGCAACTAATTATTTTATTAGAGGACCTCTATCCTTCCACCTCGAGACCCTAACCCTGGCTCTTGTCCAGTGGTGCCTTTTCAGTCGAAAACTTTACTCGTATGAACCATTGATTCACTTGCCACTGATGCTCTACGGGATCTCAGGTGAAGCAGAGTGCAGAGTCAAACTTCCTAGGCATCTCAACGAGCTCGACTGCCTTGAGAAGTTGAGAGCATATGCGCACTGTTTTCAATCTGGCAGATTGTTGCACCAAAACGCAACAGCTGCCTCTTTGCTACCGCTGCTTGCTGGCCCTTTGAAAAGTAACCACAGCATACCAAGTCCACAAGATCTTCAAATAAAATAGGATCCTCTTGGGTTTCAAATATCTCACTTTGTCATTTTTGTATCTACACCTCTGTCCTCTGGACCATTCCTATTCATCCAGTGATCAAGAAGTAGTTAGCCGCAACAGGATCCTTCAACCCCGCCAGCGAAATGAACTCAGTAGTATTGAAGTTCAAGCGACTTGAAACTTGACTCTTCATGCTGCTTGGGACTGCAAAGTTGGCAGGCTGTTCAAATAACATTTCGATGTAGTGATGCGGATGCGGTGGCGTTTCTGCTGGTGGAGACGGTCCGAAGTATGATGATGGTCCTGTGTCTGTCGATGTCAAGACGTAGGTGGTGTTCTTCATTGAACCCGAAGATTTGAATCCTATAATCATAGCGTGAAGAACGGTACCACGAGGTCCGCCAGTTGTGGTAGGGGGTCTGCGTGATATTTTAGTAGAGGAAATAAGGGGGAACAGCGGGGCGATCTACAGATCAATGTCTACCCCCAGTCAGCATGCATTTTTCAGTTGATGAGTGAAAACTTACCAACCATCAGATACAAATACGTTCCCGACAGACTCGTTTCAGTCCCAATCGTTGGCATGCTGGCAACAGCTACCAAGAAGATCAGTACGGCGCTCAGAAGTATTGCGGTATGGGCTTACCAGCTTTCTGCAGTTGGAGACCTGGCGTGACGGTTGCCGAAGGGAAGATGACATCGAGGCGAGCAGTAACGTTTGGAGAAAAACCAGGAGGTGTTTGTGCCCAGACAGCGCTTGCTAATGAAAGCGAAAGAAAGGCGAGGAGCAACATCGTGATTGGGAATTGAGAAGAGAGCAAGAGGACAGATGAACACCAAGACAGAGCTGGAAGACACTGGCCCCTTTTATACTATGACTACGGTATATGTGCTCCTTGGATTGAAATATCGTCAGGTGCGCTGATAATACGAATCAGCCTGCTCGATTGAAAATCAACTTTTTACTTTCGGGTTTGATCAATCTGGGTGAAGCCAAAGACAGCATTTTGCCAGGGAAATTGAGTGATACCAAGACTTCTTGCTCATGCTAGGAAGGCTGAAATTAGAGACCGGTAGTTGATGATCGTCGTCAATATGAATTTCGGAGAATAAGCCCCTTGTTACCCCGCAATCAGGTACCAGAATAAACTTTCTTGACTTGGGGTCATTGTTTGGACGGGTAATATGAGGACCGCTGGGACCCGGGACCAGAGCGCAAATGCAGGCTAATTCAACGGTACAGCACACTTGATCATAATTTACAATCAAACATCGAGAATGTGACGAAATCTGTACGATGTGGTAAGCTCCGACTATCATTAATGGAATCCGATAATTGACGGACTGAAAGACTGACTTTCGCCGGAACTGCTTATTTTCCGTAGATTGCGCTAAAGCTCTATTGCCGCTTGGCTTGAAGAACTCAGACAACAAAAGCAACACGTCATATTCAATGAGCAGATGATGGATCTTCAGATTCATAGCCTGTAGCATAAGATCTGACTTCAATTCAATAATCCCGCATCCTAAACTGCATTCTCTCCAGTTGCTTCCTTGCGTCCCCAGATTCGTTCCTGCCAAGTGAAACCGTTTACTACTACTTCTGGCTTTGCTGTTGCGTGGTGATCATGAGACGTTTGCCGGGGATTAAGAGTTGTCAAATTATGTCCACGGACTTGTGAGCGCCGCTATATATACTCCCTGCTAATGTTCCAATCCAGGCGGGGAGCTTGCTGCCCAGAACCAAAGTGGCAGTTGCTGCATCGATGATCGTTTTCTGAGCTCGTTGAGAAATGGATCTTGGGGCATCAAAATTGAAAGGTAGACTCGCCATAATGTAAGAATGAAGCTGAAGGGGTTGATTGAGAAGTGAATGGAAAGCAGCACACAGAGCGAACTTGGGAAATAACTCGAGAGCATCTTTAGTAGTTTGTAACTCACTGAGAGGGAGATTCTGTCATCTGGTCAATAACTCTTTGTTAAGCCTTAGCTATTCAACACCAAATGAATCACTTGACTCTTTGTTCCCAAATCTGAGCAATATCTCTCTACAAGACATCAACCATGTTCCTTTGAGCTTCCGAGGAATAATAATAGCGTGCGAGGTACAACAAAGAAAAACACAAGTCGGCTCATCAGCCTTTCTCCAACTCCAACACGTCATCAGCTGTCAATAGAATCTGCTTCTGTACTCCTACTCCCAGCTCCCCATGACTGCTCGGAAGTCGAGGTAGTCGTTGACTCGGAATCGGCATGGTCATCCCTTGAACTAGAATCTCTCATGGTAAAGCTCCACCAAGCATCATATCCAGAATACCAATCCGAGGTAGATGGATTTGGAGGCGGAGATGCTAAAGCTTCGGACGGGAATGAAGGTGAGAGCGGGGTCGTTGATTGTGTAGTCGGTTCTGGAGTTAGCATGGATAGAATAGTCTGAAGCCATGCTCTCTGAGGCCAATGTGTTGAGAGAAATTGTGTCGTTGGTTCTCTAGGACTTTGCTGTGATGAGTCTTGGTGCAAGCAGACCTCATGAACATTGGTCGAACTTGTCTCGTCTGTAGCCAAGTTGCAGTCTGAACGAGTTCGTAGAGTTGGGGTGACGTGATCATCTGCCGAATAAAGATCTTCGTTGGTGTCAAGATTGGGCATCGAAGCATCGTCGACCAAGGGGCTCGTCTGTATCTCGTCCTCGATCGGCGTTCCGTCTTGTTCGAGTCTTTCACTACCAGCTATCTGCTCATCTGAAAGTTGCTCTATCGTTCCATCGCCTATCTTCTCCACTGCAGCATCCATCTTGTCTTCATCGTCGTACTGTTCGTTCTCCTGCTCAAGGTTTCCATCTTCTCCGCACACCGATTCGTCGCTTTCCGGTAATGTCTCATCTTCGTGGATTTCCATTTGTTCAGGCTTTCCAGTCGAACTCAGAAGAGATATGGCAGAATCCCTACGCTTGTCCAAATGTTTGGGAACATTGAACTTCACGTGTGGCACAACAGGGTGCGTCTTTTCAGGAATAGGATCTTGGATAGAAGATCGTTCTTGGTGGGAGGATTCGACAGATTCAGGATTCGGTGTATCCATAACCTTTGCCTCTCCATGATAGTCACAACGATCGATGAGTGAAGGAACTTCAGAAGGTGCGGCGGGTTGTAGTTGCGCCTCGACAATTGGTGGATCGATTCCTAACGTTGGCGACTGTGCTGCATCAGAGTGATTGAGACTCGAACTGGCAATCAAATGTGCAACGATCCTCGATAGAAGGATTGTAGATAGTTGCGCAGTCGGAATAGTAGCTGGTGGCCAGCCTGTCAAGCCTCTCGATCGATCCGCAGGATTTCCACTGGAACGCAAAACCCGTCTTTCCTTGATTCTGGTCACTTTGTCTTCCAAGAAAAGCTTCAATGCTATCACAGCTCTTTCTTGTTCTTCGACCAAGTGTTGTGTCGCATCATCTTGAGTCTGGAGACCAGTGTACATGTTCTGGATACATGTGTCGAGTGCCAACAGATCATCACAATCCAGGCGTTTACCAGGTAGCAGTTCCTGGCTCCGTGTTTGAATTTCCGACTGGCTTGCAGCGATTTTCCGTATCCGTTCGAGGGCATTCAGAAGGTTTGTTTTGATATCCTTGACCAGTTCCAGGTGTGGATCGTGCTCTTGCTCATGCTCTTCTGCAGTCGCTTTCAAAACTTGAAGCTGCTTGTCGAGTTCAGATACCACATCTGCTAGGGAGATGGCCTCGAGAAGTTGAGCACATTGATGAGGTGTCAGAAGTTGTAGAAGCGGTTCGTCGAATGAGTTCCTGTTCTTGAGTTAGCTTGTGGCAAAACAGAGCAGCAGGAACATACACAATGTACAAGGCGATTAAAGCATTCATCCCTTGGACTGGATCAATGAGAACGTCTCTCAATATGTGTCCCTCGGCTGCAATATTTTCTAAGCAGACTTTGGCTGCTTCGGAAAGTTGTTTTGGTGCTTCTTCACTCTGAACGGAGCCGACACTGTGTTGATTTTCGGCGTCAGAGCTCAGCGACTGCTTGTGATTGAGATCCTCTAAACTGTGATGAATCAATTTCCGGATGTCGTGCAGTTGGGAGAGCTCAAAGGTTTGTTTCGATGATGGTAGTACTGTGGCTGCTTTGGAAAAGATATTGATGAGGTTGACTAAATCATTAGCCAAGGGAACGAGAATATCATCAGCCATTTCGTGCTCAAACACGATGTCGACAATGGGAAATATCAAAAAATGTCTGAATAAGAAAGACGTTACAAGAGTATGAGTACAAGCGAGAGTTGGCGGTCTGCCACGTTCGAAGTGGATCTCAATGAGGCTCTGCCACGTCGCATAAAACGACACTGCATCCACGTATGCCGGAGCTCAGGCACATCCGTTGTCCATCTTAGGCAGTCTTCTTCGTGGCTTGAACACGAAAGGGTAGCATGCCTCTAATGTTATTGCTTTCTGCACCAGAAACTTGTTACACTGTAACCTTCATTCCAATCTCTGAATCTATTCGCGGATATATTTCCAAGCTTTGGCAAACCGCTGTTCCCATTGAGCAGACCAAAACATACGTTCTGCATACAGACTGGTCCCAGGATAGAATGGACATTCTCCACAGGCATCATAGGATACACTGTTAATATATCTTCTTCGGCTTCGCCTTCTCCCTGTCTTTAACTAATCTCTCGGCCAATCCCTGTCGAATCCTCACACTCTTTTCCAGAACTTTCAACAGTTCTCTCGCTTTGACAGTTTTTTCATCTCTACTTCCAAGCTTGGAAGCATAGCCATGCGCCGCTTTCTCCAAATAGAATATTGCCTTGTTCCACTCCTGTAAATCGAAGTACAACTTCCCCAACAAATTGTAGACGTCGCAAACAGACTCCTGGTACCTCTTCATGTTCTCAGATTCTTTGTAAAACTCCAACGCTGACTTTGCGGCATCCACTGATTCCTCGAGACGGTCTTGCCTATTCAAGCATGTTGCAAGCTCAAAATAGACCAGGCTCGGCTTTGATACCTGAGGTATCAATACGGTAGCGATATCGTATCGTATTAGTCAGTATTGCAAGGATTGATACCGTATCGATACTATATCAATACTTCACCGCCTTTACCCCTCACCTCACTAAAATCTTCTTTCTTAACCTTCTCGTACGACGATTTCATTGAAACTTATCCTCAAAATGTCTTCTTTCCTTGAAGCAGAGTCTTCTTTTACACAGTCTATTACCGCAGAGTCTACTGAGTCTCACAGCAATGATAAGAGGAAGTGGAGAGCACCAGTCTGGAAGTATTGCCGTCGTCCGACACCCGACGAGAATCAAGAGCATCTTTATTGTCCTTACTGTCCTCCTGATCCACCCCCTATTGACTACAAGGGGCCGTACAATACAAAGTCATCTGCAAATATAGCTAAGCATTTGGAGAGGAACCACGATGTTATAATTGAGAAGGCTCTGAGTAAGAATCAAGAGCTTGTAAACCAACAACTCAAGTAGTATTACCACGAGGCAGAAGTCTCTGGTAATACTATAGAGCTTGATACCGAGATTCTCAAGAAGCACCTCTTCCAAGCAGTAATTACAGAGGCCCTAGTTACTCTCATCGTCGTACGAAACCTGTCTTTTTGTATCGTTGAGTGGGCCGAGTTCCATACTTTATGCCAAGCACTAAATAAAGAGTGTAAGGGTATGATTACTACAACTCACTCCCAAATCAAAGAAAGAGTTAGTGAAGCCTGGATCAAGCACAAAGACATTGTACGGCGAGAACTTCAGTCAGCAATCTCACGAATTCATATCTCCTTTGATATTTGGACCTCTCCAAATCGATTCCTTCTTTTAGCGATTATTGCACACTTTACTGCGCATACTCAAAAGAAGCAAAAGGCCTTACTTGCTTTAAAACAAGTGCCTGGCCATAGTAGTGACAATCAGTTCTCAATCCTTCTTCTAGTTCTTAAGGATTACAGCATCGTACGAAAGCTTAGGGCTATTATTGCTAATAATGCTTCTGCAAACAACGTTCTTTGTCGGCTTATAGAAAATCACTAGAGGACAGAGCTAGGCCTAGTATGGAATGCAACTAAGTGGCGGATCCGTTGTATTGGCCATATTATCAACCTTGTCGTACAAGCTTTCTTATTTGCAAATGTGATAAAGCTCGATGAGCTTGAGTCGTACGATGAGCAGGACCAAAGTGGAGAGCTTAAGGATGAGGATATAAAGAAGCAATTTCGGCGTTTAGGACCACTTGGCTAAGGGCATAATATTGTAGTCCATATCCATGGATCGCCTGCACGAACAGCAAAGTTTAAAAAGCTTGCGGGAAGAATGATTCCTATGGATAATCGTATACGGTGGAATAGCTGGTACGAGATGCTTCTTATTCTTCTCAATTTGAGGCCTGTAGTTGAGAAGTATTGCGCGGACTATGAGGAAGAGCTTGAAGAGGATCTTTTAAGCTTTGCAGACTAGAAAAAGCTTCGTACGATCAAGGACTTTCTTGCTCCCTTTACACGAGCTACCCTTGCTACTAAGGGAGACTCTACTTCTATTGATTCTACCCTCTTTACAATGGACGTCTTAATTAAGCACCTTCAAACTCAAGTTGTAAGTAATCCCTTTTTCTTATTCCTTTTAAAACTAAGGCTAACTATCGTACGATAGGCTATATATAAACTAAAGAAGGACCAAGAGAGCAACGACTTTCTTGTTCGTCTTATTGCAGCCCACGTAGTCTTAGACAAGTACTACTTAACTACAGATATGTCTCCATTTTACGCTGCTTCTTTGATCCTTAATGTTACGACTACGTGTACGGGAGCTCGCTGAGTCATCTCGGTGAGCTCTGGGTCACGTGGAGGAGCATTTGAGGAGCTGACGGGGCTCCTAGGAACTCCTGCGCTCCGTCTTGGCCCACCACTGTGGGCAGTATATATGACTGGCACTTCTGCCATAAGTAGGAGCTTTGTGCTCAACTTGATTAAGTTTCCTAACTACAATATCATTGCCTTATCTTACTTCATTCACCATACCAACCCACGTGACCTTACCAGGGTAAGGAGAGAGTCGTGACACTTAATCCCTCTCATCGTACGAGGTATCTTGAGACCCACTGGCCAAGGAAGTGGTCTAAGCCAGCTATAGCAGCAGTAAAGAAGCTCTGGGAGAGGTACCGGGAAGAGGTAATACCTCCACAAGCCTACCCTGCCTTCTCGTACGACAACCTATTAGAGCCAAAGGAACTTGATACTTTTGATCAGATCGCCTTATCTTTACGATCAGTTGCGCGGCCGACAAGTGAAGACGAGTATGAAGACTATAACTCTCACACCTCCCTGGAAAGAAAGGAGCTCTTGCGTGGTGGTTGCAAGACGCTCAAAGGCAACGCTGGCCTAGGCTTGCACTTATGGCTATTGATATTCTCTCAATTCCACCAATGAGCGATGAACCGGAGCGAGTCTTTTCAGGGGCTCGTCGTACGGTAACGTGGGATAGGGGGCAAATAGAGGCAGAGACTATTGAGCTAAGGGAGTGCCTTAAGCACTGGAAAAGAAGCGGTATTCTAGATAAGTTCTTTGAGGATAGCTAGTTTGATTTCTTGGTAGGGTGATTTTTGGTACAGGGGGCCCCTGTGAGCTAGGCTATATCAATACTAGTATCAATGATACGATACGATATCGATTCTGGAGCGATTTCGTATCAATACACGATATCGCGTATTTTAGCCGAGCCTGAAATAGACACCTCCTTTTTGCTTCGACTCTCCGAAATGGAACTTCTCTTTATGCTGGCTGTTGAACAACGTAATTCTCTTCCTGATCCAACCTTCTGCCTCTGTAAATTGATGACGGAAGAGACATACCTGGGCCAGGACACCCAGAGCTTCATCTCTCGATTGCAAATCATTCTCGTGCCAACGTTCCAAAGTCCATAAATGAGGTAACACTTCCATCGCTTGATCAAGTCGCCGCCGCTTCCTCGCTATCATGCATGCTTGAACATTTTGTCGCACAAGTAACGAGCTTGTTACTGGTTCGTCGTGAAGACTCTGCAGATTTTCCCTGCAGACATCCCTCGCGGCATCGTAGTCTCCAACCTTCAGAAGCAGTGAGCTGAGCTTATATCGAGCTCGGCAAGTGTGTTCCGAGTTGCGCCCTAGGCGGCGAGCACGTCGAGAAACGAGATCACAATTCCAACTGCGAGCTTCGGAGAACATTCCTGATGCCTCGGCTAGCTCGCCGAGCTGTAACACTGTATTCATAGCCTCGAAACCGAACCTTCCTGCAAGCTTCTCTCGTGCAGGAAGGTCCACAATTAGTTGTCTGTACGCTGCTTCGAGATCTTGCCTGGCGGTCCTGACACTGATTGCCTTTGATCTGAAGGTTTGGACTAAGAGCTTTGCAGTCTCGTACCTCCGATCTAATTCAGTCTGAGCGGATATTCGTTCGGGATCAGGATTCGTGGTTGAGGAGTACGGAAGACACCACCAAAATGTGGCTTTACAGCCCGGGTGTGGGAATTCGTGACTTGCAGCCAAGTCCTCAGAGCCCCAATAATATGATGCTGGGAGTGAGTATATCCTTTTGGTTCCTCGCGCACGCATGATACAGCAACACCGAGAGCCGTCTTGATCTAGAAAACAGACGCCGAACTTATGAGAGTGTTTGAGAGTATCAATATAAGTCTGAAGTGACCAAGAGCTTGTAAACAAGAACCAAGCCTGCCCGAGTGATGTTAGAGTCTCGTGGAGCGACATTGAAACTATGGATGCGGTGATGGGATCGTCTTGGCGGCTGCGTGTAAGGGTGGGACTGGATTGAAGAGGAATTGCCCGGGAGAGATCTGGTCTTGACTTAGACATAGACAATAGTAAAGCGTTGGCCCTGGTCCTCCGTCGCAATTCTGGTGTTACGGAAACTCTGACTTGATCCTTGATACTCCTTGCATCAAAATCGAAGTCGGGACCAAGGAGCGAAGCGGTGACAGCCCAGAAACTTTTATCGTCGCGAGCCATAGTCACTGCATGAGGATGAGAAAGTTGGTCTGCAATTGAATTTGAAGCACGTCGTGATACATTCTCCACGGTGTGCGATGCTATTTCTGAGCGCAGGGAGGCTTGTCGGATCGGGAATGTGAACGATGGAAACGGCTCCGAACACCGTGATGGCATCGAGTACATGTAGTCAGGGTTCATTAGACGAGGTATGGTAGATTGGATCTCGGGACTTACTTGTATGACTTCCATTTGAGCTGGAGTCGCTCGACTCCGTTGCTTTAATTCGAGAACTGTGCCGAGAAAGAACCAAATCCTGTTCTGACAATTCATCGCTGTATGCAAAGATCAAATCTTCATAGTCGTAGAGCTCGTCTTCACTATGGCCTGATCTCGGGCTGGGCGGTGAAAGAGCATCCTCCACGTTGCGGTTAAAGTCCAAACCGCTCTCCAATTGAGCAGAGTATTTGTACCAGATGGCTATGCTGTCATCGATTCTTTGTTCGTCCACAACTTCGGCAATGGGGAAAATTGCGGCGTCAGCCATATTGAACGGCAACGGGAGAAGTCCTTGCGTAAGAAGCCACGAGCTGTCATGTCACTACAATGGGGAAGTACGGTCCCGATAAGTACTTGCAAAATATCGACAGAATCGAATGGGGTAAAGGCTTGTCTCCCATCGTGATAAAAGACACCGAAAAATTTAGACCCTGTTCTGGATTCATGTGATAGAAGGCTGTCTGAAATTTCATCTTGTTTGTCTCGGGGCAACTGAACCGAGCATCTTGATTGGTGTGCCAACAAAATGCTGACGCAGAGAAAAACAAGAAGATGTTCGAAGAAGCACTGGTTCTTGCGAATCCCAAACATCTCATCTAGAGATGGCGAAAGACAGCTCGAAATGTGGTGAATGTGAGCATGACTGAATGCGGAGGTGGCACACGGGAGAACTTTCTTTTGTCCTATGATTACTTGTGGTGAAACATCTGTACCACTTGGCCAGGATCGCTGTTGTAATGGGATGTGGAGAAGACCTTAGGAATCTAGCAGACCACGAGCCAGACGCCGATGGTGTAACTTTGCATTGTCTGAGACGAAAATTGATGCATTGACGTGATTCCGGGCGAAGCTTGATAAGAAGAAGGTGCGGCGATTCTGGGGAAATATCCAGGAAGGGACTCCGGTGGGCATGACAACAGATGGACATCATGAATTGCATGCGGAAAGAGCTACGCGGTCATCCTGAGCTCATCTGAGCAGGTAAAAATGTTCAATACGGCAATCTTGCCTCTGATCGGGCGCGGTTAGTGTACGTAGATCTATTTCGGATAGAGTCAAAGCCGAGGGTATATACTACATCGGATTTTGGGTGAAAGGGGGCAATTCCCCTGACGGTGCTAGAAGGGGAAGGCGGTCGCCGAGGGCGGTGAGTGCCGAGTGCCACCGAAAGGGGTTCTGCCGATCTCCTTTAACCTCTTCGTCACTTCTAACAAGGGATCCAAGGGATCGCCGGAGGCTTGGAGCCCTCCCTACTCAGTACACGGACCACCGCGTACGCGTTTATACTAGTGAGAGAGACGCTAGCGCGTCTCCCTTCTTGCTTTCTTGCCTGAATGGAATTCTAAGAATGGATCTTCTTTCTTTTAATCCTACTTATAATATCTTAATCTATACGAGCTGCAAATATGCCGTTCATTCTATAGCTATTCCAAGGCACTTGTACGACCACCACAAAGCTACGATCCCACCTAGCAAGGTCCAGGAATACGCCCGTCTCTTTACCCCGGATTCTCTTTTACTTCCCCGGGAAGTGAAACAACTCTATGTCCCTACTACTATACTGCCTATCCCGCATTTGCGGATCTACGACGATGCTTATTACTGCAAGCTTTGCCCTCCGGATCAGCCGTATGTGATCCGCAGCGAAAAGATTTTGCTTAGTCATTTAAAGGAAGCCCATCAATGGAATAGGAGCAAAGGCTTTGCGGACCGGCCGTCTAAGTCGCGCTTGCCACTTAGCGATGCCGCCTACTTCCCCGTTGCTTGCTAGACCTTCCATACAAAAGCCTACACCCGCTACTTCCTCGTTAATAACGGCAAGCCTGGCTCTGATCTAGCGCTAGCGTAGCTCGCGGAGGCCCTTGAGAAACTACCCCTTAGCCTCCGAGAACAAGTAGAGCAAACCCTTGCTCAGAAGCTCTAAGCACCTAAACCCGACATTACCTCGCGCTACAAGACTAAGGTCTCTCCCTGGCTCGACTTAACGCAATGGGAGCGATACTTTCGGGGTTATAACTTGAGTCGTATCGTACGCCTCTTTAATTTCCTATCGCCTCATCCCCTATTTGACCCCGATTAGCCAGATAATCACCTCGTCCTCGTACTTGAATCCTTTGACCGTCTTATCGAGCAAGCCCGTGAATCGCTCCGCACCGACCGGATCAACATCTTCGATTAGCAGCGTGTTAGTAGCTTCCTCACCCGCCGGACCACGAACTTCTCATTAGTGTACAAGCTTTAAGAGGGCACTTATACTATATATAAGAAGGTGTGGAAGCAATTGCTAAGCTTCGTTTATCGGCGTGTCTGGCGGAACTAAGGCCCTGAGCTCTCTTATCGTCTGACCGACGCTCAAGTAACAGCCCTCGATCGAGTAATGCAAGCTGCGGCCGAGCTTGCCCGGGAACAGCAAAGCGCTGGTCTGGCGCTAATATAGCTTTAGCAAAGTCTCGATTATGCTACGATCCAACTATATATCTCACTGCTAGACTATGCTTTATTCGACACAATTTACGATAGTATTGTCGTCGTCTTTATAGCGGTTCTTAGTATTAGATATCCTAGATTATCAGTCGATCAGAATGCCACATTTAGTGATTCTTTGCATTATACCCCATATCTCTCTGCCTTTATCAAGATAGCCTAGCTCCTTGTTATTCAATGCGTAGTACTTGCAGTAGATCGAGGTGAGGTTCCACATGTAGCTAATATGTTGAATGTTATGCAAGAGCGCTTTATGGTGTATAGCACACACTCCCCTGTGAACTAGGCACAGAAGCTACATAGTTTTGGAAAGCAAATCAATGAGATCACCACCTCTCTAGGATATATCTCCTGGACCGACGACGGCGAGCACCTTAGCTACAAGGGCCTAGAGCTAGGGATGACCGACTTGAAGAAGTTCCTGGCTACCTAAACAGCCGCTGCATAGTCGCTCCTAGAGGAGCTGCTACGTGTACATCCAGACGAAGAGCGAGACGAGGTTGTTCCACTAGTTAATCTTTTCCGGCTTAAGGACGATCCGGCTAATAGCAAGCCCGGCTAGTGCTTCCTGGACGACCCGCGGAATGACTACCTCCAAGGACATAATCGATGGCTACTTAATCGTGTACTAGACGAGAGTTGGCTACAATAAGAGTTCCTAATCAAGGGTACGAAGGCTGTGTGGCGGCGTAAGACTGCTGAGCAATACCTAAAGCAGGCTAATACCTTCCTTGAGTTGTTGCTTCTCCTTATCCACATCCTGGGGGGCTAGCTTACACAGGGAACTAAGCTTCTTAGTCTATAGCTGCGTAATACTGTCCACAAGCTACGGCGGAATATTTTTATCGAGAATGGCCTTGTCGGCTTTGTTACTTTTTACCACAAGGGCTATAGTGTCTCGGGGTCAACCAAAATCATCCACCGGTATCTGCCCGAGGCAATAAGTGAGCTCTTAGTCTACTACGTCTGGCTTATCTAGCTATTCTGTGAGCAGCTATGCATGCTTGCTCTAAACGAAAGCCCTAGTGCCCTAACTTTCCTTTAGGCGATTAAGAAGGGAACTCACAGCGAGCTGTGGCTAAGTAGTCGCTTAACGAACGTCCTCTCACAACAGTTTAAGCAACATCTCAATACCGATGCAAACATCCTTCTTTGGCGGCACGTAGCGATTGCTATCTCTCGCCGGCATCTACGGCAAGCCAAGTTTCGGAAAGACTACGGAGCAGACGCCCCCGGAACCTAGAATAACGCACAGGCTGCACATACGGCTAATATAGTTAGTATAATCTATGTAAGAGGGATTGAAGAAGCACCTAGTCACGTTGCCTTTGCACGTGTAGAGTACCGGCAGATTAGCAGAGAGTGGCATACATATCTAGGGTTTTCTAGCTTTAAGAGGTTAGCTTAGATACAACCCATAGTTTTACAGACATCCGACCTTAGACAGCTCACCAAATCCTTAGTCAATCACTAGGAGCTACTCAAACGCAAAGTCCTCGGTGAATTGCCAATTCAAAACTAGATAACGAACCGTAATAAAATCAATGTCTATTTGCAAGAGATACCAAAAAGAGAGTCTATACGCCGACAAACTAGGAAGCTAGCACGTTACTAAGACGAATTAGACACTATATCAAGTAATGGATCAGACTATGAGAAAAAGCCTATATTTAAACGCCGCCGTTCTTAAGTATAGACTTATAGAGTTATTAGAGAATGTATATAATCTTTAATGTATAATTTATAAAGCAATAAATCGCCAGGTTATTCGAAAGCGCAAAAATTCAACTATTCTCAAAGACGTTATCTAGCCAACTACTCCATAGATCTAAGCTATAGATAAGATTATAGAAGCCTTGGCTATTGAGGATGAGGAAGAGGCTATAATGGCTCTTAAGCATGCTGTTCGGCGACTCTACTTGGCCTTGATCTACCACACTGTCGGCAGCGTGCCGTTCAAATCGCCCATCTTGAGTTTTTGTGCTATACTAAGTCGGAAAGTCCGTGGGAAAGGCCGAGGATTATGGGAGGAGCCGGGGAATTTCAATAGCTATTTATTAGCTCTAACCTAGACTGCTTAGCTTATACTCTTTGACTACGCTTGTTTCCAAGAGCAAAACGACGAAGACCAAATCCCCGTCTTTCTCGCCAAGATCTGTAAGAAGTTCTTCTAGTAGCTAGCGGAGACGCCGTTTGGGCACATTCTACAGTAGAGGCTATACTTGTTTAAGGTTGGAAAGGCTACAATTGCAAAACACCAAGCTCGCTAGCTCTTAGACGGGCAAACAGTGGAATATCGCGGGGTGGAGTTACAAATGTCGCAGATCTCCGACTTAGTGGTTTTCGAATATCAACAAGCCTATGCCTTGCTCTATGATGAGCTCCTGTTCTAAGCAAAGGACCTGACACTAATGGAATCGTGGAGGCTAAAGGACGATCTGGATCTAGACGGCATTGGGGAGGACATTGAGGACGAGCTAGATCTAGTTGCCTTAGCGGAACTAAGCAATCACACATACTATACATTTAATCATACATATGCTAGAATAACGACGCTTACCATGAATACTCTGTTGCACCGGAATTACTAAGCATCCGAGAGCTAGCGTACTTTCTTCTGGTTCGACCATATTCTCTAGGGAAAGAGGCCGCGGGGTGCTTCAGAGACGCTGTCCTTGCGAATGCTTGATGCTTCCAAACGTAGTCAAATGCGTAGGAGAGGTGCTTATGCTAAGGCTAACCTGCTAGCCGTTGCTCGGAAACTGTACAATGCACCGGACCTGC